ACAGACTTTTGAGCAGCATTCAATGGAGAAAGATGCTTTTTTTTTGCACACGTAATGCTGTAGCTCCAGCCTCTGCAAGCCAGCCAAACCTTGACCCCCTGTTGTTAATGTAATGTGGGCGTCTACAGCAAGAACTGATTTTTTGCACGCTTTTACCCATTTAATAAATGAAATTATGACAAATCATGCCAGCTTTTATTTCTTCACATTTTAATAGATGTTGTTAAAAGCCGGGAAATGGTTTGACATTGATTTTAACACACATCGCATCAATGAAAGGTGTAATTTCTGTCGGTTTGCATAGATATTTTACAGTACATCCACAGGGTCTCATTCATAAAACATGAGCAGAATATACAGTCGTTAGTAATTGTTTATAAACCAGTTAATTACAAAAAAACGATTGCAACATCATATTACTCATTACAGTGTTCTGGATATCCTGAATGTAGAACATCCCAATGGTGAATATAGCAACCCGTTAAAAGCACAAAGTTAATCATTTAGATTTTATTTAATATTTTATTTTTTATATTTTTGTTATTTTATTTTGTTTGATTTTTCTTTTTATTTTGTCGTTTATTTTATTTTAATATTTTTTTTAATTCTTTTTTTGTTTATTTTGCTTTTTATTTTATTTAATATTTTTATTTGATTTAATGTAATTGTATTGTTTTATTTTATTGTTTGTTTATGTTTGTATTTTATACTGTTTATAGTTTTTTATTTTATTGTTTATTTTATTTTAATAATTAAATTTTTTTTTATTCTTTTGTGTTTATTTTATTTTTTATTTATTTTTAATTTTTATTTTATTTAATGTAATTTGTATTGTTTTATTTTATTGTTTGTTTATGTATGTATTTTATATTGCTTATTGTTTTTAATTTTTTTTGTTTATTGTAGTTAATTTAATCTTTTATTTTGGTTTAATTGTAATGTAGTTGTTGTTTATTTTATTGTTTAATTTATTTATTTAAGTATTTATTTTATAATATTTCATTTTTTTATTTGATTGTTTATTTTATAAGATTGTTTATTTTTATTATTTGTTTGTTTTATTTCATTGATTACATTTTTATTGTTTATATTGTTATTCATTCATTATACATTGTTTATTTATTTATAGTTTTGTATTTTGTATCATTTTTTTGTTTGTTTGTCTTTTTTTATTTTGATAAATCTATTTCAGATGAATCTATCTGGTCCTACACTATAAATGAACTATTTTCGTTGTGTTTATAGTTTCTAAATGTTATTGTTGTTGAACCAAAGCAACATCAGTCAAACTGACTTAAATTATTAAGTTAAACTTTGTATAACTTAAAAAAAGTTGAAACCTGATTAAATGATTAAAATTACAGTTACAAAAACATTTAATCATGACTTTTTGACATATTGTGAGTCTAATAATTATATATTACAGATATTTCTATCTTGTTTTTACTCAAAAACAAAGTTTTGCTGCAAAAGAGCTGAAACATCACAGTTCTTGAGATTCCTTTAATTGTTTTTTGTTCAATCCACTTAAATTTATAAAAACAATTAAGTTAACTTTGTGTTTAGACCACATGAAGGATTTTTTTGTGGAACCCAGTGTATAAAAACCACATCTGCACTACTAAAATCGCAGAACGACGGCTAAACAAATCTGAAAATGAAAGCGATTATCCTTGTTGCTTCATATCTGACACAGTTTTGGCTCCAACATACCTGACCTCTTTAAAAACAGCGAAAGTAAGTCAGACTTAAAAGAAAACTACATGTGTCATTGGACTCCTTTGGGAACTGAAACAGGGCCAGTAGGCCATCGCTCGTGGCTTTCATTTCATCAGAATTTAATGATTAGCGGGAGACCGATCTGCTGGGACTGAGCCAATTTGATATTTTTTACTTCGCAGGTCTGCTGGGAGCAGATACGGAGAAACTTTGTGCGTTTGACATGATAAAACAAATATCAGGATCAAAACGCTGAATTCCGCTTCAAAGCTTTGCTTGTTGTCTTCAAAGAGGAGTGGTTTTATATTGCAGATGCCTAATATATTCATACAGAATTTCAGCTGTCTGTTCCTATGTTCATTGCTTTATGTCATCGGCATGCCATATGTTAGACCACCATCTGCACGCTAGATCAATACGATCCAGCCCCAAATGCCAGATCTTGTCAGAAAATGTCAGTTTCTAAAGGTAAATGGACAACAAGTCAGCAGAGTTTCCAATCCCCAAACCTGTTAACTAATATTCCACTGAATTATCAGTCAACATAGGAGCTGAAGCAGGAGACGAAGTTCATTCATTTTCTTGTCGGCTTAGTCCCTTTATTAATCCGGAGTCGCCACAGTGGAATGAACCGATAACTTATCCAGCAAATTTTTACGCAGCGGATGCCCTTCCAGCCACAACCCATCTCTGGGAAACACCCACACACACATTCACACACACAATTATACGCTATGGACAATTTAGCCTACCCAATTCACCTGTACCGCATGTCTTTGGACTGTGGGGGAAACCGGAGCACCCGGAGGAAACCCACGCGAACGCAGGGAGAACATGCAAACTCCACACAGAAATTCTAACTGAGCCGAGGCTCGAACCAGCAACCTTCTTGCTGTCAGGCGACAGCACTACCTACTGCGCCACTGCCTCGCCCCAGGAGACAAAGTAATGATGATAAAGAAAGAGCAGAGTTTATTGAATAATCTTAGCTGTGAATGATTCAATGCTCAGACTTTAGCTCCTTTCACACAGTGATAACGGGAAATATCTGGAAAATCTCCGGAACGACTTTACCGTGAATTAAAAAAAGGGCTGTTCACACGGGCGAGGACGTTACGGAAATTTTCCAGAAAAGAGCATCACCCATCACAGGTCTATTAGTCTCTGCTAATGAGCTGATGATCTGAATCAGGTGTGTTTGGTTAAGGAGACATGAAAAATGTGCAGAGCTGGTGCTCCTCCAGAAACGTGGTTGAGAAACACTGCCTTAACAGATATCTGTGCTAATTTTGTATTCTATTATGTATTTAATAGCTTCTATTGTAATGCTTTGGGATTAAGAGAAGCACAGTATAAAATATACTTGATGTATATGACTGTCAGTCAAACACAAATAGAGTAGTTGTACAGTTTATCCTGGGTTTTCCATGCTTCATAATGGTTTTAGATGGTGACTTTTATTTTGAAAGCTATAAACGTGTATAAATCTAGCTTGTTAGTTAACAATGCTGCATTTATTTAAGTCAATTATAGACTACAAATTAAATTGTTCATCCAATAATTATAAATTAATCCATCAAACAATCCATCATTGGTGTAAATGACTTTCTGATGAACTAACACAGTGATTCTCAACCACGTTCCTGAAGGAGCACCAGCACTGCATGTTTTGTCTGTCACACCCATCACAGGTCTTTCAGTCTCAGCTAATGAGCTGATGATCTGAATCAAGTGTGTTTGGTTAAGGAGATCAGGAAAATGTGCAGAGCTGGTGCTCCTTCAGGAATGTGGTTGAGAAACACTGCCTTAATAGATATTTGTACTAATTTTGTATTATATTATGTGTTTAATATCTTCTATTGTAATGCTTTGGGATTAAGAGAAGCGCAGTACACAATATATTTGATGTATATGACTTTCTTCTTTCAGATGACCACAAATGGAGTAGTTGTACAGTTTATCCTGGGGTTTCCATGCTGCATAATGGTTTTAGATGGTGACTTTTATTTTGAAGCTTATAAACGTGTATAAATCTAGCTAGTTAGTTAGCAATGCTGCATTTATTTAAGGGAATTATAGACTAAAATGAAACTGTTCATTAAATAATTGAAGTTAATCCATCAAACAATCTATCATTGGTGTAAATGACTTTCTGATGAACTAACACAGTGATTCTCAACCACGTTCCTGAAGGAGCACCAGCACTGCATGTTTTGTCTGTCACACCCATCACAGGTCTTTCAGTCTCAGCTAATGAGCTGATGATCTGAATCAGGTGTGTTTGGTTAAGGAGACATGAAAAATGTTTGGTGCTCCTCCAGAAACGTGGTTGAGAAACACTGCCTTAACAGATATTTGTACAAATTTTATATTCTATTATGTGTTTAATAGCTTCTATTGTAATGCATCGGGATTAAGAGAAGCGCAGTACACAATATATTTGAGGTATATGACAAACACAAATGGAGTAGTTGTACAGTTTATCCTGGGGTTTCCATGCTGCATAATGGTTTTAGATGGTGACTTTTATTTTGAAGCTTATGAAAGTGTATAATCTAGTTAGTTAGTTTGGGTTTAAGTAAAGCACATCACAAAATAAAATGCATTAGTACATAATGTTGTGATCATAACTTGTTTAAGTATTGGTATTTTACGCTCACACACACACACAGACTCACACACACACACAAACCTGTTTACCCGGCTCATGTGAAGAAGAATCTGTGTAAAGCAGTCACTTTGGCACGCGGCGTGAACATTACTGAGAGCTGTTACAACACTACAGCACTTCTCAGACATGCCACAGCGATAAACACATCTGACGAAAATATCTGTGAGCAGCCCGAGCAATTGTTGATATTCAGGAGGAACGTAAAAGTCATGAACCGAGGGATGAATTTGAGCAAGAGAATATTAATTACAGTATGGAAGAGGAAGCGGGAATAAAGCAAGAGAGAGAGTGAGAGAGAGTGAGTGGGTGAGTGACTGCATGAAAGCATTGCTCGGGGGTGTAAATGGTGTGAAAATTCAAGGTTGTGAATCTTTTCTGTAGCCTCCAGAGCCGCGGCACGTCCGTATACTATTGTGCATCTTGATTTGCATCAACAAATCCCTCAACATCGGCCCGCTTTATTATCCGTTTACTGCATTTCTGACGGGAGCTTTCAATGTGTGTTTCAAAAGGAACTTATGTAATGCTCTGATCAATCAATGGAGAACGTACACCGTGTGCTGTGTGTTTGCAATGCATAAAATAGGACAGTGTGCTTAAAAATAAGTGCACCAAACAAATCAGTAGTGTATGATAGAACACGTGAATCCTGATGAAGTTTATTTCCTGTTTATTTTTTATTTAATTAGTCAGGTCTTTTAAATGCATGTTGCCAGATTACTTAGAATCCATCTTAATATGTTGAAATACTATTAGAAAGATATGAATATGCTATAAATAAATCTGTAGCCGAAGAAAAAAAGCCAGATCCAAATGAATTCAAGTCTATGAGATTGGTTTACTGGCAAAATCAATGCAGCTCCACACAATAACTGAACACATAAGTCATATTATTACATAAATCTTGCCCTTATTTGTTTAGTTTATGTTTAACTAACAAATATAATTCACCTAAACTGTATAAGTTCAATTATGTTAATAATATGACATCCTAAAGGATGTGGATAATTCAAAATACATCTGTTTTGTTATTATTTTGAGTGTATTTAACACAAAAACCAAGTGTTTTGCATAGGCTACGGTGTGTTCGCACTATTGGTTGATGGCGTACAATACTATCAATCGGTGTAACATGACCAAACACTATTAATTATTTCCCGATTTGACTTCTTTGTACCTGGCAGTGAAAAAGCTGAAATGCAAACATGAAATGAATATGGGCTCACCCACACACACTCCTCCACACAGCGCTGAGAGGCATGAGAGAGAGAGAGAGAGAGAAAGAGAGGAGGGGGATGGAGGAAGATGGAGGAATAACATTATCAACACTTACTGGTGAATCATCAGCATATCTGCAGCAAATGCTTCATGTTTCACATGAACACACACACACACCATGAAAGAAAGGCTTCATGTCGAGTCTGATCACATTGTGTGCTCATACAGCTCCTGACACCGTGGTGCGGTTCACATCCTCAGCATTGAGCATTTACATATAAATAAATACAAACTAATAAATACAATTGTCCACCCAAAAATTTAAGTCAACTCAAGCCATTCTCAGTCTATATTAGTCGCTCTTGTGTCAGACAGACACAGTTGGAGTGGTTAAATTCTTTATCTTGGCTCTTCCATGCTGTATAATGGTGTTTGATGGGGACTTTTATATTGAAGCATCTAAAATCGCATAAATAATAATAATCCTGAAGGAAATTCCACCATCCAATAGCATCCAGTAAAACATAGATACATTAAATGTATTAATAGTTAATAAATGAAGCGATTAAATAAATCAAAGATGTTGTTAAATTGTCAAAAACACAAAGCTGCCAGAAACAGCTGATGGAGTATACACTAACCTGCACATTATTCAGACACTAGATGGCGCCAGTCAGTCAAAAACACAAAGCTGACAGAAACAGCTGACGGAGTATACACTAACCTGCGCATTATTCAGACACTAGATGGCGCCAGTCAGTCAAAAACACAAAGCTGACAGAAACAGCTGACGGAGTATACACTAACCTGCACATTATTCAGACACTAGATGGCGCCAGTCAGTCAAAAACACAAAGCTGACAGAAACAGCTGACGGAGTATACACTAACCTGCGCATTATTCAGACACTAGATGGCGCCAGTCAGTCAAAAACACAAAGCTGACAGAAACAGCTGATGGAGTATACACTAACCTGCGCATTATTCAGACACTAGATGGCGCCAGTCAGTCAAAAACACAAAGCTGACAGAAACAGCTGACGGAGTATACACTAACCTGCGCATTATTCAGACACTAGATGGCGCCAAACAGTCAAAAACACAAAGCTGACAGAAACAGCTGATGGAGTATACACTAACCTGCGCATTATTCAGACACTAGATGGCGCCAGTCAGTCAAAAACACAAAGCTGACAGAAACAGCTAATGGAGTAGACACTAACCTGCACATTATTCAGACACTAGATGGCGCCAAACAGTCAAAAACGCAAAGCTGACAGAAACAGCTGATGGAGTAGACACTAACCGGCGCATTATTCAGACACTAGATGGCGCCAGTTAGTCAAAAACACAAAGCTGACAGAAACAGCTGACGGAGTATACACTAACCTGCGCATTATTCAGACACTAGATGGCGCCAAACAGTCAAAAACACAAAGCTGACAGAAACAGCTGATGGAGTATACACTAACCTGCACATTATTCAGACACTAGATGGCGCCAAACAGTCAAAAACGCAAAGCTGACAGAAACAGCTGATGGAGTATACACTAACCTGTGCATTATTCAGACACTAGATGGCACCAAACAGTCAAAAACGCAATGCTAACAGAAACTGAAACAGCTGATGGAGTATACACTAACCTGTGCATTATTCTGACACAAGATGGTGTCAAATAGTCAAAAACAAAAGCAGCTGATGGAGTATACACTAACCTATGCATTATACAGACACTAGATGGCGCCAAGTAGTCGAAAACGTAAACCATTTCTATCAAAGATAGAGTAACCTACATATTATTCATTCGCAACACAGCACCGAACAGTCAAAAAATGCAATATGACAGACAAGCCGATACATATAAATGTGTATGTAAATGATCATATTCCCTGACGGTGATTAGCAGTCCTCGGATAAGTCTGTGCTATTCGGCGGTTGTTATCTGGGAATAACATAGTGTGAAATTTCTCACCTGACCAATCAAAATCGAATATTTCAGACAGCAACCTAATAATCTGCAATAACAACTTGCTGGATGTACATTCATCCCTCTCTTTTGTCATGCCTCCCAAAAGTCTTTACTAGAATGAAGGACGAAATGTTCGGTCACTGTTACAGGATTAGGAATAAACCCCTATTTTCCTTTTCTCTTATTATCGTGTGTGTGTGTGTGTGTGTGTGTGTGTGTGTCATTGCAGGATTCTGGCCACCGCTGGATCTCATATGAACATTCCTGTTGATCTGAGAACGCTGAGAGCTGTGCGCGTGCTGAGACCCCTGAAACTGGTCTCCGGTATCCCCAGTAAGTGATTCTTCCACTTAGTACATTTATAATTGTAATTATGCACTCTAACAAAAGGTTGGGCTATAATAATATTATAACACAACTTGGGTTTATCCATATTGGATATTGTTTCCCAGATTTTTTAGAAGAAAGATATGGGAGAAATATTTAAAGATGCGCATGTAGGATTGCCCAAGTGGTTGATCTAGGTATCGCAGCCCAAATCCAAAATATTGCAAGTGTATCTGTCTATTTGTCTATTTGTAGTAAGTTAGAGGCGTAACTTGATGTTATCGACATCCCATTGAACCAACAAGATGTTGTTGGCAAGATGGCGGAAATACTTACCAGAGAACATTTTCACCAGGGGCCTCATCATGTATCAACGCTGCGTACGCACAAAAAACTTTGTGTACACCAGGTTTCAGGCTCACGTTTGGATTTGCTAACGATGAAATGAGCGTGAGAATGTGTGCTGGTCCACACCAACTTCATGGCATATGTGCATTTCTTGTGTGTGTTTGTTTTATTTCCATTGGTGAATCCTAGAGGCAGTTGTGTTAAATTGCACACTATAAAGTGTCTTTAAGGCCGTGCAATGGCAGCTGTGTGGGACAGGATCATCCGCATGTCTAGCAGGTATATAAGGTTTCTGTACCATGCAGTTGACCAGCTAAACATTAAAGCGCAATTTGCAGCGGACGCTGGTTTTCCCAATATAATCAGAGCGATCGACCGCACACACATTGCTATAAAGGCGCCATCTGAAGACGAATTTGCATACGTGAATCAGAAACATTTCCATTTAATAAATGTGCAAATAATATGTGATGCTCAAATGCGCTTAACATAATACTTATCAATGATTCCTACTTGTTTTCCTTGTGATGAAGAGTAGGCAAAATCTAATGTGTAGCGGGAGAAAAAAGAAGAATGAGTTCATCAGACGCTGGATTCGAATCAAGTTCATGATCAATGGTGTCAAAACATGTTGCCGTGTGCTTTACAAGCTACGCCACTCACGCTGCTGTTTGCTGCTCTCTGTAGCTTTGTTGTCACTGTCAATCAAACGGTGATGGGCGGGAATCACTCAACTGTATCCAATGACGTGTGCTATTTGCACTTAGCCTAAATAGACACTACAAAATTTTGCATGCGACCATTCGTTTTTTTAATTCCCTCATAGTGCGACGTTCAGACCCCACTGCGTCAGCTAAACTCCCACTCTATTTTTTTTCTTTTGTTATTAATTTCGGAGGAAAAACTTGCAAATAACACAGTTTTTCTCCGGTCTACCTCCAATAGGAGCATCTCCAATTCACATTCTGTTCAAAGTTTTTATTCTTGCTTACTCTTGCCATTGCTTTTTTCATTTGGTTTTACCAAAGTAGAGTCATTAGCATATTTATTAATGGGAGGAGCCAGGGAGGGGTTTTGCACTCGTGCGATCAGTTTCACGTTAATTCGGATGTGCAAAGAGAATATGCGTGGGATTCGGCGTACGCAGTGTTTCATACATCTGAATTTTTTACTGCGTCGCACATTTACAGCTCTGTACGCAATGTTTCAGTATGAATTCAACGCAAGTCTTCATACATGAGGCCCCTGATGTTTACATGAGATTTCTCTAAACTTATCCACAACCAAGTCATTTGATATATCACTATATTCATCTATTTAGCAACTCATGCAACTCCACTCGCTGACTTCTTCATCTGTTTTGTCATGAAAGTTAGCCTACTCGTCGTCGCCCCCTGTGGTTGCAAATAACAGTACAAAGGCGAGCGTGTCAAGTATGAAAGCCTCCACAACTCGTGGCTGTACATTAATAACTGTGATGGTTGGGTTTACTGAAGGTGTAGCCGTTAATAACTGTGATTGTTGGGTTTTTGTTGGTGTAGACGTTAATAACTGATGTACAGTGCCACCTAGCCGACAGCATAGTTTTAACACAGCTCCAAAACTTCCTCTATTGACTCATTGCAAATGCAGGTTGCCAGATTGACAGCACAATCAGAAGCGAGTGTGCCTGACGCTATTAACGACACTGTTTGCAGCTCAGCTAATGTTTACATTTGTATTGTTTGCACCTAATGTAGATTGTAATAATCTGCATACTATTTTGGAGGCTACTACTGTCCTCCTGAGGTTGCATTGTCAGCCGTGTCAGCATACACTGAGAGCCTTCAGTACTGAAATGAATTACAGTGCATAATTTCCACCAAGGCAACCTGGAGTGCTGAAATATAATTGGCTAAACTGGCAGTGGGCTGGTTATAGAGGTCAAAACAAAGCCAGATATTCAAACGCAGGTATCTCAGAGGAGAATACCTGACTTCAGCATTGTTTTTCAGATGAGCAAGTGTTCACTTAGCATGTTTCTCAACCATATGCACACATATTATGGTATTTCTATCCTTTAGAAGAGTCACAAGCTTACATAAAGCACCTTTAAATAGTGATCTAGAATGGCAAGAATCCCACAGGAATGCTTTGTGGAAAAGTATGAACAGTATTTGGTATTTAAACTGTACTAATCCTGTTGATCTGCTCCAGGTTTACAGATCGTGCTGAAGTCCATCATAAAAGCGATGGTGCCGCTGCTGCAGATCGGACTCCTGCTGTTCTTCGCCATCCTGATGTTCGCCATCATCGGTCTGGAGTTTTACAGTGGGAAACTACACCACACCTGCCTGGCCGACCTGGATATACTCGGTATGGAGACACTTTTTGGCCCTTGAAGTCCACATGAAGTCAAAACTCACCGTATTGATTTTGCAGAGATGGGAAGTAATGAAGTACAAATACTTTGTTACTGTCCCTGTTACTTTGTTTGTCCCGAAACACATTACAATGACGGATTTTTGACTAACAGTGTAGCAAAATAAACATTGCAAATTTTGATTTTGTGGACTTTAAGGCTATATTAAATAACCTGAAATGAACTGGAATGCCATTGCCTGACTTTATCATTCAAGAAAACCGTGATTGGCTGAAATCTCAAGGTCTTTCCTAAACTCTGAGCATGAAAGATCTATTTCAGACTTCTGAATGGCCATCAACAGAGAAAGATGCCAGCTAAAGCTAACAAGGTCATGCGAAACGGATAATCGTTGACCCTGTGATTGAGGTGAATCTAGTGTTTCTCTATGGTACAGCTGATGATGTGCAGCTTGTGCCACCATTGGGTTTTTTGAGGATCCTTGGAAGGCAGCCTCGGTTTCACACCCTTGGATTTGTCACTCACGTCCTTCAGTCACCCACAATCCTTTGCACGCCGTCCAGAGCATGAAAATAAATTTACGGAAAATGAGTCAGCATCGAGCTCAGTCAGTGTCATCGACAAATGCAAGACGAAAACAGAGTTTGGAGATGAAATCATGCCTTTCTGCTGTGCTCCAGTCAGTCAATCGCATTATTAGAGCTCAGACGTTTGTTGTTTGCATGTTGGTTCATTTTTAATTAAATGTATTCTTTATCAGTGTATGTAATAGTGCTTCAGTGTTATGACACTAAATGACACTATATATGCAATTTTAAAAAATAATGCAATTAAATATCGTTAGATAGGTCAGCAAAATCGCCAGGTTTAGTGTACTTGGTGCATTATAAATACCTGTAATGATGTTTACAGCCACTTCGCCGACTAGAAGGAGGAGGCGGAGAACCGACGGAGATTTAAAGGCACCTATGGTGAACAATCTACTTTTCATGCTGTTTGGACAGACATGTGTGTATATATAGTGTATAGACTGTCATATTAGGCTGGTATAAACACACACAGTCCTTTTTTTAAAATTTAACAATATAAAAACGGTGGACCAATTGGAGCGGTTTTCAGACCGACCGCAACTTTACGTAGGAGAGCGGTCCCCCTGTCCATCAATATTGATTGACGGCCTCGCGTCACGATCATATCCTCAGTTTCTTGTTTCACGTCCTCCATTTTCAGCGTGTGAGTCAAAGCGATATCATTAAAGGAACACCCGTGCTCTATTTTAAGATGAAAGGCTTATTGGGCTCAACACAACATCAATATTCTCCATATTATCGCTCCTTTTGCGTAGCGCCGCAGTGCATATTGGAGTTCTGGGCGTGGGTTTTTGTTGCGGTGCATGCGGTGGACCTTCTGGTTGGCGCCGTTGTGTTTGCTTAGTGGGCGTGGCTTATTTTGTGGTATCATTGCGCTGGTTTTGATTGGCTATTTTGCTAGTTTTGCTTCAAAACCTGGCAACCCTGAGTATAGTATAGATGGCACAGACTGAACAATGGATTAAAGGTACAGTGTGTAGTGTTCTCCACTAGAGGGCGTGTGTTCACAACAAACAAAGGTGTATTAGGGTAAATGCTGAGCTAGTGTTGTTCCCATACTGATAAACTTCCGGTGAGCTGTTATTGTGAGTTTTTTTTCCATCTTATATGGTTCCTTTTACAGCATCGATGTTGTAATGTCATTAAAATACCATCAGTTAAACAGACTTTGGCATTCATTTAGTTGCTCAAGCGTAAAACAAGGCAAGCTGTTCACTCACACGCGCCCGTCAGAATCAGCAGACTAGCACAGAAGCTCCATTGAATATACTGGGGTGAAATAAATGCTCATGTTATAAAGACATGGCGGGGGGAAATGTAATGTAATGCAGTGCTTCTTGTACAATCTGAGACCAACTTTATAGCAGATATAACTCAGCCAGTGGAAATCGCTGATTTTTAAAGAAAACTGACCTTAAACGCGCTGATTCTGCAATGGCATACAGTTCACCGGAAGCGCTTAACCCAGGTTACTGGCAAATTAAAAGTCCTATTAGCATGCCTTCGGCACATACCCTTTTGGATGATGGTGTGACTGAGTTTGGAATCATGGGAGTTGTAGTCTCCATCCTGTGTGAGTTTAGTGTCATTTAGTATGGGACAAATTGTACATTTTTATGCAAATTAAATTATATTAATTCATAAGGATTAGCCACTTTTCTGATGATACATAAAATAGTGAGGTTTCCTCATGAGATTGTGCTGGGATAATGCATAGAGTGATATAAAAGATGTTTTACATATGGGCGTGGCTTATTTTGTGGTATCATTGCGCTGGTTTTGATTGGCTATTTTGCTAGTTTTGCTACAAAACCTGGCAACCCTGACTATAGTATAGATGGCACAGACTGAACAATGGATTGAAGGTACAGTGTGTAGTGTTCTCCACTAGAGGGCGTGTGTTCACAACAAACAAAGGTGTAGCTTGATAACGGTGAGCGCTATCTTGCCTAATGAACCTAATTAAGTTAAGCCTTTAAATGTCTCTTTAAGCTGAATATTAGTGTCTTAAAGATTATCTAGTCTAAAATGATGTACTGTCATCATGACAGAAATAAAATAAATTTTGGTTTTTGGATTTTGTAATGACAATAACGCTTTAAGGATGCATATTTCTGATGGAGTCAACGCTCCTAAATGTGTACTTTCCAACACTGTGTGTTTTTTTCAGATAATGAGACGGTGGACTCGTCGGAGGTGGATTTTGCTTGTGGTGTGAGGAAATGTCCTGATAAATACACCTGCAGCGGCTCTTGGATTGGACCCAATGACGGCATCACGCAGTTTGATAACATCCTGTTCGCAGTGCTAACAGTGTTTCAGTGCATCACTATGGAGGGCTGGACGGCGGTGCTGTATAATGTGAGTTCATGCAGATTTACAGTTAACTAATGCAAACTTATTAACCCTTATTTGTCTGTATTAAACTGATGGACAGTGAGAAATTAGGGGAAAAAAAAAATAATATCACCTCAAAGTGAAAGCATGTTTATTTTTCGTCAGATTATTAAAAGTGTGAACTATCGCTTTAATGTGACAATGTTGTGTTCAAACACGGTTTTAAGGAGCAAACTAAGATATAATATTCGGATGAGTGCTGAAATCATGCAGTAATTGTACATTTAAACATAGTGTTTAGTATTTGACACTCAGCAATTATGTATTACTACAGTATATCATAACAAATAATATATGCAGTTGAAGACAAAATGATTATCCTCCTGTAAAATTGAAATGATTATTTTTGCTTCATGCAGCGGATGTCTAATAGAGCAAGGAATTATTTTACATAATATTTCCTATAATAAGTATTTGTCTTCTAGAGAATTATTTAATTTAATTTTTTATTTTGGCTAAAATAAAAGTGATTTATTTATTTATTTATTTATTCATTTATTTATTTATTTATTTATTTATTTATTTATTTATTTATTTATTCATTCATTTATTTATTTATTTATTTATTTATTTATTTATTAATTAATTAATTAATTAATTTATTTATTTACCTTTATTTACCTTTATTTAGCTTTATGTATTTATTGTCCTTTATTAATTAATTAATTAATTTATTTATTTATTCATTTATTTATTTTCCTTATTTATTTAGTTTATTGCTTTTTTCTTTCTTTATTTTCCTTATTTATTTTCTTATTTATTTAGTTTATTTCTTTTTCTAATTTATTTCCTTTCCTTTCCTTTATTTATTTTCTTTCTTTCTTTCTTTCTTTCTTTCTTTCTTTCTTTCTTTCTTTCTTTCTTTCTTTCTTTCTTTCTTTCTTTCTTTCTTTTCCTTTTATTTATTTATTTATTTATTTATTATTTATTCATTTATTTATTATTTTCCTTTCTTTCTTTCTTTCTTTTTTCTTTCTTTCTTTCTTTCTTTCTTTCTTTCTTTCTTTCTTTTCTTTTCTTTATTTCTTTATTTATTATTTTCCTTTCTTTCTTTCTTTCTTTCTTTCTTCCTCTCCTTTTATTTATTTATTGATTTATTCATTCATTCATCCATTTTCTTTTATTTATTTATTTATTTATTTATTTATTTATTTATTTATTTATTTATTTATTTATTTATTTATTTATTTATTTATTATTTAAAAAATATTTATTTAATAATTTTCTTTACCTAACCTAGCCTAACCTAATTAAGCTTTAAAATTGCACTTTAAGCTGAATATCTAGCCAAATCACTAATAAAAAAATGTATACTGTCATCATGACAAAGATAAAAGAAATCGATTATTTTAAGATTAGTTTAGATTAGATTAGTTATTAAAAATATTATGTATAAAAATGCATTAAGAATGGTAAAAATGTATATAATTAACACATTATTGTGCCTTCAACTGTATAAGACACACCACCCATCTATAATTATCCTAAAATTATCATATAATTCTCTGATTAGATCATTTTGTTTTCAGCTTGTACATGATTTATAATGTTGTTATTTCCCCACAGACTAATGATGCTCTGGGACCCACGTGGAATTGGATATATTTCATTCCTCTCATCATTATCGGCTCATTCTTTGTGCTCAACCTTGTTTTGGGTGTCCTTTCTGGGTACGTATAACACATACATAGTCATTTATGACACACTAATGACACATTTTGTCATTTGATTAATTCATTCAGACTAAGATTTGGTTTTGTATTTGCTACAAAACCCAAAAGCAGACGTTACAACAATGCCAATTTCTCTTTCATACAAAACCCAAAAGCAGACGTTACAACAATGCCAATTTCTCTTTCATACACCACAAGGGCGGTAGAAAGCATGCAAAAGCACTCTAAACGCATTACTAAAGTAGTTGACATAACTTCTGAATTCATGCAGTACTGTGTGTGTGTGTGTGTGTGTGTGTGTGTGTGTGTGTGTGTGTGTGTGTGTGGAACAGAGCAAATGGAAGTCATGTGGGGAATAATTACAGGATTACAGGCTCCCAGCTGTGCATTATTTTTCTAATTCAACATCATGGAGTCAGTTATTTCACTTATACTGCAGTTAGCACACATTGTTCTGCTGTTTTATTTTAAGGCATTCTGTCTGTGTGGCTAATTTCTAATAATGCATCTCATCCCAAGCCTCTGCTGCTAATTTTAAAATGTCATTTAAGTGTGGTGTTTAATTAACTATTTAATAACTTAGGCTAGAGAGATAGAGGTTGGTTGGGTGGTTGATTGGTTGGATGGATGGACAGATGGTCGGTTGGTTGGTTGATTGGTTGGATGGATGGACGGTTGGTTTATTGGTTGGTATAGTGGATGATTGGCTGGATGGATGGATGAATGGATGGATGATTAGATGGAAAGATGCTTGGTTGGCTGGCTGGTTTGTAGGTTGATTGATTGGTTGGATGGATGGATGGATGTACAGTTGGTTGATTGGCTGGCTGATTGGTTGGTTGATTGTTGGACTGGCTGGCTAGTTGGTTGATTGGATGGATGGATGGTTGGCTGGTTGATTGGTTTGTAGATTGGATGGATGGATGGATGGATGGATGGATGGATGGATGGATGGATGGACGGACGGTTGGTTAGTTGGCTGATTGGTTGGCTGATTGGTTCATTGGTTGGATAGATGGATGCATGGATGGATGGATGGTTGATTGGTTGGTAGATTGGGTGGATGGATTGATAGATGGATGTACAAATAGTTAATGTGTTGGTTGGTTGGGAGATTGGTTGGTAGATTGGTTGGATGGATAGATGAATGGATGGATGGATGGATGAATATATGGACAGATGGTTTGTTGTTTGTTGGTTGGCTTAATTGTTGGTTGATTATTTTGTTGGTTGGATGGAGGGATGGATAGTTGATTCATTGATTGGTTGTTCGATTGGTTGGATGGGTGGATGGATAGATGAATGGGCAGATGGTTGATTGGTTGGTTGGATGAATAGATGAATGGATTGATGGATGTGTGGATGGACAGAAGGTTGGTTGGCTGGCTGGTTTGTTGGTTGGTTGGTTGTTTGGTTGGATGAATGGATGGACAGTTGGTTGATTGATTGGTTGGTGGATTGTTTGGCTGGTTGGATGGGTGGATGGATGAATGGATGGATGGGTGGTTGGATGGGTGGATGGATGAATGGATTGATGGGTGGTTGGATGGGTAGATGGATGAATGGATGGCCAGATGTTTTGTTGGTTGGCTTAATTGTTGGTTGATTATTTTGTTGGTTGGATGGAGGGATGAATGGTTGATTCATTGATTGGTTGTTAGATTGATTGGATGGATGGATGAATGGACAGATGATTGACTGGTTGGTTAATTGGCTGATTGGTTGGTAGATTAGTTTGGAGTTGGTTGGATGGATGGATGCATTGATGGACAGATGGTTAATTGTCTGGCATGTTGGTTGGTTGGATGGATTGATAGAAGGATGGATGAATCCATGAAAGGACAGATGGTTGGTTGGTTTGTCTGTAGATTGGTTGGTTGGTTGGTTGGATAGATGGATAGATGGATAGATGGTCAAATTGTTGGTTGGCTAGTATGTTGGTTGGTTGATTGATTGGTTGATTGGTTGGTCGGATGGATGGACAGATGGTTGGTTGGCTGGTTGGTTGATTGGTTAATTGGTTGATTTGGCTGGCTGGCTAGTTGGTTGATTGGCTGGATGGCTGGCTGGTTGGTTAGGATGATTGGATGGATGGATCAATGTATAGATGGTTGCTTGTTTGTTTGGTTGGTTGATTGATCAGTCGAATGGATGGATGAAAGGTTGCTTGGCTGGATGGTTGCTTACTTGTTTGGTTAAATGGTTGGATGTTTGGTTGATTGGTTGGGTGGTTTATTGGTTGATTGGGTGATTGGTTGTCCTGCTGGCTGGTTGATTGATTAATTAATTGGTGGTTTGGTTGATTTGATTGATTGGCTGGCTGGCTGATTTATTGGTTGTTTGGTAGGTTTGTTGGTTGAACATATATATTTGGTAAAAAAACACAAGCAAATAAATATAATTAATGCAATATATCAAACCCGAAATTCAGAGAATTTTTATAATTAAAATTTGTGGTGAAAAGTATTATAATTCTACAGGAAAACTGGACTTGGCAATCCTGACCTATAACTAGTTTAGCTGTGTAATTACCAGAAGGTAGCTGCACATCATATAACATGTGTCTGCCAATTAAATTAAAGCTTTTTTTAAAAACAATACATTTGGCACTCAAATATAGGTTGAATTTAATTGGAAGCTCCACATTCAAGCACATTTTTTTACATTACAGAAAGAGAAATCAACTTATTTTAATATCGTAACTCAATAATTTCATGGTTTGATAATATAACATGCTTATTTTGAAGATGTACAGCCAGTGAATGAATGTGAGAGTGATTAGCTTCTGGTGGGCCTGCAGTCGTGGGTGGGCTGGAAAGCATGCTTGGTTCTCTAGGGACTGATTACTGCACTCCTTCTAAAGTAAATCAGCCTCCACAGAGTTTCTCAGCACATCTATAGGCTTTACAGGTTGTGAAAGGTCAAATCTTAAATAGCATGCATTGTCTTGACCATTTACTGAATTTGTACTGTGTATATGTTTAATGACACTTCATTTGCTTAACGTTTCTCTAGGGAGTTTGCTAAAGAGAGAGAGCGGGTGGAGAACAGACGTGCTTTCATGAAACTCAGACGACAACAGCAGGTGGAGAGAGAACTGAACGGCTACCGGGCATGGATAGACAGAGCAGGTACTGACAAATGTTCATCAGTTCAGCTAATCTATGGCGTGCAAACAGTGATAGAAAAAGAACTATCATACTCAAGAGAAAGCACCATTACCATTAAAAACTTTTGTGCAAGTTAAGATGATCTGTTGATGAATGCCTCTGAAACATGACAGTTTCACTTTGTTATGGTTATACATTGCAAATACTATACTCCACAAGTACACAAGCTATGATGACTTTCACCTTGATATTTTAGTGTGGATGTATACCTAGCCGAATTGCACTGTAGGTGAAACGAACCTGTGTGTATTCCTACTGTGAAATTACCACATCAAACGTGACGTGCTAACATGATTGCAGTTTACACGAGTAAATCTAATTAATGTTAGCTCCACGTCTAAATATCAGGTACCTGTACAGTTTATACGTTCCAGTAAAACGCATACAAATAAAATGGAGCGGGTGCTTTTTTAAATAATTGTCGGTAAATTAAAGTCAAACCGGTGAGGCGTCTGACAAACAAGTGCACTTCTGAATCAAATCAGCAGAATGCCCTTCTGGATCTTTCACTTACTTCGAAGACACTACTGGCTACGCTTACATGAACGTCTGTAGTCTAGTTATTTGCCTTAATAGACAATAATATAATTAAGGTGTTTTCGTGAAGTGCTGTAATGTAAGAGTTTCCTGTAATTTTGTAAGTTTCACACTCACTCATGAACATTTCATTCATGCCCCCCTGACAAACTGGTAAGGAGTAAGGATTGGTGAGAGTGTTCTGGAATTTAATAACGCACGCCAATTGGAGAAAAAAAAACTTCCAGAAAGGGGTGGATGGGGTTGATTCGTAGAGAGTCAAAAAATGCTCGAGGAACAGTCCTGACGGAAATAGAGCTAGGAAGTGACAGCGCTATATGTAAATATATATGTATATATGATAGTATATCTCCTGCGGGAGTTAGGGCAGCAATTCTTGTTTTGCCGCCTCCAGTAAGAATCATTAAATGGGATTTGGGCGGTGGAGAATCCTGCTGGAGGGTGAGTGGCGAGTTTGGCGAAGACTCCTGCGGGAGTCAATGCTCGAGGAACGATCTTACTGGAGATAGAGAGGGGAGTGGCAGTGCTCTATATAAATATATATACATAAACATAAGTCTATTTTATTGAACCTTATTTATTTTCATCACCAATTATCATAGTAGAACAGTTTCTTAAGCAGTTTGTGATGCATTTTGGAAACAGGAGATAGCCCCTTGTCTAATGCGCCACCTGGCTTGACTGGGCACTTCAAAAGCAGAAATTTACTAATATTTTTAATAGTGTAGTTTGAAGAATCAGCAAAAGATGTGTTTTTTTTATGTAGTTTTGTTCTCAGATCTGTTTTTGTTGTCTAGTTATTCATACGGGCATATTTTTTATGGTAGAGTTTGTGTGTTTAGCACATGTTGGTTTTTTAGATGTTGTGCCTGAAGCCTGGAGTTCCTGCAACTGTTTGGGTCAAAGCATGGGTTGTTTTAAAAATAGTCATGCGCTAGTCAACAATGAACTGGTGACAGAGAGCTATCAGAGAAGTGCGGGCGAGATAATCTGGAGGAGTTGTGAGGAGACTGAAGGGAAATGTGGTGTTACTGTAAGCTGAGTGCTAAAAGTGCTCCAGAGACCACAGAAAAGAAGACCAGGGATTTTTTTAGGAGCCAGTGATGCTTTTACTCTTGCAATTATTCACCCTTGGGTGAATTGTTTTTTATTCTCAAATATTTCCCAAATTATGTTTAATTGAGCAAGGAATTTTTCACAGTATTTCCTATGCTATATTTTTTTCTGGAAAAATACAAATTAATACAAATATTTGTATTATTTTGGCTAGAATAAAACAGTTTTTAATTCATTTAAACCTATTTTAAGGTCATTATTATTAACCCCTTTAAGCAATATTAGTGTTGGATTGTCTTGGATTGTATTAGTGTTTGATTAGTGTTAGTTATACAGTGACTTGCCTAATTACCCTAACTTTACCCTAATTACCCTAGTGAATGGATGCTGTAAAAGAAACTGTAAAATTAGAAAAGCCGGAGGTTTATCAGTATGGGAAGAAACACTAGCTGCCCATATACCCTATTGCATAATTGAATATCAGCATATGTCTCTCTGAGATGTCTATGCTGTGCTGCAGGTGCTAGTTTTGCAGTATTTTATTTACTTTGGCATTTTAAAAATGATTTCAGCCAGGCTAGCGAAGTTTGGCCGGGTTCAGTGACAGACTGTGCTCTGATTGTGTAGTACACCTACACTACTCTTTTCACATTTCACCCTGCCACCCACACCTGAACACAACATTCAGGTGAACAGGAGTGTGAGAAGCTGCTCAATCGCCCACACACTGAAGGGTCAGAGAAAAGGTGACACTGACTCACTGACTGGAGTGTGTGTGTGTGTGTGTGTGTGTGTGTGTTGTCGTCTGTGCTCAGAATAGTTGATGGTTCTGCGCTATCCAGCAGATCACTGATAAGAGGCATACAAACTAAGGAGGAAAATCTGTCAAATTTGAGTACACGGACTGACACGGTGGCACAGTGGTTAGCACTGTAGCCTCACGGCAAGAAAGTTACTGGTTCGAGTCCGGCTGGGTCAGTTGGCATTTCTGTGTGGAGTTCGCATGTTCTCCCTGTGTTGGCGTGGGTTTCCTCCGGGTGCTCCGGTTTCAAACACAGTCCAAACACATGTGCTATAGGGGAATTGATGAACTAAACTGGCCGTAGTGTATGAGTGTGTGTGTGTGAATGAGTGTGTGTGTGGGTGTTTCCCAGTACTGGGTTGTGGCTGGAAAGGTGTTTGTTGCATGAAACACATGCCAGAATAGTTGGTTGTTCTTTTTTATAGTTCTTTGGGGGGACAACTTAATTTTTTCATGTTTAATCCACTTGAATTTGCAAAAACTGGATCAGGGTGGGGCCAAGCTGGAGCGCTCAATCTGATCCTCCGGCTCTGCAATGGTTGGCACACACACTCCTGATTCCCCCAGATTATACACACACACACACACACACACACAGCTGGAAGCTCATGTTGGACTGATTACCAGGACTATGAACACAGCACACACACAAACACATTGGATTACCCATATGTACCAGTTTGCTCCTGTTTTGACCGTTGCCTGTTTGACTATTCTGATTAATAGAGCTGCACGTGGATCCTCACCTCTGTTTCCCTGACTCATTACATAGCTAGAATACACAGAAAATGTAATTATTATAGATTGAAGGACAATGTTAAAGATTTAAAGACGTTTTAAAGATATTTGGAGTCTAGATGGAAAAAATGTTGGAGAAAAATGGGAGAGATTATATTATTCTGAACAGTTTTATAATTAGTTTTTTTTTGTCATGTATAATTGTTTTAATTCTATACTGAATTGTTATCAATTGCCTTTTTTACAAATATCTTTCTTAATCTGTGAATATGTGATAAATTCATAAATTTGATGTCTAGTCAGCGTCTAAGGACAAATTTAATTTGACATTCAATAAAGACGTTGATATTTGGTTGATTCTGTGTTGTGTCCAACCTGAAAAAGAAAAAAAAAGCGTCCAAAATCCAACTTCGAGCCAACATCTTAAACCAACGTCATATTGACATCAAATACTGACGTTTATTTGTCAGGTATGGCAACCAAAATCCAATGTCTGATGAATGTCAAAGTGATAACGTCCACACAACCTCAAGCTGTAGCATCATTAGACGTTGATATTTGGTTGATTCTAGGTCGTGTTGGAAAGTGACCAAAATCCAACATCAAGTCAACATCTCAAACCGTCATATTGACGTGAAATACTGACATTTATCCGTCAGGTATGGCAACCTAAATTTTAACGTTGGATAGACGTCATAATGGTAACATCCACACAACGTCAAGCTGTAGCATCATTAGACGTTGATATTTGGTTGATTTTAGGTTGTGTTGAAAAGTGTCCAAAATACAACGTTGAGTCAACATCTTAAACCAACGTCATTTTGACATCAAATACAGACATCCGTCAGGTATGGCAACCAAAATCCAACGTCTGATAGACGTCATAGTGGTAACGTCTACATAACTTCAAACTGTAACATCATTAGTAGTTGATATTTGGTTGATTTTAGGTTGCACATTGACGTTGGCCTGATGTTGGATTCTGACATCAACCCGAGTTTCATTTTCAAACAAAATGCAACGTCCCCACAACATTAGGGCACAACGTCAAGCTGACATCATGTTGACGTCTTGTGCCTGCTGGATAAGCGTGAGGGAAAAGAGTGAAGGAGAATAGACAACCCGGGCTCATTGTGGAAACCTAGCCCCGCGGACGTTTCTGCGGACCGCGAGATACGTCCTGGGAGGTACGTACTGGAGTGGTTTTTGTTTTCGCGGATCCGCTGTGCGCGCTTTTTTGCATCTCGGGCGCCTCTCGGGAGCGTGCGGCGTTCGCGCCTGCGCTGTTCTTGTGCGAAAAGCCGCCGGATCGGCGGACCCAGCCGTCCTCCTCTTCCTCCTCTTCCTCCTCCTTCCCTAAACCCAAGCGACGGTTTGCAAAAGCCGTCCAAAAAAAAAAAAGCAAAAGCCCTCGTCTTCGATTTCGACCTCGTTTTCGGATCCCGCCGCGTTCTCGCCCTTATTTATCGGATTCTGTTTTTCATCTTACCTGATTTCTGGAACCGCTGTTCCCCGGTCATCGTCCCCACGGCCGGCTCCTCCTCCTCCTCTGGGGCCTCCGCTCCGCCGACGCAACGCTGTGAGCTAAGCGGACAAACTGGTTGCATCGGGAAAGCCCTCCACTCGGAGGCGAGCCGTCGGCGCCACACCGCCCCGCAGCGTTCACTCGAAAAAAACTAAACGTGTCTGTACGTACCTCCAGGGTTGATAATAGAGGGATATAAAGTTTTATGTTTTTTTTAATGTGATAAATGTTGGTTGACTCAAAATTTTACCAGATGATGAGAGACTGAATCTTCTTTTCAGATCAGTGGTGATGTAATGATGCAGTTTATTATAATGTAGATGATCTTCTGTTGTTTTCATATGGGTTACAATGAGGAGGTCTATACAGTTCAGCATCTCAGGATCATTGCATTAGAAATGTTTTGATGGTATGAAATGTCAAATGTTTGGCTAAATCTCTCTCTCTCTCTCTCTCTCTCTCTTAAAGAGGAGGTCATGCTTCAAGAAGAAAACAAGAATTCTGGGAGGTCTGCATTAGATGGTATAGATTTCATATTCAGTTTCAGAGATCTGCACATGACTAAATGTAGTCACACTTTATAATAAGATTTCATTAGTGAATCTTACCTCATGTACTTAGCACAGTATCAGAATTTTCAGCAAATCAATCGGGCAAGTAATCGACGGGTTTCATTCAAATTAAAAATGTTTACTGAACGCTCATACGGTATAACTTCACTTGCCGTATTGCTTCACTTTCGCATCTCGATATATATCTCAATATAACTTAAAACTGTTAAATAAAGGTGGAGCAAACCATCCCAAACATATATGTAAACTACACATGTATTTGAGCACTATGAATACATTATATTTCATCAAAGTATGACTCTTACACTAACGATAACCAATAATAAACAATACTTGTACAGCATTTATTAATCATATCATTTACAACATGTACTAATGCATTATTAAAATCCAAATGCATGCTTGTTAACATTAATGCACTTTCAGTTAACATGAACTAACGAGCAAGTGTATCTTCATAAACGTTAACAAAGATGAATAATTACTGTGATAAAAGTATTGTTCGTTGTTTATGTTAGTAAATGCGTTAAATAACATGAACCAATGCAATCTTGGGTCCCACTTTATATTAAGTGTCCTTAACTACTATGTACTTGCATGCAATTAGTACTCACTGCAATTATAATGTATTTGAGAACACCTGTAGTGCTCTTGAGTTGGGATAGGGTTTGGGTTATGGACAGGTTTGGGGGTATGGGTAGGTTTAAGAGTGGGCTGTAAGGGATGGTAAACAGTATATTTAAATGTAATTACAGAAGTTAATTACAGATGTAATTACATTTAATCAAGCATAAGTACATAATAAATGTATGTATTTACACAAAAAGTACATTATAACAAACTATTAATTCCTGTGTAAGTACATATTAGTTAAGGCCACTTCATATAAAGTGGGACCCAATCTTGACTAACGCAAAGGAAATGCTTTCTCCAGAAGAAGAAATGTCCTCGCTCTAATTAAAAATGTAGCTGTAATTAATACTTCTTTGAAATGAAGCAATCCACAATGTAGTAACAACTTATTTGTATTATTGTCTATATGTTGTTATGATAAATGACATCTGTCCAGCAAGTGGTGATGTTTAACACTCTTTGTTTAAGTATTGAAACGAGCCACAAGCAAGAAAAACGCAAGACGTCGAGGGCCAGGAGAGGAGAAATATTCTGAAATCTCCACAGTTGGTAAGTCAAAATAAATATAATAAGTTTTTTTTTTTTCTTCAAACAGGCTAAATAATCTTAAATAAAAGCATTTCAAAGTCTGATGTAGGGAGAGAAGTTATTCCTAAAAGTGCATTTTATGGGGAATACGAGGGTGAACACATGCTATCTAACTGAACTATTAAATGTATGTATATATATATATATATATATCATGAACAATATCATGAACTTTTTGGTTAAACTCGACTGATATAAAATTGATATGTATTTTACAACCCTTGACAATTGAAATGAGGCTATGTGTGAGAAAGATGTATATTTTGTCTGTGGGTGTCGCTGTTCCAAATTTTCACTTATAATATCTAATTTACCATTGTTCATTTATTCATTTTTTTCAGCTTAGTCCTTTTATTAATCAGGGGTCGCCACAGCGGAATGAACCGCCAACTTATCCAGCATATGTTTTACACAGCGGATGCCCTTGCAGCTGCAACCCATCACTGGGAAACATCCATATGCATACACTACAGACAATTTTAGCATACTCAGTTCACCTGTACCACATGTCTTTTGGACTTGTGGGGGAAACCGGAGCACCAGGACGAAACCCACGCGAACACAAGGAGAACATGCAAACTCCACACAGAAATGCGAACTGACCCAGCTGAGGCTTGAACCAGCGACCTTCTTGCTGTGAGACGATCGTGCTAGCCACCGCGTCACCTAATTTACCATTGTCATACATTAAAATAGGGATGTATGATAGCTGAGCGAAATTCTGCCGTGAAACTCTGACCAATGTGAGGAGGGTTTACTTGCATGCAACTTGTTTAAACTATTTTGGTCCATTAGAAATGTTGCCGTGTGAAAGTAAACCTGAAACTGAAGCAAACGGCAGGAAAACAGAACAAAGGAAATCACGTGACATAACAAAATCACATAGAGCACAAGACATGGGAAACACATGATACTGACAGTAGTTGGCGGTTCATTCCGCTGTGGAAATGCCTGATAAAATCAGGGACTAAGCTGAAGGAAAATGAGTGATTGAATGTTATTGATGAGTGCTCCGTCTCTCTGTGTGTGTTTCAGCAGGTGGATCTCGTCCGAGGGTTGGCATGCGGACGCCGAGGCGAGGTCCTGCTGCGTATCTGAGGCGTAAAGAGCGAATGTTACGCTTCTCCATTCGCCGCATGGTGAAAACCGACAGCTTCTACTGGATAGTGCTCAGTCTGGTGGCGCTCAACACCATCTCTGTGTCCATCGTTCACCACAACCAGCCCGAATGGCTCACCGTCATTCAGTGTGAGTGCCAGATTCAACATATTATATATATCAGCAAGTCTATAAGGAGTTTAACCCCAACTTTGTGTCAGCAGTGTGTGAATATCTCCAGCCTCTAATGGCAAACATGACTTAATTCTGTTTTTTTCTAACCAGACTTGATGTGATCAGTCTGCAGGAACACTTTGATTGACATTCTCCCTTTGTATGATGTCATCAGAGGGGGAAAGCCCCGCCCACTAGTGCTCATCTCTTCCTCATTAGCATAAACAGCAGCCCTGAGTGAGAAGCAGCCACTATGCTGATGCATTAGCATTTGTAGCTCCACCCTCTTCTGAAGAGCACAATCTCATTTGCATTTAAAGCGACAGTCACCAAAACGCCCCAATTGGGATCAAAGCCTGAAAGGGTCAGTTTCAGAGAGTTAAACATTATCTGTGTGCTATTTTGAGCTCAAACTTCACTATACACGACACATCAGAGACGTATTGTACATTTTATTTTATATGGAACCTAATAGGTCTCCTCATATTTTCTGTGCATGCCTTATCATGCTTTAACACACCTAATGATAACTAGCGTTAATGAATGCGTGCTGTGTTGAATGTGCTCTGGTATCTGGGCTCTAAGTGTGGGTGGCCAATGTGGAAAAGCAGGCCTGCGTTTGTTTCAGCATCTACTGTACAAGTAAACGTCCCTCCATCAACCTTTCTCTCTGCTATCTTTGATCAGCACCATATGAGAGAAACATTTACAACACTGCCCGCCTCCATCTGATGAACTTGGACCTCTCTCCTGCACTCAGTAACCCTTTGTATCAGACACAGAAATAAGCATGGCATCCAAATTAGAGATGCACTGATGCATGATTTCCTTGGCTGATTCCGATTTTTACTTTGCTTTTGCAGTTTTTGCAGATTCAGATTTTCTAGAAATTATACAAATATACAAACAAACCAACAAATAAATAAATAAATATATATTTTTTTATAATAAACAGTAATCCCCAAGCCTTTTACTGCAAACTGCATGATAGTTGCTGAGACTTTTATGTCAGTATGTTGATGCACTTCCAGCTGAAACTGAATATGGAGTAGGAGGCGGAGCTTTCAGCATGTTAATGCACTCCCAACTAAAACTGAATATTGAGCAGGGGCGGGGCTTTCAGTATGTTGATGTTCTTCCAGCTGAAAGTGAATATTGAGCAGGGGCGGGGCTTTCAGTATGTTGATGTACTTCCAGCTGAAAGTGAATATTGAGCAGGGGCGGGGCTTTCAGTATGTTGATGTACTTCCAGCTGAAAGTGAATATTGAGCAGGGGCGGGGCTTTCAGTATGTTGATGAACTTACAGCTGAAACTGAATATTGAGTAGGGGACGGGGCTTTATTTCAGTATGTTGATGCCCATCCAGCTGAAACTGAATATTGAGTAGGGGCGGGGCTTTATTTCAGTATGTTGATGTCCATCCAGCTGAAACTGAATATTGAGTAGGGGGTGGGGCTTTATTTCAGTATGTTGATGCACTTACAGCTGAAACTGAATATTGATAAGGGGCGGGGCTTTCAGTATGTTGATGTACTTCCAGCTGAAAGTGAATATTGAGCAGGGGCGGGGCTTTCAGTATGTTGATGCACTTACAGCTGAAACTGAATATTGAATAGGGGGTGGGGCTTTATTTCAGTATGTTGATGTCCATCCAGCTGAAACTGAATATTGAGTAGGGGCGGGGCTTTATTTCAGTATGTTGATGTCCATCCAGCTGAATCTGAATATTGAGTAGGGGGTGGGGCTTTATTTCAGTATGTTGATGCACTTACAGCTGAAACTGAATATTGATAAGGGGCGGGGCTTTCAGTATGTTGATGTACTTCGAGCTGAAACTGAATAATGAGAAGGAGGCGGGGCTTTCAGTATGTTGATGTACTTCGAGCTGAAACTAAATAGTGAGAAAGGGGCGGGGCTGTCAGTATGGCTATGAACTTCCAGCTGAAACTGAATATTAAGTAGGAGGCGGGGCTTTCTGTATGTTGATGCACTTCCAGCTGAAACTGAATATTGAGTAGGGGGTGGGGCTCTATTTTAGTATGTTGATTCACTTCCAGCTGAAACTGAATATTGAGTAGTTTGCGGGGCTTTATTTCAGTATGTTGATGCACTTCCAGCTGAAACTGAATATAAAGTAGGGGGCGGGGCTTTCTGTATGTTGATGCACTTACAGTTGAAACTGAATAGTGAGAAGGGGGCGGGGCTGTCAGTATGGCACATTATTGCAACACTGATTGAGCTTAGTCTGTGTGTAAAGTTCAGCAGATCATCAGCAGACAGCCTCAGGTTTTCGTTTAATGCATGTCAAACAGCCCATGGTGTTTTTAACTAGAGCGCCATCTGTTACCCAGATAATCATAAAAAGCAGTGTTTAGCGATAGCAGTTGCCCTTAGGAAGTTACGCCCGCTTGTCTGAGCTTCAACACACTTTCCTGAAAGATTCTAGTGATCTTGAAGAAATAAAGCACAAAAACAACTCATTCAACAACCACTACAACATCATTAATGTCAGATAAAAATAGAACCAAACGAGGCACAAATACACAGGATGATAATGAAATGAAAAGACGTGATAATCAAATGCCATAGAAATGAAATAGTGTTGTGAAATGTCCTAATGCAAAACACGATTATTTTGCTTACCTCGATGACAAATTATTCTACTTATTTTATGGAAAAACCCACTTAATTTTGACGTTATTTCTTAAAATAAAGCTATATATTTTTTGCTTTTCTGTAAAATGCTTCTTCTATTTAAATGTTTATAGATATTTGGACTAGAAACAAAAACTCTAATTAAGAAAAGCATAAGTAACGTATTTCAGATTCACAAAAATGTAAACAGCGCCCTCTAGTGGATGTGTCATCTAAAACGTACAACAAAACACACCCCAAGTAACGTATTTCAGATTTGCAATAATGTAGACAGCGCCCTCTAGTAGATGTGTCATTAGAAACGTACAACAAAACACCCTAAGTAACGTATTTCAGATTCGCAATAATGTAGACAGCGCCCTCTAGTGGATGTGTCATCTGAAACGTACAACAAAACACACCCCAATTAACGTATTTCAGATCACAAGAAAAAATTAACAGCGCCATCTAGTGGAAAAAAACATTATTTTTGCAGTGTATAAGTGGAATTTTGTATATTTTACTTCAGGTTTATTTTACGCTTTGGGATGGTTGTGTAATTTACATATTTTATCAAAATGTCTGTCTGTCAGTGTTTTGAATGAAGTTTGTTTATTATAAATCTGTACAAAAAAAAGTCTGGTGGAAAACTCTAAAAGCTCTTCTCCAAGGTCACTGTCTGAATGCTGCTTGTGATGAAACATCATCTGTTTTACGGCTCTGAAAAGAACATTTTATCCTGAGACGCACTTTAACTAACAGAAGCACTTCAGGGAAACATGCTTTATTTTTTTTTCAGTGAAAATCCTGATAATTAAGTGGCTGCAAAGAAATGCACTACAAAAAAGCTTTTCTTATTTAAAGTTTTTGACTTGTTTTTTAGTCCAAATATCTAAAATTCTTAAATCTAGAAACATTTTCTAAACAAGCACAAAATATAGTCTCGTTTTCAGACATAATGCATGAAAATAAAGTGAGTTTTTCCTTAAAACAAGCAAAATAGTCTGTCAATGGGGGAAGCAAAATAATCCCGTTCCAGTTCATCACATTTCGTATCCTGTCGAGTCGTGTACTGTTGATCCTTGCCAGCCTGCCCAATCAAGTTTTTTTATTCTTGATGCTGGTAGTTTGTTTTGCTCTGTATTTTATTTTATTATTAATAAAAGCTCATAATTTTCATCCTCGCTCCTTTCTCCACCCACCAACCATGACAAAAACAAACTTATTTTGTTTACCCCATTGGCAGATTATTCAGCTTGTTTTAAGGAAAAACTGACTTAATTTTGGCATATCATGTCTGAAAACAAAACAATATTTTGTGCTTGTCCAGAAAATGCATCTTAATTTAAGAATTTCTAAATATCTGGACTAGAAAACTCCAAGTAAGAAACCCATTTCTCTGCAGTGGAGCATGTTGTCATTATGGCTCAGTTAAGCTGTCACAGTGCATTCCTGCATTTCTTGTCCAGAATAACAAGCATGGACCTCTGTCAGAGTAGATGCTGTATTCATTTTTTATTCTCATAAATGGCAAGAAGTACAGATGTACTCGACGCGGAAGGGTTTATTTTAAAAAGCGAGAAAAATAGCTTAAAACAAAGCCTACTTGCGAAACAAATTAGCATGATAAAGAAGCATTATCAACAAAAGCTGGAACGTTCATTTTTAGCAGCATAAAAACAGATCCATTGTCAACACAGAATGATAAGAAACAACGTCTTAGAAGAGGTATAAAGGGGAGCTATCATGCAGAAATCACTATTATAAGGGGGTGTGTGTCAGCAGTGTGGGAATATCTCCGGCCTCTAACGGTCAACATGAATTAAATGTGTTTATTATTGTCAGACTTGATGGATGAAACACTTTGATTGACATTCTCTCTTTAAATGTGTCATCAGAGGGGGAAAGCCCCGCCCACTAGTGCCCATCTCTCCCTCATTAGCATAAACAGCAGCTCTGAGTGAGAAGCAGCCGTCTGTCCATTAGCCATTAGAGTGTGTGAGCTGCTGGAGATAATGTCAGCATAGACTAAGAGGATTATAGATGTGGAGTTTTAGATGAACAGCGACAGGAGCCACATAGACTGACAGAAGCATGAAGTAGAGGTCTGCATCAATTTCCGAATAAATCACGGGAGCGGTCGGTAACGGGTTTAATTTGGGATGGGAGCGGGCTGTCTAGCAATATCGCGGATATTGCTATGCGAATGAAAGAGAGAGAGAGCTTTGGCTGTGTGTGTGCTTGGTGCTTGTGTGTGTGTATGTTAGTGCGCACTCGCAAATGAGAGAGAGAGAGAGAGAGCTTTCCCAGATAGCAAAATACACTCAGGCCAGTTCCGAGTAAGCACACTTAAATAAACCCCTTTTTCATAGAATGAATTAATATTAGAAAAAGCAAAATTAGGAGCATCAGACTGGCATACAGCAGATGATTACATGATGCTATTTACATGATTTAAATGTGAGAAGACATCATTGATGTTTAGTGGTGATTGTCAGTTTCCAGCTGAACAGACTTCAGCTTCATGCAAATGTGCAGCAGAACAATTGTGCAGGCTACTTGTGCAATATTACAGTCAAGTACAAGCAATTACCAGCACCCCGCCGAACAGAAGGAGATTTAATCACTGTCATTGTGAAATTTTATTTCTGTGTTTTATGATTTGTAATGTTTTTGGATATGGACTAAGAGTAATAATAATAGGGCGTATGCAGATTCATTGATTTTAATAAGAGCAATTTGGTCTTGATACAGACATGGTGTTGGTACCACACTTAATTTTAGACATGTTTGACTCAAATTAAAATCTTTCTTTACTGTTTTCAGATTACACAGAGTTTGTGTTTCTGGGGCTTTTTCTTGCTGAGATGTTTCTGAAAATGTACGGCCTTGGCTTCCGTCTGTACTTCCATTCGTCCTTCAACTGCTTTGACTGTGGGGTAAGTGTTTGTTTGTTAATTAATTAATTAATTAATTAATTAATTAATTAATTAATTTGTTTGTTTTTATTTTTTATTTATTTATCTATTTATATATGTTTATTTTTTATTATTTTATTTATTTATTTATTTTTGTTTTTATTTATTTATTTATTTTTGTTTTTATTTATTTATTTATTTTTATGTTTTATTATTTATTTATGTATTTTTATTTATTTATTTATTTATTTTTTATGTTTTATTTTTTATTTATTTTTATTCTTTATTTATTTTTATTTCTTTATTTATTATTTCTTTCTTTATTTATTTATTATTATTTATTTATTTTTTATTTATATTTATTATTTGTTTTTTATTTATTCATTTATTTATTTTTATTAATTAATTAATTAATTCTTTATTTATTTATTTTAATTTTTATTATTATTTTTTTAATTATATTTTAAAAGGGGTCCTTTTATGCCCTTTCACAAAGTCTTGATTCTGTTTGGAGGTGTACTAGAACATGCTCTCTTGCTTGTTGTTTTGAAAAATGCTTTATTTTCCACATTATTAGCATTACATTAGACACCTTGCTCCTCAGCCTGGCTTGATTAGTTCTGGTTTTGACTAAGACCCGCCTATTGAAAAACAAAATGTGCTGTGATTGGTTGGATGTGGCATTGCGTTGTGATTGGTTAACAGGTAGGTGATGTTTAGTATGGCCACTCTCCTTTTCTAAAGCAGTAGGTTTTGCCTGTTCTGGCGCTGAGGCAAATAAAGACGAGCACAATACTTATCAAAAACCAAAACTTTTACACATTCTTAATGAATTATGTTTATTTTAAGTTTTCTAGACAGTTAAAAACATTTATGTACTAGCAAATCAAAACATTTATGGCTGGTAAGACACACTGGTGTTTACAGACAGCGATGATGATCCTCTGACAAAGTGTGTTATTCAGCAACAGATACTAGCTGTTTAGAAAACTAAAACATTTACTATATCCTTCTCCCAGTGAGAAAAAAAAAGTAGAGCTGCTGGATTTACAACATGTAAACTCATCAACTTGTCACAAAATACAAAAAAGTATGTGTCTTACGTTCATGCATTTTGTGAATGTTGAATGAGTTTACATGTCGTGATCCAGCAGCTGTGCTTTTTGCATTGTGGTGCAGCTTATCAGCCATCAAATATGAGCTAATATGATCATTCGTAAGATGTTTAAACAACAAAACATGTGTTAAAACTCTATCTGAGAATCAGAATCTTAGATATTTCTCAACATAATCAACTTGAGCCAGTAATATTGGTCAAAACATATCAAAGTAGTAACATTATTGTGGTTTTGCCACTTTCGCATCCATTTGAATGTCTATTGGTGGGATTTGGGCCATTTGTGACATCATAAATGATGGAAAAACGTTTGTCGTTTGTTGTTTGTAGTTGCTAAAATGTTATTTTTTATTTATAAATAAAGTATATCTTCCTGTGAAGTGGACTTTGAGAGTTTGTAACTTTAATATACCCCAAAATGCACACTACACACTTATAAACAATAAAAAAAGTGAAAAAGTATGATTGTGCCCCTTTAAATTAAGTTTAAAACAGCCAGTAAAGCTACACAGTGTTGATGTTCTGATGTTTAACCATGCGTATGCTGGTGTGTGTTTTGTGCAGGTGATTGTCGGCAGTATTTTTGAAGTGGTTTGGGGATTCTTCAGGCCTGGGGTGTCTTTTGGCATCAGTGTCCTCCGAGCTTTACGTCTGCTGCGGATCTTTAAAATTACCAAGTAAGTTTTATAACGTTTATTCAAAGGGTTCTGTTTGTGTCACACGATGACGACTAGCAAACTTTGTGTTTGGAAAAAATGACAGGACAGTAAATAATTCTGACTTTAATTGTACATGGAAGTAAACAAATAATGCAAAGAAACATTTTTAATGTGTCACCAGGTATTGGTCGTCCTTGAGGAATTTGGTGGTGTCCCTTATGAGCTCCATGAAGTCCATCATCAGTTTGCTCTTCCTCCTATTCCTGTTTATCGTCGTCTTCGCTCTTCTCGGCATGCAGCTGTTTGGCGGCAGGTGAGAACGTGATTCAAAGTAGCACACACACAATGTTTTATAACTCTCACTTTTAGGTCAAATTGAGGCATTGTGGTCACTGTCACTTTAAATGCAAATGAGATTGTGGTATTTTTCAAGAAGGGGTGGAGCTATAAATGCCATTGTGTCTCTTAGTCTATGCTGACATCATCTTCAGCAGCTCAAACACTCTAATGGCTAATGACAGACGGCTGCTTCTCACTCAGGGCTGCTGCTTATGCTAATGAGGGAGAGATGGGCACTAGTGGGCGGGGCTTTCCCCCTCTGATGACATGTTTAAAGGGAGAATGTCAATCAAAGTGTTTCATCCATCAAGTCTGATTACAATAAACACAATTCATTCATGTTGACCAATAGAGGCTGAAGATATTCACACTGCTGACACACAACTGGGTTTAAACCCCTTATGAACTTGATTTTTACACAATAGGTGTCCACATCTTCAAAATCTCCATTGACAGGTCTTTCTCCTCCACAGGTTCATCTTTGAGGATTACACTCCTACTAATTTTGACACATTTCCAGCATCCATCATGACGGTGTTTCAGGTATGACAATGTAAAGCTTTTATATTTTGTGCTGTTCTCCAATAACTGTGATTATTGTCACTATATATAGCGGAATACTTAATTCTGATTGGTCAATTTGGTAGGTAGTAGTTTTCCCAAAATAAAGCCAGACTGATTTATCAGCAGCCCGATATTAAGCGAAGAACTGTTGTATAAGACTGAAGGGTTTATTCCGGGAAAACAACCATCCTGGATGTACTTTATCCTGATATTTATAGAGATACTTGCCACAAAACATACAAATTAGACACAAAAGATTGTGAAAGAATTATAATAGTTTATTATAACTTTAAATGCAAAGCTGACAGAAATCAAATCAGCTGATGGAGTATACACTAACCAGCGCATTATTTAGACACTAGATGGCACCAAACAGTCAAAAACACATCAGAAACTAAAACAGCTGATGGAGTATACACTAACCTGCGCATTATTCAGACACTAGATGGCACCAAACAGTTAAAAACACAACAGAAACTAAAACAGCTGATGGAGTATACACTAACCTGCGCATTATTCAGACACTAGATGGCGCCAAACAGTCAAAAACACGAAGCTGACAGAAACAGCTGATGGAGTATACACTAACCTGCGCATTATTCAGACACTAGATGGCGCCAAACAGTCAAAAACACAAAGCTGACAGAAACAACTGATGGAGTATACACTAACCTGCACATTATTCAGACACTAGATGGCGCCAAACAGTCAAAAGCACAACAGAAACTAAAACAGCTGATGGAGTATACACTAACTTGCGCATTATTCAGACACTAGATGGTGCCAAACAGTTAAAAGCACAACAGAAACTAAAACAGCTGATGGAGTATACACTAACCTGCGCATTACTCAGACACTAGATGGTGCCAAACAACATAATAAGTGCATGTTACGTTAAATTAAGTGCTATTATTAAAATTATAAAATCTATACGAAATATATTTACTTGCAAGCCTGTATATATATTATGTTGATGGCTCTTGTTTACTTCACCGTAGATTCTCACCGGAGAGGACTGGAATGAAGTGATGTACAACGGGATTCGTTCTCAAGGAGGAGTGCATTATGGGATGTGGTCTTCCATATACTTCATCGTTTTAACTTTGTTTGGGAACTGTATCCTTTTTAGCAATGGCTGTTTACTGTGAAATATTACAAATGATTAAGTCCGCATGAAACGAGAGCTGCAACCTTTTTTCTCCGTATTATGACGGAATATTAAATGAGAAAACAGTGGGCGTGGCTTGCTTTTTTCTACTGTGTGATGATTGGATGTAGTAAAGTAGGCATTTCATTTAGAAAGATGGGGAAAAGGGTTTGGGGTTGGGGGGAGTTATTACTACCTAACAGATTCGTCCTGCTCACCATTTCTGTTTGTTGTCAAAACTGACAGCTGGAGGGGCGTGGCTAACATACTTAACCACGCCCAAAACCTCAGACAGGCGTAATATGAGCATATTTAGATTTCAGTTAAAGATTACATGGGCAAACCTTTTTTTTTCTTAATGACAAGCACAGATTAATCGTTCTCTTGAAAATTAACAATGTGAGCTAACATAATCATGATGGTTAGTATTTATTTTGTGTACTTTAAAATAGATTAAAAAGATGAAGGTAAATAATAATGCTATTGTTCGCTATGTGTAATTTTGCTGTTCGATATTTTCTTGACGATGCCGCGAACAGACACACTGCTCAATGTATTCTTGGCCATTGCTGTGGATAATCTAGCCAATGCACAGGAACTAACTAAGGTAAGACTGTTGAATGATACACCCTCTATAAGAGATGTATAATGCGTAATGTAATTTATATGTAACCAAAAATCATCTATAAAGTATTAATATGACATATTTATGTTTAGCTTAATGAGAAAAATGGGTGAATGGATGGTTGAAGTTGATGGATGGAGGAATTATGATAAATGGATGGATGGATGGATGGATGGATGGATGGACGGACGGACACATGGAGGAATGGATGATGCATGGATGATGAAGGATGGATTGATGGATGGAGGGATGATGGATGATGAAGGATGGATGGATGGATGGACAGAAGGATGGATGGAAGGATAGATGGATGGATGGATGGATGGATGGATGGACGGAACAATGAAAGGACGGATGGACGGATGAACAGATGGATGATGATGAATGGATGGATGGGTGGATGAATGCATGGATGGATGGATGGATGGATGGATGGATCGGTGGATCGATGGATGGATTGATCGATGAAAAGGCAGACAGATGGACAGATGGATGATGATAGATGAATGGATGGATGATGCATGGATGATAAAGGATGGATGGATGGATGGAGGGATGATAAATGCATGGGTGGATGAATGGATGGACAGAAGGACGGATGGATGGATGGATGGATGGAGGGATGATAGATGGATGGATGGATGAATAGATGGATGGATGGATATTTCGATGAACGGACAGATTGATGGATGATGAATGGATGGATGGATACATGATGAATGGATAAATAAATGGATGAATGAATGGATAGATGATAGATGAATAGTTGGATGGATGGATGACTACATGGATGGATGGATGGATGGATGTATAAATGGATGATGAATAGATGGATGAATGCATGATAGATGGATAGATGTAAAGACAGATGGCCTGATGATGGATGGATAGACGGATGAATTTGCAGATGGATAATGGATGCATTATGATGGATGGATGCATGATGGATTGATGGATGATAGATGGATGGATAGAGGTAAAACTATATAAAATTACATGTTTTCAAAGAGCTCTATAATAAGTCTAAATGTAACCAAAAATCATCTATAATGTAATAACATGACATACTTATATTTAGCTTAATGAGAAAAATGGATGGATGAATGAATAAACGAACAGATGGATGGATAGACAAACCGATTAATGAATGGATGGATAGATGGACGGATGTATGGATAGATGGACTGACAGATGGGTAGATGAGTAAACAGATAAACGGATAGATAAAAATATTGGGATATATTTGAAAATGAATGAAAATTTCACACTAATAATTTAGCCTTCAGCCGTGTGTACATCGAGTGCATTAACTTCTGTGTGCGTTGTGTATAACATTAGCATTGATGCACTTGACTTAAGAGCATGAATACTAATGAAAAGCATGGCAATAATATAATGTATGCTGTGTGCTGTTAGAGTCAAGAGGTTTATTTTGTGTTAGGAAGAAGAGGAGGAGGAGGAGGAGTTCTTCAACCAGCGCTATAAAAGCAGAGAATTCGGCCTCTCGGAGTGAGTTTCGCCACTTTTTATATTTGCAAATATTGTAATATGATGCTGCTAAGAGAAACCTGATGCTAACTGCTGACTGTTGCAACTCTTCTTGTGCTTCGGACATGCTTTTAAGCCATTATGCTATACTGTGTAATATTTCAGACCCATCAAACACGTGAACAGAAGTGTCATATATGAATGTACCATGTGTCTGTCATGTTTTTGATCAGTCTTGGTTCTGGTCAAATTTGTTAGGAATGAGCTGTCTTTAAATTTTGTTTATCAAGACTGTAAGAATTAATTTATTATTTATTTAGCTTTTATGCTTGAGTTGCTAGGAGACTCAAGCACCCGCACCACAAGGGAAATATTGTGTTTATTTAAAAGTAGAAAAAAAATCTGTGTTATTATAGCTTTGAGTGATTATATGTGTTTACTTAATCAGAGAGTGTAATTTAGATTTAATTAGGTTTAGAGCAATAATCAGTGAAATATGAAAAATCTGAGACCAAATCCTAAACTCAGCCAGTCAGTTGATCAATCAATCAATCAATCAATCAATCAATCAATCAATCAATCAATCAATCAATCAATCAATCAATCAATCAATCAATCAATCAATCAATCAATCAACCAATCAACCAATCAATCAATCAATCAATCAATCAATCAATCAATCAATTAACCAATCAATCAATCAATCAGTGTGGCAGTCAATCAATCAACTAAACCAATCAATCAATCAATCAATCAATCAACCAACCAAACTAATCAATTTATCAATCAATCAATCAATCAATCAATCAATCAATCAACTAAACCAATCAATCAATCAATCAATCAATCAACCAAACTAATCAATTTATCAATCAGTCAATCAATCAATCAATCAATCAATCAATCAATCAATCAATCAATCAATCAATCATTCAGACAGCTAGTCAGTTAATCAATAAATCAATGAATGAATCAATGAATTAATGAATGAATGAATCAATCAATCAATCAATCAATTAATCAATCAATCAACAAACCAGACAGTCAATCAATAAACCAACCTACCAACCAATTATCAATCAATCAACCAGTCAGTCAACCAACCAACCTACCGATCAACTGACCAACCGACCAATAAGTCAGTCAGTCAATAAATCAAGCAATCAACCAGTCATTCGATCAATAAATCAATCGAATCAATCAATCAATCAATCAATCAATATAACAACCAACCAAATAATCAATCAATCAATCAGTGTGACAGTCAATCAATCAACTAAACCAATCAATCAACCAATCTAATCAATTTATCAATTAGCCAATCAGTCAATCAATCAATCAATCATTCAGACAGTCAGTCAGTTAATCAATGAATCAATCTATTAATCAATCAATGAACCTGTCAGTCTGTCAATCAATCAATCCATCAATCAATCAATCAACCAAACAAACCAACTAACCAACCATCCAACCAAGACAGCCAATCAATCAATCACTATACCAACCAACCAATTAATTAATCAAGCAATCAATCAACCAGTCAGTCAGTGAATCAATCAATCACTCAATCAGTCAGTGAGACAGTCAATCAATTAACCGAACCAATCAATCAACCAAACCAATTAATCATCCAACCAAGTCAATCAATCAATCAATCAATCAATCAATCAATCAATCAATCAATCAGCCAACTACTCAATCAAATCCCGGTGTAGTTCTTGTGCTCTGAGCATTTTCACACTAGTCTTTGATTTAAAAGATGATTATTAAACATTTGAAAGGATTTAATAGTCTGATTCCTCTTTTTATCATTAATGCATGTCCTTTAACTCCTAAAGGATTTTACCTGCTGTCAGTGTTTAACTCTAACCTCGATAAAACCAACCTGGACCATCTTATTAAGGGCTTTGGGACTACTTGATAATTAAAGGCAGGCATGTCAAGGCAGAGTTCAAAGTGAGGTTGCACATTATAGTTATAATTATAAGATTTTTCTTTTCTCATGCCAGCGATACATCACAGACAAGACTTGGAAGTGTTTCAGATCCTATTTTACATAGTTCATGCTTTTATTTCAGCTCGTTTGCTTTGATGACATTGTGACGGGGTTGGCACATTGAATGAGGCATTGGTTTCAGTCCTCCTACTGGATCCTCAGTAGACTGGCATCTCAGGGCTGTGCCCAACATTTCTGACTGCCAGAAGTCAGAGGCTGAAATTGCTAAAAGCAATTAATGAGCATGTCATAAAGCTTGAGCACGGCACACTTATGATGGCCAATGTTTGACTGCAAAATTGCAGTGTACACCAAGCAAGTTAAATCCTGTGTTTATTAAAGCAAAGCCCCTAATGACAGACTCTTTAATGAGTGCACTCCTGCAGACCTCATCATAGTTTTCTCATTGGGGAGAGACTATGAGAAATTAGTCATGGCGTATAATCTGTGAGCACAGCACCAGTGTCAAAATATGTGGCATCAGTTACATCCCCATATGGCAGAGAATAATTTGGGGGCTTTAGTGCTGGTTTGAGATGATAAGCAGCTCCACTGGCATAAACATATGTTGGTTTCTATTGTACTTAAAGGGGTAGTTTGCCCAAATCTGATAATTCTGTGATCATTCACTTACCTTTTACTTATTACAAACCAGACTTTCTTCTGTTGAACAGAAATGAACCTATTTTGAAGAAAGTTGGAACCAAAGTTGGACTTTAATTGGGGCAAATGGGCAAATTTGGCCAGGATGCTGGAGTTAAACCCCTACTCTTTTTCGAAGGACATCCTGAGATTTTTAATGAACACGAGAGTCAGGACCTCGGTTTAACGTCTCATCCGAAAGACGGTGCTCACTGAGCAGTATCGAGTCCCCGTCACTATACTGGGGCATTAGGACCCACACAGACCGCAGCTTGGGCACCCCTGCTGGCCTCACTAACAACACTTCCGGCAGCCACCTAGCTTTTCCATGTGGTCTCCCATCCAGGTACTGACCGGGTGCAGCCCTGCTTAGCTTCAGTGGGCGACCATGTGAGAGTTGCAGAGAGCTGGCTGCCGGCAAACTATGGAAGTCAATAGTTCTGGATTTTCAGCTTCCTTCAAATGATCAGAATAAATTAACTGTTGAAGGTTTGAAAGCACTTGAGGGAGTAAATTATGAGTAAATTTCATTTTGCGGGAACTATCCCTTTAAAGCTGCAATTGTCGAGCAGAGGGCCGGTGTCCCTGCAGGGTTTATCTCGAACTTGCCTTAACACCTTGCCTCAAACACCTGCCTGGGTGTTTCAGGTATACCTAGTAAGAGCTTGATTAGCTTGTTCAGGTGTGTTTGATTAGGGTTAGAGCTAAAATCTGCAGGACACCGGCCCTCCAGGAACAACTTTGGTGACCCCTATTGTAGATTGTCTGAATGTACGAAGATGATCCCCATGACACACTGCAAGATTTTTGTCATGATATTTTAGACAGTACAACAATCAAGACACACCAAACACAGACATACAAGAAGACTCATCCACTGAAACATTCATGGTCCTGCATTCTGAAATGGTACGTTTGCTGTTTTAGCCTAGGTTTATATAAATCTTTTAGGATTTTCACAGTTTATCTCAGATGACCAAATTGTGGCCAAAAATCACACAACATTAGTCGGGCTTAACTTTCTGATGGCAATACAGTGAAGATTTGCAAGAGAACAATTAAGACATTTCAATGTTTTAGGTTGTGGCTGCTCTGATCTTTGAGGGATCTGTTTTATTCCCTGTTCTTGAAGCCTGGTCAACAATACACATTTCATTTACTCCCATATTCCCTTATCAGGGCTTGTAGTGACTACAAGTCGTCTAGTGACCTGAATCTGTTGTGTTTTCATTAAGGAGACTTGTTCACTGAGAGGTACTTTTAGTCTTTATCAATTTGGGCAAATAACCTTGCTGGATATAAGCCAGCATTTAGTTTTCCTTTTTTGGACACCACCTTAGCACAGTGAGGTTTGAGTGTTTCAACAAATCTGGGAACTGTTTTTATGAGCTCCAGGTGGGAATTCAAAGGAAAGTTGGTCAGACCAAAAGATCTTTTCTGTAGAAGGAACGAAAGAGACACTAACTGAGAAATTTCAGGGTCCTTTCCCGGATCCAGACCTAGAAATTAGTATGTCATATCCTCTTTAGGAAGCTAGTTTTATAAGGGTCCTCTCCTGAACCAGGCCTAAGATAACAGGACCTGAAGCCAGGCCTTGGAATTGGGATAACAGGGCCCTCTCCTGGAGCCAGGTTTAGGAATGGAGATATCAGTGGTCTCTCCTGGAGCCAAGCCTTGGATATGGGATATCGGGGCCCTCTCCTGAACCAGGCCTGGAATTTGAGATATTAGAACCCTTTCCTGGAGCCAGGCTTGGGAATAGAAAAATAAGGCTCCTCACCTGGAGCCAAGCTTGCAAATATAGTAATCAGATACTTCTCCTGGAGCCAACTATGGAAATAGGGATATCCAAGCCCTTTCCTGGAACTAGGCTTGGGAATAGGGATATAAGGGTTCTCTCCTGGAGGCAGGCTTGGGAATAGGGATATAAGGGTTCTCACCTGGAGGCAGGCTTGGGAATAGGGATATAAGGGTTCTCACCTGGAGGCAGGCTTGGGAATAGGGATATAAGGGTTCTCTCCTGGAGGCAGGCTTGGGAATAGGGATATAAGGGTTCTTTCATGGGGCCAGGCTTGGAGACAGAGATTTAAGGGCACCTTTCCTGGAACCAGGTCTGGGGATAGGCCTGGGAATTCACAAAAGGCAGTCTGGACATGGATACAAGCTGAGTCCTATAATCTAGCCTTTTTTATTGCAAGTTATTTAAGTTTGATAGGTTGGGCAAAACCAGGTAAAATTGGTTTTACTCGCTTCTATTCACAGCTCTTATTTTGAAAACAGACTCTTGGATAAGGGTAGGACCTTTTCATTTTTGGAGTCACTGAGGGTGAGAGTGTTGAGCATGTATGCTAATACTCTTAAGTCTCCAACTCAGCAGAACTGTTTTAGGGTTTAGTCCAGTGACCTCGGTGAGACTTTGTGGCATGGGATGAAGGTTCTGACTTTTTTTTTTCACTATGGACCAAACCACAGTTTAAAGTATCTGGTATATTTGGAGAATACCTGATATTTCTGTGTACCAACCTTAACATGTAAGTTGTATATTCACAGGTAAGAGGCAATGGTATGAGAAAAGCAGCACATAATGCTTCATTAACTATATGACGTGTAGAACGAAGAGATAAAAAATTGTAATACCAAAACCACTCTCTATATAAAATCACATATATCACAGTTGTAGATTTCACACGTATGTGTGATGTGGCAATAATGGTACCGAAGTTTCCAATAACCCTTAATATGTTGCTTTTGAGGTCCACTGTTATTCAGAGTTTAGTTTCCAGCCCTGATGAAACTTGGTTGTCTGTAGTACCTAGAATAGCTTATTGGTGAGTTTGATTCAGGCTGGAGTTACACTCTGTAGGACAGTGGACCTCAGGAGCCAGAGTTTTTCCTGCCATCTATATAAACTATGTCTGACATTGTTTGGTTTGTCTACGAATACACTAATGGCTTATTTTCAATTAATCATTTACTTGGTTTCACGGACAACAAAAGAGTACACATAATTGTAAGTAAATCTGTCTATGTATCTTTTATCTGTTGTGTCTGTCTTCAACATTGCATTGTCCATCTCATTAACACTCCAAATGACCTGCTGACATGTGAATCCTCCGTGCACTCTCTTATTCTCCTATTTGGTTTCTTGCCTGTTTTCTTGCCCTTATTTCTGAATCAAGAACTTCTCCCCTGGTTTTCTCCTGAATTTTCTGTTTTGTTTAGCCTGAATTGATAGCCATTGTTTTTATTCTGATTTCCTGGTTTTTATCACACACCCTCGTGAGCTGTGATTATGCATGCTGCGAATGATAAAGCACTTGTGACTGAGATGTGTGACATCCATGCAGAAGGAGACGGAGACCGTACCTGTACAGAAAGCGTGCCATCCACCGAGGGCGACCTTCACCTGCAGAAGCGGAGGAGGAAGCTGCAGGGAAACAAGCAGCGGAAGAACAGCCAGTCAATGCTTTTGCAGGCCGTCGAGAGAGACGCAAAAAAATTAACATGTCCGTCTGGGAGCAAAGGGCCAACCAGCTGCGGAAACGTCGTCAGATGGCCAGCCGTGAGGTACTGTTTGGTGGTCCCACAGAGGACCAGGACACTCCAGGGAGCGATCATCACCAGCAGCATAGCTTGTCCACTGAAACAAGCCCTTTACACTTGCCAGAATCTCCAATGTCTGTGGGGATGCCTTTGCCAGAGCCGCCTATGTCTATTACCATTCCTCTGCCTGAGCCTCCAGAGTCTGAGCCGTTGTCGGGATCAGGGCTAGAGGAGAGGCCGAGCGCTAATAACCACCACGCTAATACCGAAAGGAGACATCGAGTGGCGAGGAAGTTTCGAGCTGCTGCTGCTGCAGGGGTGGCGGAGGGTGGGCGACACAAACGCCACAGACATCGGGAGTCCAGAACAGAGGCCAGAAATGCAGAGAATCACCAGCAGTTTGAGAGGCAGGCTGAAGACGGTGAAGGTAAAACAGAGGAAGCTCAATCTAAGCACATGATGAACATGTGTGACCCGGAAAGGCAAATCGAGAATCAAGAGGAGTGCCAAAGGTAAGAATGCATTGTGGCTTGTTTTCTTGTAGTTGTTTATTTGCATCTTGGTGTTTCTGTGTGGAGTTTGCATGTTCTCCCCGCGTTCATGTGGGTTTTCCTTCGGTTGCTTCGGTTTCCCCCATAGTCCAAAGACATGTGGTATAGGGGAATTGAGAATTAGCCATTGTGTATGTGTGTGTGTGAATGAGAGAGAGTTTCCCAGTACTGGGTTGTGGCTGGAATTACTGTGTAAAACATATGGTAGAGTAGTTGACCGTCCTTTCCACTGTAACGACAACCTATAAATCAGGGACTAAGTCGAAGGAAAATGAATAATTTAATAATATGCTAGTTTAAGCCCAAGACACACCAAGAAGCCGCCCAAGAGCAAACACTAGTGTCGTCTATCGCATTTGGCTCTGTCTCAAACAAAAAGCTGTGTGTGAACACACCAAACAGATGACAGCAGACTGAAACAAGAGTGTATGTTCTGCTCCTGCATGAGAGGACATCTCTTTTTGCGCTAACTGATGCCCCATTCACGAGGCGTCAGCGTCAACGCTTCCCATTTACTTTGAATGGGTGACGTCAAGCATTGCCAAACTAAATTGTGGATCCGGCATTGCGTCCTGCAGAAGTTGTGAATTTCTCAACTGTCCAAGCGCCAATGGAAACATCGGTCAATCAGATTGCTTAATGCAAATACCCCAGCTCAGACAGTAGACGATTGTGGACTAATTTCATTGACCCTGCTATGATGATCACATCATCCCCAACTTCAAACACGCCCTCCGTCAAGTGTTGAGACTGACGTCCTGCATACATACAAACTGTAAACAAAGCAGGTTAGTACCATTTTCACAGTATCTGTAACCACCGAAGGATTCGCTCGTTTAGATAGGTCTGATAACGTAGTAATCCTTAGTTTGCAAATATCGTGGATATCGTCTTCTGTGCGTTCGCTCTTTACTTCAATCATTTACTTGGTTTTGACACTTTATTTTTTTATTCTCGCGATGTGATTCATTGATGAACAACCAATCACAGCACTCTCTTCCATCGATTTCCGATTCTACATGGGACAACTTACTCAGACATTAACCTGACAAGATGCAACATGTGAAGCACACCAAACACACTAGACTTATGGCACCAAAGCTGCCCAAATGTTAACTCTCAGCTTTGCGTGTCCTGGCCTTTACCCTTGTTGCCATTTCATTCGATGAAGTGCCTTGTAATTTAATTACCCCAGCTATTTTTGCAAAGCAGGCTCATTCTGAAAACGTAGCCCTATATACGTTTCTGGAATTGCCGCGAATTATGTAGCCAGAGGTACGTATGGCTGCATTTCATTTTTAAAACGAACGCTAAGGGGTGGTACCATTCCTTTTTGTGTTTACCAGCTGACTGCTTACATCCGTATGGACAGCTTTCCTGATGTAACCAGTTTGTCCCGTTAGCTTGCCATGTACGTCGACGGACTTGAGATGCAGAGAAGAGTAGATCATTCATTACTCCAAAGCATACACAGCTGCCTCTCGTAAATTCGCAAAAACAAAAACGGCAAAAAAATAAAAATAAACGTAGCTCATGGGATGTATTTCTGGATGTCTCCTGAAATGTATATAGAGATACGTTTTCAGAATGAGCCTGGGTTGTATTTTTGCTTGTAATTTTGCTTTGCTTTATTTACATGTGTGATTGCACATGTGAAGCTCGTGTGGTTATTCTCAGGACTCACACCTGTACATTTGTATGTATTGTAGGGAGTTTGTGTGTGATCTGACAGGGCTCTCCCAAGCCTCCGGCCATCAGGAGGAAGATCAAGCCGAAAGCCAAGAGGCTCAACTTCTGAGGCACAAAGAAGACTTCTCTACAGAATCTAAATACATGACAGAAGTCTCGGACATTGAGAACAACGGCAGCTATCTCAACCAGGATGAGTGTATGACCGAAACCAGCCTAAAACGAGAGTCCTCATCCCAGCCTTTGTTGGAAATGGCACCAATGACTGGTATTGATCCACCTTTTAATCCATCTATCTGTCTGGTTATTCCTCAATCCGTTAGCCTATCCATCCGTTCATCCATCTGTCCATCTATTCATCCACCATCAAAATATCCATCTGTCCATTCATACCCCACCCATTTGGTTCTGTTCATCCATTTGTTCGTTCTTCTATTCATCTGTCCATTTATCCATTTAACCATTCGTCCATCCATCTGTTTACTAATCTTCCCATTCATCTGTCTGTCCATCCATCCATCTGTCCATCCATCCATCCATCTATCCGTCCATCCATATGTCTGATCATATATCCATCCATCAATTCATTTATTTATCCATCCATCTATCCATTCATCGGCCTGTCCATCCATTGGTTCATCTATCCATCCGTCCATCCATCCAACCATCTGTCCATTTGTCCATACATTCATTTATTCATCTATCCTCCCATCAATCCATAATCCATTCATCCATCCATCCATTCATCAGTCCATCCATCCATCATCCATCCCTTTGTCTGTTGCTCCTATCCACCAATTTATCTATCCATCTGTTCATCCATCCATCGATTCGTGCATCCATCACTCCATTTAATACTCCATTCCTCACTCATCCATCCATCCATCCATCCATCATTACTTTGTTTTTCTGTCCATTCATCTATCCATCTAGCCATCCATTCGTCCATTAATCACTCCATCCATCCATGTATCCATTCAATAATCATCCATTACTTAATTCATCCATCTCTACGTCATTCCTTCCATCCATCCATGGGTCCATCCATTAATCTATTTGTCCATTTGTTTATACATGCATCCATCCATCTGTCCATCTTTCAGCCATCCATTTACCCATTTTTCCATCTACCGCTCCATCCATCACTCTATTCATCATCCATCACTTTATTTTATCCTTTTATCTGTTCTTTCATCCATCCATGGGTATATCCATCCATCCATCTATCCATCCATTGATCCATCCCTTTATTCATCCATCCATCCATCCATCCATCACTTAAATTACCCATTTATCCGTCCTTCCATCCAACCATTCATTTATCTATTTGTCTATATATCTATCAATTCATCTGTCCTTCCATTCGACCATCTTTTATCTACCTATCCATCAATCCGTTCATCCATCCATCTGTCCATCCATCCATCCATCCATCCATCCATCCATCCATCCATCCATCCATCCATCCATCCATCCATCCATCCATCCATCCATCCATCCATCCATCCATTGATTTCTCCATTCATCACTCCATTCATCACTCTATCCATCCATTACTTCATTTATCCATTTGTCCTTCCATCCATCCATGCATCCATCCATCCATCCCTCCTGTATTGGGTTTGAGCTGAAGTTTTCCAGAAGAACTTTTATAATGATCAAAGTGCAGCCCGGTTGGTTTACAGTGAAGTAGTTCACTTGCTGACGCAGTCCTGAAGGAGGGATGAACTGCATCTATTGATTCTGTTCACGGAGCGGATAATTCGCTAAAGTGAGGACAGATTCATTAATAGAGACTCAGAACTGGGTCATCAATGCCTGTGGCAATCTGAGCTCTTTTAGCTGCTTTAGAAAGTAAAGAGCTGCTCGTCTTTAGAGTATTGGCTGTAGTAGGATCAGGAAATCTAGGTTAGTATTCCATCGGGCACATCTACAGTATTCATTCAGATGATTTCCCCCTTTTTATAGTTGCATTATCTAACATGGATATACAGAACATTTATATCTACAATCTGAAAATATATATGTTAATGATCAGTTTCTGTATTTGGTGAGTGTTTATTTATGGTTGTGAGTTGCATTATGGGTTGTTGATCTCTGCTCTGTCTACTTCTGTTGTTGAAAATTCAACTCTACATCTTACCCAAAGTGACTTTTAGTGACTTTTAGTCGTTTAAAATAATATAATGTATAAGAAATAATACATAAGTGTGTAAAATAAGAGAAAATGTGCTGCAGTTTATTACTAGGTGTTTGTAGCTTAATAAACAACACCAGCCCAGACAAAATAGCACTGCACACTATTACAGATGATCATAAAAGTCACGTTCAACAATTTTTGAAGATTAAAAAGACGTTGAAAGAAAGATCTAAGTCACATAATGCAGTTCGTGAGCAGAAGTAAAATGAATCACAAAATACGCTAATTTATGAATTAAAATCCTGTTTTGTTCTCTTGAACCGTCACAGTCAGTTTCAAGGACGTGGAGGCGTCTCTTTCAGACAAAGCTGACGATGATGATGATGATGATATGGATGATGATGATGATTACGAAGACGATGAGAATGGAGGTGAAAAGTCGACAGCCTCCAAACCTGAAAGGCCCGACAGCATGTTCATTTTCAAGAGCAAAAACCCGTAAGTTGCTGTTTATAAATACACTATAAAAAACTGCTACCGCTTTAAAATGTTAAGCTGATTCGATAACACCTTAGTTCAGGTCACAATTTACGCTTTTAACTTCTGTCTTATTATTAAGTCATGAACTGTTCAGTAGTAGTTATAAAGTAGGATCTTATTCTGCATCCTTAATCCTAAAATCAACTTCTAACTAACTAACTATTAATAAGCAGCTAATTAGTAGTATATTAAGCTAGTAGTGTTCATTAATAGTGTGAATTGTGACCTAAACTAAAGTGTTACCATTGATTTAAAGCACAGGTGTCAAACTCAGTTCCTGGAGGGCCGCAGCTCTGCACAGTTTAGTTCCAACCCTAATTAAACACACCTGATCAAACTAATTGAGTCCTTCAGGCTTGTTTGAAACCTACAGGTGAGTGTGTTGGAGCAGGGTTGGAACTAAACTGTGCAGAGCTGCAGCCCTCCAGGAATTGAGTTTGACACCCCTGATTTAAAATTAACTGAGCATAATGTGGATAACAGAAGGACAAACCTCTGGTCTAACATCATGTGTGTGTGTGTGATTAAAGCATCAGGAGGATCTGCCATTATGTGGTGACCCTGCGGTATTTCGAGATGACTATTCTCCTGGTGATCGTGGCCAGCAGTATCGCTCTGGCAGCTGAAGACCCTGTGTGCACCAGTTCAGAGAGAAATAAGGTAAAACTTATTGAAATCTTAAATGAACAGTTCACCCAAAAATGAACATTCTGCATCATGAATGTTGGAAAGAAAATCAGCCATCGACTTTTATAGCGTGTGTTGTTCCTACTATGCATGTCAATGAGTTCTGTTTTCCAACATTCTTTGAAATATCTGGCTATTCATCAAAGTTTAGAACTACTTACCTATGAGTAAATGATTAGGAGTTTGTCATTTTTTTAGGTGTCCTGCGCTCACACTGTTGATCATCCAAGTATCAGCCACAATTGTAATGCTAATTAAAACATTTTAAACTGCATTAGTTGGTTGATCATGTCTGAAATTTGCTGTGTGACAAGTATTTTAATAAGTATATTGTGAAGATGACACATTACAGAATGGCCTAACGTGAACATTTTATGAAAACAATTGCTTATGTACGTTATTTTGAAATGTGAAATATTACATGTGTTTAAATGAATATATAATATTTTCTAAACTAAATTAACGTCGAACATTTCGTTGTTGAAAAGCTGTTGTTGCTAGAAGGGATACAGCTGCAGATGAAAGTCAACGATAAATATTTCTAGCCTATTATTTATGAAATTACCCATTAATTATATTTTATTATCGTCTACCACCAACCCTCACAGTAATGTAAAAACTGTGATTATAGCAATAATTATTAATGAAATTACCCATTATTTGTATTTTATTATCGTCTACCACCAACCCAACCCTCACATTAATGTAAAAACTGTGATTATAGCAATAATTATTTATGAAATTACCCATTAATTATATTTTATTATCGTCTACCACCAACCCTCACAGTAATGTAAAAACTGTGATTATAGCAATAATTATTAATGAAATTACTCATTAATTGTATTTTATTATCGTCTACCACCAACCTAACTCTCACAGTAATGTAAAAACTGTGATTATAGCAATAATTATTGATGAAATTACCCATTATTTGTATTTTATTATCGTCTACCACCAACCCAACCCTCACATTAATGTAAAAACTGTGATTATAGCAATAATTATTGATGAAATTACTAATTAATTGTATTTTATTATCGTCTACCACCAACCCAACCCTCACAGTAATGTAAAAACTGTCATTATAGCAATAATTAGGAAATTACTCATATATAGCCTTGTTTATATTCCCTCTTTATTCTCTTGAACTTAAAGAGGGGGTTTCATGACTGTTTTAGGACTCAAACAATGACTACAATGTAAAGTAATTGACTTAGCAATATGCATATCTTTGTAAATTAAAGTTGTTTACTGTTTGTTCTGCAGGTTCTGCGTTACTTTGATTATGTTTTCACTGGAGTTTTCACATTTGAGATGATCATAAAGGTATTAATGCTTTGTCACTCAATTCCAAACATATATACACTTTGGCATATAAGTATAAAATGCTAACAAACGTATGCTGTTTGATGCAGATGATTGACCAGGGCCTCATTCTTCACGATGGGTCGTATTTTCGGGACATGTGGAACATTCTGGATTTTATTGTGGTGGTGGGAGCTCTGATTGCGTTTGCATTGACGTAAGTACTTTAATTACATCTGTCTACCTTATTATGTCAGATTTTGCGTTAATGCGTTTGTCAGCTTTAACCATACCTGGGGCTGGATCCAGACTTCAGATCTGGGGCCGGTTGCACTGACAGTATGCAAGTTGCAACGTAATATAATAGTAAATGTTATTAACTGTATTTGTATGAACGTTTGCTTGGCCCACATACCGCAGTGAATTACGGTACATGACTGAACCAAGTCTGGCTTTCATACAAGGGCCAAACATGGACCATTTACTGGGTTAGGTCTCTGTCACGTTCAGGTGAGGGGAAAAAGGGGCGAGGACCCAAGCGCAGAGTCAAATAGTATTTATTTATATTAAAATAAAATAAAAGGCAAAAATAAACAACCCCGAGGGGGAAAACACTAATAAAACAAATAAACAAACAAACAAACTTGATTGGGCAGGCACGGCAAGGCAGGTAAAGATCGACGACGAACTGGCACAGAACAGAAAACATGAGGGGATTATAAGCAGTAGAAAATTAACACAAACAGGTGAACACAATTAACTGATAATGGGTTAACAAGAAGGGTGGGACTAGACAATAGACAGGAGAGCGCATGACACAGAGAGACAACACAAGTCATGCGCTCACATAAAACAGGACCAGAACATGCAGCCAATGAGAGAACTCATTAACCGCATGTTCATGACAAGACAAGCACAACACTGAAGCACACGACAAAAGCACGTGACCACAATGTAAACACCGAGCCACATGCTTTGACAGACGCAAGACACGAGCACACGATAGATAAACACCTTACCGTGCGCTCACACATAAGCAACGCGCATGCTTCATCTCAGCGCCAACCAATACTGAAACCAACTAGACGGAGGCACCAAGAATAAAGCAGCGCGATGCTGACAGAACAAACACAAACACTAGTACAAGAGCGCACGTCGGAGGAACGCAGAGCCCGCACAGCCGTATAAAGCGGGAGCGCGCACGCTCTGCGCACACCCACGAAGGCGCGCGCACCCATGGAGACACACATAGACAGAAACAGGACAAGACAGCTATCCAGGAAACAAAGAATTCTGGCCCAGATTTGGCATAAATCTGGCACAGCAGGCATTCGTCTGGCGCTGGCATACAGCATGTGGGCCAAACATGACCCGGATTAGGCAGAGGTGGCACCGTATTTAAGGCGGCACACAATACTTGGGCCAGATATCAAATGTAGTATTTGGCCCAGATGCTAACAATGGATATGTGGGCCATGTGAGTTTGGCCTACTTTGACCCACATTCAAAATACGTTTTTATTATTTTTGAATAAAGGAAAAAAATAATCTACCCATCGGGTCAAATCGAGAAAAAGCACACCTATAGCGTACCTAAAAGACAAGGCTTTATGGGTTTATCGATTTCACTGCAGTCGTGACACATCAACATATCTGGCCCAGTTCAGGCCCAGTTATGAGTTATTAACTTGGCTGAGACTTGGCCCAGATATGGTCTGTGTTTGGCCCTTGTCTGGAAGCCAGATTTGGTCCAGTCATATACCGTAATTCACTGCAGCATGTGGGCCAAGCAACAGCTGGTTGTGTGGGCCAGAGCTGGGCCAGAGAAATTTTGCTATGTGCCCTAGTAGCAAAGAATTCTGGCCCAGATTTGGCATAAAGCTGGCACAGCAGGCATTCATCCGGCACTGGCATACAGCATGTGGGCCAAACATGGCCCGGGTTTGGCAGAGGTGGCACCGTCTTTAAGGCGGCACACAAGATTTGGGCCGGATGAAAAACGTAGTATTTGGCCCAGATTTACAAATTTGATAAGTGGGCCATGTGAGTTTGGCCAGTCTTGACCCACATTTAAAACACAAAAAATAATTTTTGAGTAAAGAAAAAAAATTCTACCAATCAGGTCACTTTGAGAAAAAGCGTGCCCATAGTGTGCCTAAAGCGCATCACTCCATGCGTTTATCAATTTCATTGCAATCGTGACACACCAACCTATCTGGCCCAGTTCAGGCCCAGTTATGAGTTATTAACTTGGCTGAGACTTGGCCCAGATATGGTCTGTGTTTGGCCCTTGTCTGGAAGCCAGATTTGGTCCAGTCATGTACCGTAATTCACTGCGGCATGTGGGCCAAGCAAAACCTGATTGTGTGGGCCAGAGCTGGGCCAGAGAAATTTTGCTATGTGGGTGGGTAGTGCCCGGGCTCTGCCACCAAAACAAGAATTTACAAGACCAGAGTGGCAGAACCCTGACAGTCTCAGCCAAGTTACCAACCCATAACTGGGCCTGAACTGGGCCAGATATGTTGGTGTGTCACAACTGCAAACCATTTTATAAAACCTGTGAAGCATTTGGCTTTATGGGCCGCATTCTTCTTGAAGCGACCTGATTGGTGGAATTTTTCTTTACTTCAATATATATATATTTTTTAAAGTAAATTAAATGTATTTTAAAAGTGGGTCAAGATAGGCCAAATGTACGTGCCAAATGTTTACTTTTTTAACATCTGGGCCAAATACTACATTTGATATCTGGCTTAGTCTAATCTGCTGCCCTAAAGTCGGTGCCACATCTGCCAAACCCGGGCCATGTTTGGCCCACATGCTGTATGCCAGTGCCGAAACGAACGCCTGCTGTGCCAGCTTTATGCCAAATCTGGGCCAGAAAGGGGGGAAGGTTTTGTTTTTAGGTTTCATTGCAGTCTCTCACACGTTGGCAATGGAAAACAGCCCCTTTCCCAAATATACTGCCTGCAAAAGGCTTATGATTGTTAGTGGATCTTAGCACAAGCCGGTGGCGACTCACTGCGCTAGTGGAGGTGGTGTGTTGTGAGAGCTGGCTATATATGTGATATATCAACACCCAAACTGCAGTCTATGGATTTCATATGCTTCCTTAATAGCAGGCCAAGCCCTGATCTATTTTTAAAGCCTCTTCCCGGCTGATTCAGAGCCAGCTATAAGCCCGTGGGCCGCATGTTGGACACCCCTCTTTAAGTTATATAAGTCCTGAATTGACGCTGGTTTGCATGCGAGATGTTTGCTAATATATTCTTTTATGGTTTACATTCAAACAAGTCACACAAGAAGAGTTACGTTCTAATGTTGAAGCAAATATACGGTTGAAACATGTAATATCTAAAATAGCTTGAGACTTTTGAAGGATAGTCGAGGGTGTCCTAATTTTAATAATCTATTATTGGGAAATCCTTGGAGAGAAGCACTAAAATCAGATATCAGAGATAACTCCTCAGGTATTCTCTCATGAACATGATCTTAAATCTGCAACACAGGCTTATCGTGAATATGTACCCCTGTATACATTTCTGGAGAGCACGAATTATGTAGCCAGAAGTGCATATGGCTGCATTTTGTCTGTAAAATGAATGCTACTGGGCGGTATGACGCCGCTAATGGCTTTTGTTTCTTTTCACGCTACCAGCTGACTGCTTACCTCTATATCAGGGGTGTCAAACGTACGGCCCGCGGGCTGCATCAGACCCGCAAACGAATTTAATGCGGCCTTTAATACAAGCCTTTTCTGCTAAAATGCATCCGACCGTAGTTTCTGAATCTCCTAAAATGTCCAGGATTCAGGTTTTACTTTCGCTTTCTAAAGTTGCAGTTATTTGTATGTGTTTCCGCATTACCATTATGCAGCTGACTGTGCGTGCACAGTCGCGAGAGAAACATTAAATGATTAATCATTTAATAAACGACTCGCATAAACTTTATACTTGGAGAGAACAAAATGACATCTATAATGGCTGCAAAATATTTATACACTATCAGAAATGGTTAATCAACTAATTTGCCTTATTTAAATAATCTACACTTTTTATTCTAGTAATTATTTTTTTTTAAATATTTTTATTTATTTTTTCTGATATTTAATTCTCATTCGCGGCATATTTTATTAATTTATTGATGTTATATGCTACATACTTTATACATATCTAAAATGTTATGTCAGATTAAATAAAAATCAAGTTAAAAATCACATTATTTTTTGTTTGTCGCATGTAGTTGACCATTTATGTGCTGAGGGAAAATGGGGTTTTTTAATCAGGCGACCACTGCAAGTATATTTCAAACCTGTGGGAAGCCCTGCACACTGAGGTGATCTCACAAGGAAATGTAACTATTTTTATGCAAATGTACCATTTTAAAAAGGAGGCGTGGCACCCAACCACACCCCTAACAACTAAAATAAACAAGTAAATACCAGAGTGAGAACATGGTAAAATCTAAAAACGTGGTAAAAATCAGGTGACTGCAAGGGCTTTTCTGGTTGTTGATTGCTTTTGAAAACACTATCGGTTGGGTTTAGGGAACAGGGTGGGTGATTGCTTGGTCAGTCAGTCGTCAGCGGCCTCTGGTGGATTTACATGAGAACATCAGGCTCAAATGGCACTCGGGAAAGAAATTTGAGATATAAAAAAGCGTACACAGCGCCCTCTGGTGGATTCACACAAAAAGCATAGCTCCTGGGATGTATTTCGCGCTCTTCAGAAATGCATACAGGGGTACTTATCTATATTGAGCCGGGGTTGGAAATCTGCCTATTTTTAGACACTGAAACATATACGCTGGTAATAAGAGTTGTTATTGGCCATGGTGGACGGTAAGTACTCATGTTTGCTTCACTATAGTACTTAAGTGCATTTTTCAAATACTTTATCTGAGTATTACTATTTGAGGAACGTTTTCTTCACTGGACTCCAAAACAAAGCAAAATATTGTACTTGTACTTCATTACATTTTCAGAGTGAAGTAGATTTCAGTGTTATTTTGAGGGAAGGAAATCATTTAGTTTAGATAGTGTTTTTTTTATTTCGTCCAGCACTGCGTATTACTGCTCACTTCTGATATCCTGGACATTGCATAAAAAAAATAGACATTTTAGTGTTGTTAAGGAAGAAGGTCAACTAAAGCTCATTCCAGGTTGACTTCATCGTGATGATTTACGAGAGATGTTGATGTGTTTTTTCTCTTTTAATGCTCCTCTGTCATTGTCTTGGATTGTATCTCTGTGGCTGCCAGGAATTTATTGGGGTAACAGCAGACGCTTCTCATTCGTCACATTGTCTGTCCATTTAATACCAATTCAGATGCCACCGATCATGCATTTGTGTGTGTGTGTGTTAATGTAGTGCCGTGAGATCCATGTGTGCAGATGCTAACATATTTTCTCTTCACTCATTGTCTCACTATTTCAGCCATGCATTCACTGCAAAAATGCTGTTCTTACTTCGAGTTTTCGTCTTGATTCAATCCCAAAAAATACGTAAATCAAAAAGCATTTTCTAGACAAGTGAAACATATTGTTTTGTTTTAAAGGTGCTGTGTGTGAGTTTTTGACTCTTCTAAAGAATAGACATGCCATCATTTGTTTGCAGATATTACATGCTCGGTGAACATTCTTGTTTATCTGAAAAAACATTGCTGAAGTCAGATATTCTGCTTTCGTGCATTACATAAGGAACGTCTGTCTTAGTTTTGGTCGTTTAATCCGCCCCCTGGGCAGTTTATCCAATTATATTTCAGCACCCCGGGTTGCCTTGGTGGAAAACCGCAAATTTCATTCATTCAGTTACGAAGGCTCTCCGCGTCCGTGACTGAAATGTGACCTCCGGTGGACAGTAGCAGACTCCAAAATGAGACACAGATTCAGAGTTCCACATGAGGAGGTCATTATTTAGCAAATAGTATAAATAATACGAACGCAAACCTCAGGTGAGCAGGTTACGGTGTAACTCCGTGTCCTAACAACATGCTACATAAGTGAAGTTTATTTATAAACCAAATTTCGAGAGGAGCACGTGCTTATGATTGATAGCACCTGGTCCACATTAGCTAACACTGATTTACCAATAAGACGACTCCTTAAACACTATAAATGACCAGAGTATCTTACTTCAGCTATCTTTGTCTTGAAGAATCCCGCCCTCCACCCCTACTCCTCCCATTTCCTTGTCAGGGCAGCACGGAGGCCTAGTGGTTAGCACTTCGGTCGGCATTTCTGTGCGGAGTTTGCATGTTCTCCTCGTGTTTGCGTGGGTTTTCACCGGGCTCTCCGGTTTCCTCACACAGACCAAAAACATGTAACATAAGCAAATTGACAAATCTAAATTGACAGCATAGACACTTCACAGCATCAATCTACACTGCAAAAAATGCTTTTCTTACTTAGATTTTTTGTCTTGTTTCTAGTCCAAATATCTAAAAGTTCCTAAATCAAGAAGAATTTTCTAAACAAGCAAAACATATTGTCTTGTTTGGAGAAATATTATGCCATTATTAAGTGAGTTTTTCCTTAAAACAAGCAAAATAATCTGCCAATGGGGTAAGCAAAATAATCTTACGTCAAAAGAAAAAACAAGATTAATTTGCTCACCCCATTGGCAGATTATTTTGCTTGTTTTAAGGAAAAACTGACTTAATATTGGCATATTATTTCTCAAATCAAGGCAATATGTTTTGCTTGTCTAAAAATGCTTCTTGATGTAAGAAATTTTAGATATTTAGACTAAAAATCTAAGCAAGAAAAGCATTTTTAAGCAGGGGAGTTCTCGAGACCTACCTGAACTCGGACTCCTTCTCGCCCTGCAACGGGAGGGAGCCCCAGGCTCGAGGATCTCACGAGTTCAGGGCTCTCTCCCAGGACAGCATGCCAAACAAGCTCCATAATCAGTCATCAGCTAAGGGCGAACTCTTGAATAAGATTAGCAGTGATGAGCACAGCCATTCAGAAGCACAGAATAGTGCACTCACTGCACTCCAGCACAATGCTGAGGTTTATAATCCAATGAATACATATGAAACCTCTTTAACATTAAATGTAGATGCTGAATCACTGATATGTGTTGGTTTGCACTTTTGAAGTTCAGTTTCAGACGCTTTCTTTTATTCTCCAGATCTGAGCTGAGCTATCTGCTGCTGCTTTCAAAAGCAAATAAAAAATAAGAGCTGTTTCTAACATTTTAATTTCAGATGTTGGTTAGGACAAATCTCCTTTTAATATAGAAAAGATTCCTTCAATCGCGTGACGTTGCTTTTATTTAGAAAATCCGTCTTAAATCTGCCTTTTAGTCAGGCACACTCATGTCAATCTGGCAACCTGTGCTTGCATGTGCTCGTCAGAAAAGGAGCTGAGTGAAAATGTGCTTTAATCCAGGAGTGCAATACCTAATCATACTTACATACTGAACCTTTAAGGAATAAGTAAGTTTTTTTTTTTATCTTAAAACAAGCTAAATAATCTACCAAACGGAGTAAGAAAGATTCTTAACATGAAATTATTTTTCTTCCCCCATTGGCAGATTGTTGTTATTTGACACATTATTTATTAAAAAAAGACAAGATGTTGTGCTCGTCTAGAAAATGCTTCCTGATTTACACATTTTTAGATATTTGGACAAGAAACAAGACAAAAACTCTGAGTGAGAACGGCGTTTGATGCAGCGTAGATATTCTTAGGTTGTGCATTGTGTATTAGGGCTGTCAATTTAACTTTATTCAGTGTGTGTCATTGTTTAAAAACAACAGCAATTAATCACGCCTCTTACCTACAATTAAAACATCACAGCAGCTTTAGCAATGCCTCAATGAGCAGATGACAGACCACATCAAACAAAGGGAAAGCCAAAGCAGATTTTAAAGCTTAAACATGCTTTTAAAATGACATTTTGTTCTTGTTTTTGATAGCATGCACAAAATATGCATTCAACACGTACACACTACGCTGATACATCCTCGTCCAGTGACTGCGCTTTTTCTCTCCATTAGTTATAAGGAGGGCCAGACAGAATCGGTGGACATTTTTTTGGTATTTCTGAGCAGAATTTTGTAAAAAAAAAAAAAAAAATGCAGATCTGCAGATTTATGCGGAGTGATTTTAGGAGTTTAATGACAAAAAACTTAATATAATAAATGAAAAATAATACATTTATGTATACAATGCAAATCCAATTAGATCCACTTATCTGGTATACAAAGCAAGTCTCTTATGTAATAGATCTACTAAACAACTGTACAAACTGTATTGTAAATAAATCATACGAACGTTTTTCATATTATTCAATAATATTACTGAAATTAATATAAAAACTGAATATAAATGTACACACATTTACACAAGTAAATAAGTAGATTCAATGATATCTGCAGATATCTGCACACACAGATTCCGTGTGGGCTTAGTGATGAGCAATGACAATGTGATTGTTGGATATATTTTATTCTCATTACACATTGTCAACATTGTCATATGTTACGTATATGCACCCATAAGGACATAGTTAAAAAATGACATAGTTAAAAAAAAAACATTTAAAGCACATGTGTTAAAGTATACACTGAAAAAATATACTTCTAAAAATAGTACGAAATGTTCACAGTATGTCTGATAATATTTTTTCTTCTGTAGAAGTCTTATGTGTTTTATTTGAGCTAGAATAAAAGCAGTTCTTAATTAAAAAAAAAAAAACATTTTAAGGTCAATATTATTAGCCCTTTTATTTTTTCGATCAAAGCATCGTTATATAATAACCTGCCTAGTTAACCTAATTAACCTAGTGAAGCCTTTAAATGTCACTTTAAGCTGTATAGAAGTGTCTTGAAGAATATCTAGTCTAATATTATTTACTGTCATCATGGCAAAAGAAAATAAATCAGTTATTAGAGATGAGTTATTAACACTATTATGATTAGAAATGTGTTGAAGAAATCTGCTCTCTGTTAAACAGAAGTTGGAGAAAAAAATAAACAGGGTAATAATTCTGACTTCAAATGTATATTGAAAAAAACCTAATTCAAATATCAAGAAAATACATTTAGGAAAAAGAGTAAATGTCCTATATAGACCATTATTTCTATATTTATTTTTTACTTTGTTACGACAGTGATTTTTATTTCAGATGAACATTTTTTACACTTATATAGTGAAGTTTTATATATAGTTATAAAGTGTATATATAAAAGAAAAAAGAGAAAAAAATAGAAAAAAGTACTATACGGACCATTATTTTATATATATATATATATATGTTATAAAAAGTGTAAAACATATAAATCTTAAAATTAAAAAGTTGTAATAAAGTAAAACTTGTCAAATGTTTGGGGTCAGTTTTTGTCATCGAGGCGGCATATATTAAATGTAAACTAATTGTTAAACATTTATTAAAATTTATTGTATGGAGTTTCAAATGAAATGATTTCTCCAGTCATTATTGCTTTTATTACTATTATTTTTTTGTATTAATAATAATAATAATAATAAATAATAAAAAATAAATAATAATAATAATAATAATAAATAATAATAAAAAATAAAAAAATAATAAAGAATAATAAAATAATAATAATAAATAATAATAATAAATAATAATAATAATAATAATAATAATGATAATAATAATAGTAATAATAATAATGATAAATAATAATAATAAATAACAGTAAAAAATTATAATAAAGAATAAAATAATAATAATAATAAATAACAATAATAATATTAATAATAATAAATAATAATAATAATAATAAATAATAATAATAATAATAATAATAATAATAAAAGCAATTAATTTTAGAGTGATTTCTGAAGGATCATGTGACTGTGAAGACTGGAGTAATGAATCTGATAACTCATCATTAAAATCACTGGAATAATTTATTAAATTAAATGATAATTTACTTTTGAGCAGTTATTTTATAGTGCAATAACCATACCTGCCAACACTGTTTTTTTCGGCATTTCGAACCCATCCCCCGTTTTGTTCTGTCACCCCGTTCCTCAGCTTTTTGGTACAGTCTATAACACCCCCGGATCACCGACCTTGGTAGAATATCCGATCCCAATACCCCCCCATTTTTACCCTTACGTAGTAAAGCAAAGTTTTTCTATATAGTTATATATAAAGTATAGGTTTGCTTTGGACCGATCGAATAAAAATGACTAAATTAAAAAATGTTCCCAATTTTTCCATTATTTCACAGCATCTGTTTAGAAGCACGTTACTTTATTAGGAAAACATTTATATTTTAGTTTTAACAAGAGACTACACTGCATATCTGACGAAATCTAATCAGTTTGATTCATTACATATAAAAGTGCAATCAATTGACAGCCCTAAGAATCCTGTCATTGCGGGTGTTTATCTTTTTAATAATGTTCTCTTATTGTTTATATTTATAAATCAGTTGTATGATACATTTATTTGTTTGTTTGATCGCAGAAACAACAAAGGCCGAGACATTAAGACCATCAAGTCCTTGCGGGTTCTGCGGGTTCTCCGTCCCCTCAAGACCATCAAAAGACTCCCAAAGCTGAAGGTATTTCAAGAGCTCCAGTGTTTGTGTTTTCATGCAGTGCAGTCGTTTTCTGGCATGCCGGTTGCCATAGCGATGATATCAAGTCAGTCCGCGAGCGACTTTGCTCTGTGATGACTGAGATCTGAACGCTGACGGAAATAAACAAGCTTCTCTTTCTTAAAACGAGGGTAACACAAGAGTTTAAGCAAGAGCGTAGATGGACTTCTGGTATTGATGGAACCTAATTTAAACCTCAATCTCATTCTTTTCCACAATCATTGTGGAGGCAATTGAACATAATTGTTATTATTTGCACAGCCATGGATACTATTATGGTGGCCCTTTCTGTGCATTTACATTACTGAGAGTTGACAGAGCATTAAATTATTGGAGGTGATTAAATTATTGATGGGGACATTGCAGTAATCAGTGGATATTGGTGGGGACATGTCCCTTCGTGCTAATTCTACACCCTATTAATTCTCACTAATAACTGGTGTCTTATTATCTGCATGTTATTAAGATATTTAATAGTACTTATTCATTTTCCTTCGGCTTAGTCCCTTTATTAATCACTGGTCACCACAGTGGAATGAACCGCCAACTTATCCAGCACATGTTTTACGCCAACTTACCCAGTCGGGGCTCGAACGGCGACCTTCTTGCTGAGGTGATTGTGCTACCCACTGCGCCACCGTGCTGCCCTATTAGTACTTATGGTCCCACTTTATATTAAGTGGCCTTAACTACTATGTACTTCCATCAGAAAATAAATACAATGTACTTACTGTGTTTATAATGTATTTGAGAACACTTGTGGTGCTCTTGAGTTGGGATAGGGGTTGGGTTATGGACAGGTTTGGTGGTATGGGTAGGTTTAAGGGTGGGTTAAGGTGTAAGGGATGGTCAACAGTGTATTTACAAATGTAATTACAAAAGTTAATTACAGATGTAATTACATACTGGTATTTAATCAAGCATAAGTACACAGTAAATGCATGTATTTACACAATAAGTACATTAAAGTAAACTATTAATTCCTATGTAAGTACATATTAGTTAAGGCCACTTAATATAAAGTGGGACCGTACTTATAAAGCACATTCTGCACAATCTTATTCAACATCCTTAATCAATACCTTAACCCAACTACTAACTTTATAACCATTAATAAGCAGAAAATGTGGAGTTTATTAAGGCAAACGTTAAATTTACCACATAAAATCAGACATATTTTTAATTTTAAGGTACAGTTCTTACTATTAATGAGCCATTAATTTAGACTTTTAGCTCAATAAACTCCTAAACTGCTGCTTATTAATAGTAGTAGTGATCAATCCAGAATATGTGCTTTATACACTCGCCGGCCACTTTATTAGGTACACCTTACTAGTACCGTGTCGGACCCCTTTTGCCTTCAGAACTGCCTTAATCCTTCATTGCATACATTCAACAAGCTACTGGAAATATTCCTCAGAGATTTTGCTCCATATTGACATGATAGCATCACACAGTTGCTGCAGATTTGTCGGCTGCACATCCATGATGCCAATCTCCCGTTCCACCACATCCCAAATCTGCTCTATTGGATTGAGATCTGGTGACTTGGGAGGCCATTTGAGTACAGTGAACTCATTGTCATGTTCACCAGTCTGAGATGATTGAGCTTTATGACATGCTGCGTTATCCTGCTGGAAGTAGCCATCAGAAGATGGAGACACTGTGCTCATAAAGGGATGGACATGGTTAGCAGCAACACTCAGGTAGGCTGTGGCGTTGATGCTCAATTGGTACCAATTTTGGGCCCAAAGTGTGCCATGAAATGTCTACATGGCTAAATGTCTACCATGTCTACATGCCTAAATGCATTGAGTTGCTGCCATGTGATCGGCTGATTATAAATTTGCGTTTACGAGACAGGTGTACCTAATAAAGTGGCCGGTGAGAGTAAGTATTCATATACAGAAAATATCATAATAATAGGTAGGTTAGACACTAGTTAATAGTGAGAACTGGTACTTAAACTAAAGTGCTACCCATTTGAAGAATAACTAATAGTTTTGGCATCACTGATACTTGATTAGAAGACTCGCACAGTATGATTTATTCAAAGATTTGTTTATGCATTTTGTAATTTGGCAAATTGGTTGCTAATTAATTTCAATTAGTGCAATCCCACTGATGCTTATATTTTGGGTGGGCCTTCAAATAATTGTACATTTAAATTCGTGTTTTCTGATGAGTCTGGGTTCATTGCATAAAGCAATTTGTTCACTTTAAACCCGTTGGCCTGTAATCATTAAGAAAATGAATTGTGCATGACACACAAATTAAGTTAAGTCAACTTGCGTTAAAAGGGACCTATTATGCTCTTTTTTACAAGATGTAAAATAAGTCAAATGTAAAATGAAATAGATATAAAATAAGTCTCTGATGTCTCTAGAGTGTGTAGTGAAGTTTCAGCTCAAAATACCACACTGATAATGTTTCAGAACTCTTTGAAGCTGCCAAATTGTGCCATTTTGTGGCTGCGTCTCACTCAGGGCTGCTGTTTATGCTAATGAAGGGAGAGATGGGCTCTAGTGGGCGGGGCTTTCCCCCTCTGATGACACGTACAAAGGGAGAATGTCAATCAAAGTGTTTCTGCAGACTGATTACATCAAGTCTGATTATAAACAAATACAATTAATTCATGTTGACCATTAGAGGCAGGAGATATTCACACACTGCTGACACACAACTGGGGTTAAACCGCTTATAGAAGTGATTTCTGTATAATAGCCTCCCTTTAAGACCAATGGGTTTACTAACATTTTGTTTAAGTGAAGTAGGGAATGGCTTTGTGCAGTGTTGGAGCTGAAGTGCAGAGTGCGTGTGATCTGCATCTCCCATCAGTAATTCAATTACGGTTTAGTTAAACGGTCTGATGATAATTCTGATAATTCTGGCTGCGTATATGACTGCATATTGATTTAAAATGAAAAATGTCAAGTGCCGCGTGTTATATTTAGCCCCCTTTTAATTATTCACAGAGGGATTACTCATATTTGGACAGCAGATCGTCCTAATTAATTCATTTATTCATTGAATTGTGTGTGTGTGTGTGTGTGTGTGTTTTATGAGACTGTTTCAAGGAATATTTCTTCACTATAGAGTGTATAAAAGGGTCAAATACTAAAACTATAAACACAAAGACGGTGATGGACACCAGCTAAGGTGGAATAAACAGACTTTTAGATCATTTTTGAAACACACATTGGGTTTTCATGTTTTATGGGGGACTATCCATAATGATGTTTCTACTGTACACACTGGTTTCACTCACTGGCCACTTTATTAGGTACACCTTACTAGTACCAGGTTTTGCTCCATATTGTCATGATAGCATCACACAGTTGCTGCAGATTTGTCGGCTGCACATCCATGATGCCAATCTCCCGTTCCACCACATCCCAAAGCTGCTCTATTGGATTGAGCTCTGGTGACTGTGGAGGCCATTTGAGTACAGTGAACTCATCGTCATGTTCACCAGTCTGAGATGATTGAGCTTTATGACATGCTGCGTTATCCTGCTGGAAGTAGCCATCAGAAGATGGAGACACTGTGCTCATAAAGGGATGGACATGGTCAGCAGCAATACTCAGGTAGGCTGTGGCGTTGATGCTCAATTGGTACTAATGGACCCAAAGAAAATCTCCCCCACACCATTACACCACCACCACCAGCCTGAACCGCTGATACAAGGCAGGATGATCCATGCTTTCATGTTGTTGAGGCCAAATTGTGAGCCGAGCATCTGAATGTGTGAGCAGAAATGGAGACTCATCAGAGCAGCAACGTTTCTCCAATCTTCTATTGTCCAGTTTTGGTGAGTCTGTGTGAATTGTAGCCTCAGTTTCCTGTTCTTAGCTGACAGGAGCGGCACCCGGTGTGCTCTTCTGCTGCTGTAGCCCATCCGCTTCAAGGTTGGCCGTGTTGTGTGTTCAGAGATGCTCTTCTGCAGAGCTCGGTTGTAGCGAGTGCTTATTTGAGTTACTGTTGCCTTTCTATCAGCTGGAACCAGTCTGGCCATTCTCCTCTGACCTCCGGCCTCATCAACAAGGCATTTGCGCCCACAGAACTGCCGCTCACTGGATATTTCCTGTTTGTCTGAACATTCTTTGGAAACCCTAGAGATGGTTGTGCGTGAAAATCCCAGTATATCAGCAGTTTCTGAAATACTCAGAGCAGCCCGTCTGGCAGCAACAACCGTGCCACGTTCAAAGTCACTTAAATCCCCTTTCTTCCCCATTCTGATGCTCGCTTTGAACTGCAGCAGATCCTCTTGACCTTGTCTACATGCCTAAATGCACTAAGCTGCTGTTATGTGATTGGCTGACTAGAAATTTGCATTAACAAGCAGTTGGACAGGTGTACCTAATAAAGTGGCCGGTAAGATATACCCCTACAGTAATTACGCTTTCACATACATTCAAGAACACTTGATTCTGTGTGATGTTATGAGCCGTTTTCCTCATGGGGACCAAGAAGAAAAATGTTACTGGTATTGCTATACTTGTGGGGACATTCAGTGCCCAGATTGTGATGAAAACAAGGACCACGCACACAAATCAAATGTAACTCAGTGCCACCTTGGTCTTGCTTATATTGTGTAAATCTCTCCATTTGTTTGCGGTCTGAGTGGGCCGGCGGGCATGATAAATCAGCCAGATTGTTGGCAGCTCTTCCTCCAATTGTGACAGTGCCTGCTTTCAATATTTTTGCATTATACAGTCATTTAATAGGGTGCAATATTATGTGTGTGTACTTGTTAGGTGGTTTACAAAGATATTTTTTGTATAATGACATGAGTATGTCATAGTTATAGTTGTATTAAAGTGGTTTATGAGGACATGCTGGATGTTCTTGTAGTTCAAAGTGCTTAAAAATGTTACTTAAGGTCTTTTGACGTTCAACATTTGCCACAGGTTTCTGTTTGTGTTGGGTTTATAGGGATAATGGCCATATAATAAGCATTTCTTTTGTATAAAATGCATTGTGCCTATGAAGAGTCCCTGTAAAACACTAATACCAACATGTGTGTGTGCATACTTTGTATTCATTTTATTTTGGGGACCAAATGTCCCCTCAAGTATAGTTAAACCAGTACATTTTGACCTTGAAGAAAAATATATGGTCTCCACAAAGAAAATCAGACAGAAATAAGTATTTTGAAAATGTTAAAATTCTTGGAAGTTCCCATGAGATGTGTGTGTGTGTGTGTGCTGGTTTTAGTGGTTTACAAGGACAGTTTTTGGTATACTAACAGGGACATGGCCTTGGTATAATGTATTTTGGTGGTTTACAAGGACATGTATGATGTTCTTGTAATTCAAATTGCTTCAAAATCACTCTTAACAAGGTTTTTTGACATGCAATATCTGCCAGAGGTTTCATGTGAGGGTTGTGTTTATATATAATGGCCATATAATAAGTGGTGTTTAATATATCAACATAATATGCCTATGAGAGTCCCTGTAAAGCACCAATACCAACATGTGTGTGTGTGTGTATGTTTGTGTGTCTACTTTGTATTCTTTACATTTCAGGGACCAAATGTCCCCACAAGTATAGTAATATCAGTAAATTTTGAACTTGTAGAGACATCTTTGGTCTCCATGAGGAAAACCTTTTATAAATCAGACAGAATTGAGTATTTTAAAAATATTAAAAGTTCTTGGAAGTTCCCAAAAGATGTGTGTGTGTTTGTGTGTACTGGTTAGGGTGGTTTACAAGGCCAGTTTTTGGTGTATTAACAGGGGCATGGCCTGGGTATAATGTATTATGGTGGTTTACAAGGACATGTCTGATGGCCTTGTAATTAAAAATGCTTTAAAATCACTTTGACGTGATATCTGCCAGAGGTTTTTATGTGAGGGTCGTGTTTAGATGTAATGGCCATATAATAAGTGGTGTTTACTATATAAAATGCATTACGCCTATGGAGAGTCCCTGTAAACCACCAATACCAACACTTGGTTTACATTACAGTGATCAAATGTCCCCACAAGTATACTAAAACCAGTGCATTTTGACCTTGTAGAGACATTTTTGGTCTCCATGAGGAGATCCTTTCGTAAATCGGACAAAATTAAGTATTTTGAAAATGTTAACATTCTTGGAAGTTCTCATGAGATGTGTGTGTGTGTGTGCGTGTTTTAGTGGTTTACAAGGACAGTTTTTGGTAAACTAACAGGGTACTTAGATTAGCATGGTATAATGTATTTTGGTGGTTTACAAGGACATTTCCGATGTCCTTGTAATTCAGAATGCTTCAAAATCACTCTTAACAAGGTCTTTTGACATGCAATATCTGCCAGAGGTTTCATGTGAGGGTTGTGTTTAGATGTAATGGCCTTATAATAAGTGGTGTTTACTATCTAAAATGCATTATGCCTGTAAGAGTCCCTGTAAACCACCAATGCCAACACTTGGTTTACATTACAGTGATTAAATGTCCCCACAAGTATAGTAATTTTTTTTTACTTTTTTTCTGGTCCTAATGAGCTAAGCTGCTTATAAATCAGACAGAATGAAGTAATATGAAAATATAAAAAAGAAAATCTTCTCAAACTTCAAGATAAAAAGCAAGACAGTTTTTATTTTCTGCTTTTTAAATGGTCATGGGTCATTATTGAAGGTTTATTGAGCACTCACGTGCTTTTGTCTGCATTCGATACTCTTAGTGCTGAACTGAAACTCATCTGCATTGCTGATTGAAGGCCTGTTGTGTGAGAGATGTGTGTTATTATTTCTTCTTCTTGTGTCCTGCAGGCAGTGTTTGATTGCGTGGTCACGTCTCTGAAGAACGTCTTCAACATCCTGATCGTCTACAAGCTCTTCATGTTCATCTTCGCAGTCATCGCAGTGCAGCTCTTCAAGGGGAAATTCTTCTACTGCACCGACGGCTCCATGGGCACGCAGAAAGAATGCCAGTAAGTCAAACATGTGTCTCCTTATCACATTCACATTGTTGTACAAGCCCAAATCTGAAAGGTTAAAGAGCACCTATTATACATTAAAAAGGTTCATGCTTTGGTTTTAAAGATCTCCAACAGGCTGATCTGCATGCAAGGTCAAAAAACACTTTCATTGTCTTATAATATGCCTTTATTTTTTACATAATTATCCAAGCGACTCCTTAGCGTGAAGCTAATCTGCACTGATTGGACCGATGACAGTCTGTTGCGATTGGTCGACAGCGTTCAGCGTGAGACAGAGTGAAATTGCCACCACGGCTTATCAACAATACTGAAGTAGAGTGTTTGTGTGAGCATACCTGCCAACACTCCCGTTTATGTCGGGAGTCTTCCGCATTCAGACCCATCTCCTGCCACCCTCCCGCTAATTATTATTTATTTTATTTATCCCGGAAAACTCCTGTAAAGTTCCTGTCAAGCTCTGACAATCAAGTCCCATACATCAATAGTCTTTGATTTACCAAAATGATGAACCAAAATTGTAAGGAACACATTAACCCAACCCTCATAGGAAAACCATGCCAGTGTGAAAAGCCCCTGTTAAATAGGATTTTTTGGACAGTTTTGAATTATGAGGACATACAGAATACACATGTCCTCATAAACCACCTCAACATTTGGACTACCTATATAATAACAGCGTCATTATACAAACAGTTTTGAATTATGAGGACACATGGAGCACTCATGTCCTCATAAACCACCTCGACATTGGACTACCTAGATAATAACAGTGTCATTATACAGTTTTGAATTATGAGGACATACAAAACATCCACGTCCTCATAAACCACTTCAACATTTGTAATACCTAGATAATACCAGTGTCATTATACAAACAGTTTTGAATTATGAGGACATACAGAACACCCACGTCCTAATAAACCACCTCGACATTTGTAATACCTAGATAATAACAGTGTCATTACACAGTTTTGAATTATGAGGACACATGAAGCACTCATGTGCTCATAAACCACCTCGACATTTGTAATACCTAGATAATAGCAGTTTCATTATACAGTTTTGAATTATGAGGACATACAGAACACACACGTCCTCATAAACCACCTCGACATTTGAAATACCTAGATAATACCAGTGTCATTATACAAACAGTTTTGAATTATGAGGACACATGGATCACCCATGTCCTCATAAACCACCTTGACATTGGAATACCTAGATAACAAATGTGTATACTTACATTAACTTAACTTCTTAAATAACGTTTGTTGTTTGCAATGAAACACAAGTCAAAGTAAGTTTAGAAATCACTACTTTCTTTTCTTTGTGTTTTCCATACTGCCCCAACTGATTTGGGGTTTTATATAGTGAAGAATAAGTAAAGAAAAATGTAAGAACTTGTTCATGTTTGAAGACTGTAGACTGTTTATATATATATTTCTCTGTATTGCTTTAGTTTTATTTATAATGTTATAATATTTATCGTATTATTAGTGTATATATTTTACTTGTGTTTTGCACGAAACATTGTTTTTGATGCAGGATAATAACATGTAATTACACCATTTGAATCAGAGAGGAAGATAATTATGAACTTATATTGTTTTCTGCTGATAGATTGGAACAATTGACGTCTTGTTATTCGTTATATTTGATAACATAAACCCTCTGACTGTTAAACTTAACCTGTAGACTGAAGAGGTCAAATGCATGTGCAGGATGTCGATATTTCCACAAAATCATGCAGTAGTCTTGTAGTAGCACAGCATAAACATAATCATGTTTGTTTGCCGTTATTGTAATCATATCATGTTGTGAAGGGGCTACTACATCGACTATGGAAGAGACAGAAAGGAGGTGAAGAAGAGGGAATGGAGGAGACACGAGTTTCACTATGATAACGTCCTCTGGGCTCTTCTAACGCTCTTCACCGTGTCCACAGGAGAGGGATGGCCACAGTAAGTCATGCACATATATCTCCTACACAAAGCTCTTGAAAGCAAATTCGCTCTAGGGTTGGCCAGCCCAGTCACCAGATAGGAACATTATTGAGCATGTCTGGGGTAGGATGAAGGTGAAGGCATTGAAAATGAATCCAAAGACTCTTGATGAACTCTGGGAGTCCTGCAGGAAGGCTTTCTTTGGCATTCCAGATGACTTTATTAATCAGTGATTTGAGATGTATGGATGCAGTCGTCCAAGCTCATGATGGAGGCAGACACAATATTCATTCTGTTTCCTATACTGGACATTATTTCTGTTCGGTGAGACAGGCTTTCAGCAACATTTGAGAGATTTCTGGTCAGTTTCTGAGATGAATCTGCACATGTAGAAGAACTGAGATGCGGAGGTTTCCAGAAAGAAGAGTGTTGTCAGTGTTGGGTCATTGATGTTCCAGTATTTGTAACACCTCTGCCAAGGAAATGTGTGTCAGTGTAGATTTAGCTCTCTGCGTTTTTTGGTGTCAGACTGCCTGCCCTAAATGTTGTCTGTACTGCTAGAGCTGGAGAATGTGGAGGTAGAGGTGATTTCTTGTGAGCGATAGAGCTGTAAAGATCACTTTAGCAGTCAAGTGGTTTGGTTTAGGGGATGGTAATGTGAAGGGGGACGCAGATGAGGGCGGATCCAAATGAAGGATTTACTATGGGAGTGTTCAGGCAAGCAATGGTCAATGCAGGAGCAGACAGATGCATACGAGCAATCCAGATAACAGGTGAGTGGTCAGAAGGCAGGCAGCAGACAGGGATAAACAATAAAACAAACAAAACAAAGCAAGGGTCAAAACCGACAAGGCAAGGGAAACGCGTCGGGATGTACACAAACAGTATCACAAGACTCAGCAATGAAGTGTGTGTTGTGTATTTAGTCCTTGTAATGATCTTCTGGCTGTGAGTGTATGCAATCCGCAGAATCTGGAGCAGGTGCGTGTGTGCGGTGCATGACTGGAACTTGTCCATGTAATGGCAGATTCTAAGCGATCTATCGCTGGTTCAAGCCTCGGGTGGGTCAGTTGGAGTTTCTGTGTGGAGTTTGCATGCCCTCCCCGTGTTGGTGTGGGTTTCCTACAGGTGCTTCTGTTTCACCAACAGTCCAAACACATGCGCTATAGGGGAATTGATTAACTAAACTGGCCGTAGTGTATGAATGTGTGAGTGAATGTGAGAGTTTATGGGTGTTTCCCATTACTGGGTTGCAGCTGGAAAGGCATCTGCTGTGTAAAACATATGCTGGATAAGTTGGCGGTTCATTCCGCTGTGGCAACCCCAAATGAATAAGGAACCAAGCTGAAGGAAAATGAATGAATGGGAAAACTGCGTGTGATTTTGCACAGTCCTAGTAAATAATAGCAATATTAACTAGAGGACATAATGGCGAATGGAATTAGATGGCCATATTGAAAAGACTGGGACAATTATCGTTCATTTAGAAATAAATGAATATGTTAACAAGGTTTCAGCGCTCATTAAACTGTCCAGAATCAAAGCACTGAATGCCATCTTAATAAAGCAGTGGGTTTGATTCTGGAAAAGCCGCCAGAGAGCCGTCTGTGTAAATGCTAATCAGATCCAAAATGCCAGAAACGCTGGCAAATGTCAGACATGAAAGAGCCGGGCTGCAGCACAATACATGTCACATTGTGAATACTTTGGCAGTGTTAGAGCAGCAGAATGAGTCCAGAAATCTGCAGAAGTAAAAGTACTGCGCAAAAACCTTTAGATGCTCCACGGCTTATTTTGCTCACACGGTTGGGTAGGCATATACAATCTGCCAGAAGCACATCTCAGTTTTAAATCTGCATTTATTCTGAAAGTATAAGGGATTTATTTATTAATTTTGTGCGTTATGAATTGGTCAGCAGATGGTCTGGCCCACACACAGATCTGATCTTACTGTCATCTGGTCAGTCTGGGGTTACATCAATATACTGAAGCAAAACCAGATTAAATGCAAGTTTCTGCATTTGAAGACAACATTATACAGCACTTCAGTGTGGTTATTACTTTTTTCACAGTATTTTTTTCACCTAATTATTTATTTTTATTTTACCATTACAAGGAAGCCTCATTGAGATTTTGAAATATGTATGTGGGCCACTTTAGGCAGTTTTGCGACACAGGTGGTCTTCCTTCGTTCCAGACAAAATGTAATGTAATGTAATGTGTATTTATATAGCGCATTTATTGTGTATGGCCGTACACCCAAAGCACTTCACGATCATGAGGGGGGTCTCCACACCACCACCAGTGTGCAGCATCCACTTAGATGATGCGACGGCAGCCACAGGACAACGGCGCCAGTGCGCTCACCACACTCCAGCTATAGGATCGCGCCAATTCGGTGAAAGGGGATGATTGGGAGGCCATGATCATATGGGCCAATAGAGGGACTTTGGCCAGGACACCAGGGTTACACCCCTGCTCTTTCACGAGAAGTGCCATGGGGTTATTGATGACCAAAGAAAGTCAGGACCTCAGTTTAACGTCTCATCCGAAAGTATAGTGTCCCCTTCACTTTTACTGGGGCGTTAGGACTCACGCAGACCACAGGTTGAGCGCCCCCTGCTGGCCTCACTAACACCACTTCCAACAGCAACCTAGTGTTCCCATGTGCTCTCCCATCCAGGTACTGACCAGGCGCAGCCCTGCTTAGCTTCAGTGAGTAACCGGTCTTGGGCTGCAGGGTGATCTGGCTGTGGCAATGTGAGCCTGAAGTGGCCCATCTGTACAATGGCAAAGGGGGAGGGGGGGTGGGGGGGTCTGAATGTAATCCTAATGTGGCCTTCATGGAAATTTATAAATTTGGCTCAAATGATGGAGGACAAATGTGGGCCACAGTTGGCAAAAATGTGGCATAGTCATTTAAGGGTAATCCGGGTCTAAACCTAAAGTGGCTCACACGTGGGTAACACTTTACAATCCGGGGTCGCCACAGCGGAATGAACCGCCAACTCATCCAGCAAGTTTTTACGCAGGGGATGCCCTTCCAGCCGCAACCCATCTTTTGGGAAGCATCCACACACACACTCACACACACACTCATACACTACGGACAATTTAGCCTACCCAATTCACCTGTACCGCATGTGTTTGGACTGTGGGGGAAACCGGAGCACCCAGAGGAAACCCACGCGAAGGCAGGGAGAACATGCAAACTTCACAAAGAAACGCCAACTGAGCCGAGGTTCGAACCAACGACCCAGCGACCTTCTTGCTGTGAGGTGACAACACTACCTACTGCGCCACTGCCTCGCCCCTAAGGTTCAATAGTTAATGTTAATTAATGCATTTACTAACATGAACAAACAATGAACATTACATTTACTACAGTATTTATTCATGTTAGTAAACGTTAGTTAATGAAAATACTGTAGTTCATTGTTAGTTCATGTTAACTCAGTGCATTAACTAATGTTAACAAGCATGGACTTGGATGTTAATAATGCATTAGTAAATGTTCAATTATGCACTGTGCGCTTGGATCGTATCTCGTTCTCACTGCAATCGATCCGCTCCAGAGTTCGTTTCAATCGAGCCGAGACCACCTCATTCAAGCGATCTCGGAGCGATTGATTTGGTGCGGATCCGAGAGCAATTGGAGGTTTCACATATGCCAAACGAACCGCGCTCACTGGGCGAGCGAGACAGGCTCAGAAACAAAAGTGTAGGTGTGAAAGCATCCTCAGACTTCCATTAATCGTCAGATGTGCATAACGTAAAATGAGCTTGCCAAAATAATGTTAGCTATTATATCAAATGCAGCACTGAGCTCCTGTAGTAGAGAGATGAAAGCAAATAACAGGGCTGCACTCGAGCGCAGGATAATAACATTCTAAACATTGTTTTTCACCGCAGTAAAAGCACTCAATGAGTAAAATGATCTGAACCCTAACAGACTCCTCGCAGACGCATGTTGTTCCAGGAAGACAGTCATGAAAACACCAATTTTTCTATATTTTTTTGTGAGAAAAGGTCAGTCGCTAATCTGTGGAATCGAGGTATATTTGTTTCAGGAATAACAGCAAGGTTTGTCTGATGGAGACTGTGTTTGTTGATGCAGTCAGAAATCTCTCATTTAAACGAATAGTTTCTATAGGATGCTTTACAATATTATATATGAGCATACAGATTAGATTAGTCAGCACTGAAGCCAAATCTGGAGTTAATCTAACAAAATAACATATATCAGTCCAAATAGGGGCGGCACGGTGGCTCAGTGGTCACCTCACAGCAAGAAGGTCGCTGGTTCAAGTCCTCAGTTGGTGTTTCTGTGTGGAGTTTGCATGTTCTCCCTGTGTTGGCGTGGGTTTGTGTGTGCATGAGTGTGTTTCCCATTACTGGGTTGCAGCTGAACTAGAAATTAAGCCAAAGGACAATTAATGAATGAACAGTACAAATATTAGCCCAAATTGATTTGTTAGAGAAAAACAATAAATAAATAAAAAAAAAAGAATTTAAACTTTGTCAAAATTTTGTAAACAAAAAAAAAATTCAATATTTTCCATGAATATAAATGTTATATTTTGTATTTTTAAAGATGTTTGGTGACTAAAACACTATTTTAATAAATACACTCACCGGCCACTTTATTAGGTACACCTTACTAGTACCAGGTTGGACCCCCTTTAGCCTCAATCCTGCGTGGTAGAGATTCAACAAGCTACTGGAAATATTCCCTCAGATATTGACATGATAGCATCACACAGTTGCTGCAGATTTGTCGGCTGCACATCCATGATGCCAATCTCCCGTTCCACCACATCCCAAAGCTGCTCTATTGGATTGAGCTCTGGTGACTGTGGAGGCCATTTGAGTACAGTGAACTCATTGTCATGTTCAAGAAACCAGTTCACACCACCATCACCAGCTTAAACCGCTGATACAAGGCAGGATGATCCATGCTTTCACGTTGTTGAGGGCGAAGTGTGAGCGGAGCATCCGAATGTGTCAGCAGAAATGGAGACTCATCAGAGCAGCAACGTTTCTCCAATCTTCTATTGTCCAGTTTTGGTGAGTCTGTGTGAATTGTAGCCTCAGTTTCCTGTTCTTAGCTGACAGGAGCGGCACCCGGTGTGCTCTTCTGCTGCTGTAGCCCATCCGCCTCAAGGTTGGACGTGTTGTGTGTTCAGAGACGCTCTTCTGCAGAGCTCGGTTGTAGCGAGTGCTTATTTGAGTTACTGTTGCCTTTCTATCAGCTGGAACCAGTCTGGCCGTTCTCCTCTGACCTCCGGCCTCATCAACAAGGCATTTGCGCCCACAGAACTGCCGCTCACTGAATATTTCCTCTTTGTCGGAGCATTCTCTGTAAACCCTAGAGATGGTTGTGCGTGAAAATCCCAGTAAATCAACAGTTTCTGAAATACTCAGAGCAGCCCGTCTGGCAGCAACAATCATGCCACGCTCAAAGTCTCTTAAATCCCCTTTCTTCCTCATTCTGGTGCTCGCTTTGAACTGCAGCAGATCCTCTTGACCATGTCTACACGTCTAAATGCACTGAGCTGCTGCCATGTGATTGGCTGATTATAAATTTGTATTAGCGAGCAGTTAGACAGGTGTACCTAATAAAGTGGCCAGTGAGTGTACATCCGTTTAAGAAATCGGTTAGTTCAAACGCACCAAAATATATGAGCTATTTTCACTGAGAAATGCATAAAAAATATTAATTTCCTATTATAAATAGGAATATACAACATGCATTCATGTTGAGCGCTGTAGACCTGCTCTTTCTTGTTGGCACTGTTATTCAGAATATGTTTTTGATTTCCGAGCCTCCGCAAGAAACATTTCTTCAAGGTCGTGCAGTTCTGACAGCTGTGATGCTGCTAATCATGTTCAATATTACACTGTGTGTACATTCTGGATCCTTTCTCACAGATCCTCTCAAACCTTTACAAGTTTTCCATTTGCATGTGGGCTTCATAACAGATCATAAATGATCTGACTTTCTCCATCTCTGGTCATTATCAGTGGATGTTGAAAGACATGCAAGTTCATCCTTATGATCCGCCAGACGATTTTTATGTCTGTGCATCATGTTGCAGTGAGTGCAGCTAAATTGGCAGTAGTGTATATGTGTGTGAATGAGTGTGTATGGGTGTTTCCCAGTACTGGGTTGCAGCTGGAAGGGCATCCTCTGCATGAAACACATGCTGAAATAGTTGGCGGTTCATTTCTCTGCGGCGACCCCTGATAAAGTAGGAACTTAGCCGAAGGAAAATGAATGAATGAATTACTGCTGACATGTGGAGATGGGATGCAGGTGGACTGATCTATATGTATTAGATGATGCAAGAGGTTGAAAAGGGAGGGAAAATATAATGTGGACTGTCACTGATGGATTCAGACTAGCGGGAAGAGAGTTAATGCTGGAGACTTTGCATACTGAAAGCGAGTTTGTGTACTGAGAATGAAGATTGATGAGAATTCAATTGAAGCGTTGGTTTTTGCTTCTGTTTCTGATTTAGCTCTGCTAAATGCTTGATTCTGATTGGCTGTTGAGCCTTCTAAGGTGCACTGTTGTTATCAAATAATCACACAGATAAAGTAGTTCCAGCAGGTTTCGAGCGCATTGCAACTCCATATCACTACTCTGAATGATTTCAATAATTTTCAGATAAACGCACAGCTAAAGTAGTTCCCGGCAGCTTTTCAGCGTATTACAGCTTTATATCACTACACTGAATGATGTCGGTTATTGTCAGACAAACACACAGATAAAGTAGTACCGGCAGGTTTTGAGCACATTACAACTCTGTATTACTACGCTGAATGATTTCAGTTTTTGTCAGATAAACACAGATAAAGTAGTTCCGGCAGGTTTTGAGCGCATTAAAACTCTGTATTACTACGCTGAATGATTTCAGTTATTTTCAGATAAACACACAAAGTAGTTCCGGCAGGTTTTGAGCGCATTAAAACTCTGTATTACTACGCTGAATGATTTCAGGTATTGTCAGATAAACACAGATAAAGTAGTTCTGGCAGGTTTTGAGTGCATTTCAGCTCCATATCACTACCCTGAATGATTTCAGTTATTTTCAGATAAACACACAAAGTAGTTCCGGCAGGTTTTGAGCGCATTAAAACTCTGTATTACTACGCTGAATGATTTCAGTTTTTGTCAGATAAACACAGATAAAGTAGTTCCGGCAGCTTTTGAGCATATTACAGCTCCATATCACTACCCTGAATGATTTCAGTTATTTTCAGATAAACACACAAAGTAGTTCCGGCAGGTTTTGAGCGCATTAAAACTCTGTATTACTACGCTGAATGATTTCAGGTATTGTCAGATAAACACAGATAAAGTAGTTCTGGCAGGTTTTGAGTGCATTTCAGCTCCATATCACTACTCTGATTGATTCAATTATTTTTAGATGAATGCACAGGTATAGTTCAGGCTGGTTTTGAGCGCATTACAACTCCATATCACTACTCTGAATGATTTCAATAATTTTCATATAAACGCACAGCTAAAGTAGTTCCCGGCAGCTTTTGAATGCATTACAGCTTCATATCACTACACTGAATGATTTTGGTTATTGTCAGATAAACACACAGATAAAGTAGTTCTGGCAGGTTTTGAGTGCATTTCACTACCCTGAATGATTCAATTATTTTCAGATGAATGCACAGGTATAGTTCAGGCTGGTTTTGAGTGCATTACAGCTCCATATCACTACGCTGAATGATTTCAGTTATTGTTAGATAAATGCACAGATAAAGTAGTTCCAGCAGGTTTTGAACGCATTACAGCTCTATATCACTATGCTGAATGATTTCAGTTATTGTTAGATAAATGCACAGATAAAGTAGTTCCAGCAGGTTTTGAACGCATTACAGCTCCATATCACTATGCTGAATGATTTCAGTTATTGTTATATAAATGCACAGGTAAAGTAGTTCCGGCAGGTTTTGAACGCATTACAGCTCCATATAACTACGCTGAATGATTTCTGTTATTGTTAGTTAACCGCGCAGCTAAAGTAGTTCCAGCAAGTTTTGAACACATTACAGCTCTATATAACTACGCTGAATGATTTCAGTTATTGTTAGATAAATCCACAGATAAAGTAGTTCCGGCAGGTTTTGAGCGCATTACAACTCCATATCACTACTTTGAATGATTTCAATAATTTTCAGATAAACGCACAAATAAAGTAGTTTCCAGCAGGTTTTGAGTGCATTACAGCTCCATATCACTACGCTTAATGATTAAATTATTTTCAGATGAATGCACAGATATAGTTCAGGCAGGTTTTGAGCACATTACAGCTCCATATCACTACGCTGAATGATTTCAGTTATTTCAGATAAATGTACAGATAAATTAGTTCCGGCAGATTTAGAGCTCATTACCGCTCCATATCACTACCCTGGATGATGAGAGTTATTTCACAGCTACAACAGTCAAAATCACATCAAAACACAACAGAAGGCTTTGGAGGAGATGTGGAAGAAACTAGTGCTGCACACAGGAGCGGTTTGAGGACAAAAACCTGACAACAGTCTGAAATACAACATCTGAACACCGGCTTTAGGTGTGGAAACTGTAGTAAAAGCAGTTTAATTAACAACAAGCCATTGAGTTATTAGAAAATAATGCTGCATCAATATAATTCAATGGCCATTCATTAATTATTCTTTGTATATCTCTTCCTTTAGAGTCCTTCAGCACTCGGTGGACGTCACTGAAGAAGACCACGGCCCGAGCAGAGGAAACCGCATGGAGATGTCCATTTTCTACGTCATATACTTTGTGGTTTTCCCTTTCTTTTTCGTCAACATTTTTGTAGCTCTCATCATTATCACATTCCAGGAGCAGGGCGACAAAATGATGGAGGAGTGCAACCTGGAGAAAAACGAGGTGAGTTCATATTTTGCCAACAATGAGGTGAACTAAATATATATAACTTCTTTATCCAGTAGACCTTTTCATGTTAAGCTTATTTTCAGATTTCTCCACAGAGGGATAGTTCACCCAAAAATGAAAACGTCCTCACTGTTTACTCACAATCAAGTGGTTGTAAACATTTACGAGTTTCTTTCTTCTGCTGAACACAAAACAAGACATTATTCACAATAAATTCTCTTTATAACATTCGGTCATTTTTTTGTGTCGAGACATGGTTCAATATCACAGAATCAAGAAGAAAACAGCATTCAATGCAATGATAAAGGCTAGGCCAATTAACATTGCATTATAAATATACTTCATGCTTATAAATGCCTAGGATGACTAAATATGTAATATTTATGAAGTTTATAAACATACAAATTAAAATTAATACTTTTCTCTAAAGATACAGGGCTTTTGTCTCTCTGTGTATACATTTAAATAATCATCAATAATATTGTTATCGCAATAAATACCAGAAAATAAGACCATATCGCACATTCCTTATCTATAGCAGGAAAAGAATACTGTTTTTTTCCAGCATTCATCAGTATTTCTTAATTAGTGTTGAACAGAAGGAAGAAACTCAAACAGGTCTTGAGAAAACTAATGCGTAAATGATGACAGAATTGTCAATTTGAGTTGAACTGTCCCTTTAACATCATTTACTGATAATAACACCTTTATAATCAGTCCCTCCAGGATTTTGCAAAACACACACAGACACCAATCCTCATAAGTTATGTAGTTGTCCCACCCCTACACACACTCACACACACCCCACCATCATCAGTTATGTGGTTGTCTCATCTCTACAGACATACGCAGACTAATTATCATCAGTTATGTAGTTGTACCACCCCTACACACACACGCACACCAATCATCATTAGTTGTGTGGTTGTCCCACCCCTATACACACACACATGCACCAATCATCATCAGTTATGTGGTTGTTCCACCACTACACACTGCACCAATTATCATCAGTTATGTGGTTGTCCTACCGCTACACCACACACATCAGTTCTCATCAGTTATGTGGTTGTTCCACCCCTACACACAGACCAATCATCACCAGTTAACACACACATGGCAATCATCATCAGTTATGTAGTTGTCCCACCCCTACACGCACACACCAATCATCATCAGTTATGTGGTTGTCTTAGCCCTACACACACACACACCAATCATCATAGGTTATGTGGTTGTCTCACCCCTACACACACACACACACACACCAATCATCATCGGTTATGTGGTTGTCTCACCCATACACACACACACACACACACACACACACACACACCAATCATCATAGGTTATGTGGTTGTCTCACCCCTACACACACACACACACACACACACACACACACCAATGATCATCAGTTATGTGGTTGTCTCACCCCTACACACACACACACACACACACACACACACACACAACAATCATCATCAGTTATGTGGTTGTCCCACCCCTAAACACACACACCAATCATCAGTTATCTGGTTGTCCACCCTTACACAAACACAACAATCATTATCAGTTATTTGGTTGTCCCACCCCTACAAACACACACCCACCAATCATCATTAGTATGTGGTTGTCCCACCCCTACACACCACACCAATCCTCATCAGTTATGTAGTCGTCCCACCCCTACACACACACACATACACCAATCATCATCAGCTATGTGGTTGTCCCGCCCCATACACAAACACACCAATCATCATCAGTTATGTGGTTGTCTCACCCCTACACACACACACACACACACACACACACACTAATCATCATCAGTTATGTGGTTGTCTCACCCCTACACACAAACACAACAATCATCAGTTATGTGGTTGTCCCCCCCTACAAAAACACACCCACCAATCATCATTAGCTATGTGGTTGTCCCACCCCTACACACAAGCACAACAATCATCATCAGTTATGTGGTTGTCCCATCCCTACAAACACGCACCCACCAATCATCATTAGCTATGTGGTTGTCCCACAACTACACATACACCAAACATCATCAGTTTTGTGGTTGTCTCACCCCTACACACACACATACACCAATCATCATCAGTTATGTGGTTGTCCCACCCCTATTTAACACCACAATTTATTATCAGAAATGGTATTGGTATTGTAACAGGGAAACAGTAATTTATTTGATTACGCTATACCTGAAAAATGTAATTCCATTGATATCGCTGTTTATTTATAACACTGTTATTCCCATCTCTGTTTTTTTAAATTGCGAGTTTTACAAAATTCAGTGACAATTGCTTGATCTTGTGTTTAATTTGTGTTTTAATGGGTAATTGTAAAATCCTGGAGGGTCTGCATAATGTATAATATAGCAAATAACATTTTCTAACCTGCAGTACTAACCTGCATGTTCCTGCGCTGCTTTCTTATCTCTATACTCTTCCAGAGGGCTTGCATTGACTTTGCAATCAGTGCCAAACCCCTGACGAGATACATGCCTCAGAACAGGCAGACGCTGCAGTACCGCTTGTGGCACTTTGTGGTGTCGCCGTCTTTCGAGTACACGGTTCTCGTCATGATTGCACTCAACACTGTAGTGCTCATGATGAAGGTACAACTTTCAGGATAAAAAAAAAAAACATGAGAAGCAATGTGTAAACTGAATCATCTTGAGCAGAGGTGCCCAAAGTAGAGCTCGCAGGCCTAAGCTGGCCCATGGTGACCTTTGGTTTGGCCCACCATCCAATTAGAAAAGAGAGGGAGAGTGCCTTTGACAGAGATCGTCATTTCGAGTTTAATTTATACCCGTTTGTTTCTTTGTTTAATTGAGGAGCTACAAAAAAAGCCAACTAAAATTAAATGTTTCAAATAAATCAGACTTTTAAAATGGAAATACTGCCACTTGACGGATAGAGGACAATGCATAAGACATCGGTGAGCAAATCAAGGCAAAGGCAGGAACAGCTCGACTAGTGCATTCAGTATTGAGCTCCATTGTGTTAGAAATGGGATTGTTTGTGTTTTATAATAAGTTCAATATAAAGCATAAAAAATGAAACTGCATCACCATTTAATATGTTTTAAAGTAAAATTTTCTAGTTATATTTAAATAACAAGCAAACAAATGAGCAAATTGAATGTAATCCTGTTTGGCATGTTTAACTTTGGCCCACAGCCCTCCATCAAGTTTGGTTTTTGACCCTTTATAAGAAAAAGTTTGGGCACCCCTGATCTTGAGGAACACACACACTCTTTAGAATAAAGGTTTCAAATGGAGTTTTATCACAAGGAAAGTGTTCATATTCATATATATTTCAGATATCGATGTCATTCAAATACGAGCAAACTTTTGCAAGAAATGTGCATTCTAACATGAAATAGGCGTCTCTATATTTGCTTGTTTAGATTCATTAAATTTTTTCAAAGCCTAATAGTTTAATTATGAAACATTCCAGCAAATCAGGCAGGGAGAAGATGTTTAGAGTCTCAGTTTATACTGTAATAAATATCCGTAAATTAACAGTTGTCTGTTTTTTTTTTTGTGATTCAATTTATTTTTATTTTTATTTATGCTTTTAAAATGCTAAAATGTTTGAAAAATGTACTTTTATTGGCATTTGTATTAGTTTAAACTGATAAATTGTCTGGGTTGGTGTTGTAAAGTACAATGCAGACATTTGTAATAAACTTTATTTTACAAACTTGATTCTCTCTATATTGCTTCTTATACAATATATTGTTTCAAACTACTAAAATGCCAATGAAAGTAATTTTTTTGAAGATTAAAATTGGACAGAGCAGGTATTGATATTGCATAATGAAAGTCATAACCATAAATAAACAGAAGAAAACCTGTGAATCCTAAAATATGGATCCTGTTAATTAAGATAATGTCTTTTTTTTTTACAATTTGCTATTAAAATAATTCTAGTGTGATGTCATTTTTATATTAATCAATATATATATATATATATATATATATATATATATATATATATATATATATATATATATATATATATATTTAAAAATTGTGCAATCGATATTTTTAGGGATGATGAAGTTTTTTAGGGAGCCATCCAGCTTAATAAGGAACCTTTATTTTTAAGAGTGTATAAACATGTAAATATAGCTGTAATATGAATATATTTATTATTGTATAGCTGTAATGTTTTGCATGAAATCATTTAAACTTTAATGTCTGAAATGAGATGTTCTGATGCACATTTGAGCATTTCTGAATACATTTTTCAGTATTACTCAGCACCGACGGCCTACGATATCGTCCTGAAGCACCTCAACACGGCCTTCACCGTGCTGTTCTCTCTTGAGTGCATCCTAAAGATCATGGCCTTCGGGTTTATGGTGAGTTTAATAAAACCACCTCTCCTTTAAAAAAGACCTATCATGCCTTTTTATACAAAATAAAGGTGTCCCTAGAGTGTTTAGTAAAGTTTCAGGACAAAACAGAACACAGATAATGTTCTCCAGCTCTCTGAAACTGACCCTTTTAGGTTTTGATCCTCATTGTGGCGTTTTGGTGACTGTCGCTTTAAATGCAAATTAGATTTTGGTCTTTTCAAAAGAGGGTGGAGCTATTAATGCCTATGCATCAGCATGGTGGCAGATGTAAAACAGAAGTGTGTGTGTTGTGGGAGCTGGTGAGTTGTGCATGTGTGCTTCAATGTGTGCTTCATGCTTCTGTCAGTCTATGTCGCTGCTGTCATCTAAAACTCCACATCTATATTGTCTCTTAGTCTATGCTGACATCATCTTCAGCAGCTCAAACACTCTAATGGCTAATGGACAGACGGCTGCTTCTCACTCAGGGCTGCTGTTTATGCTAATGAGATGGAGTGATGGGCACTAGTGGGCGGGGCTTTCCCCCTCTGATGACATGTGCAGACTGTTGTGCAGACTGTTTTTATCAAGTCTAATTAAAACAGATAAAATTAATGAATTTTACCATTAGAGGCTGGAGATATTCACACACTGCCGACACATTACTTGATGATCATTTTTGTTGTCTCTCTGTTCTTATCACGCAGAACTATTTCCGGGACACCTGGAACATCTTTGATTTCATCACTGTGCTGGGCAGTATTACCGAAATTGTAGTAGACTTACAGGTAAGAATATTTCATACTTATTGGTCCTAATGTAACCTTCAAATTCGGTTTGACCTCTTTAAGTGGAGCAAAAAAGATATGTTTTTATGTGTTAATATTCATGATATTTCCCTATTACATTAAAAATTTTTTTAGATTTTTTAATTATTATTATTAATTAGAATGTTTCTGATGTCCTATATGAAATCACATCAACAAAATACTATAGTGATTTATAGCAAATACTATAGTGTTTTTGAGCCATACTGTAGTAAAGCGCTTGAATTAATCTGTTGTGGTGATTCTACAGTTGCTATGGTAACACGACAACTATAGTTATCAATCTGTTGTAGTGATTCTACAGTTGCTATGGTAACACGACAACTATAGTAATCGATCTGTTGTGGTGATTCTACAGTTGATATGGTAACACGACAACTATAGTAATCGATCTGTTGTGGTGATTCTACAGTTGATATGGTAACACGACAACTATAGTAATCGATCTGTTGTGGTGATTCTACAGTTGCTATGGCAACACGACAACTATAGTAATCAATCTGTTGTGGTGATTCTACTGTTGCTATGGTAACACGACAACTATAGTAATCAATCTGTTGTGGTGATTCTACTGTTGCTATGGTAACACGACAACTATAGTTATCAATCTGTTGTAGTGATTCTACAGTTGCTATGGTAACACGACAACTATAGTAATCGATCCTGTTGTGGTGATTCTACAGTTGATATGGTAACACGACAACTATAGTAATCGATCTGTTGTGGTGATTCTACAGTTGATATGGTAACACGACAACTATAGTAATCGATCTGTTGTGGTGATTCTACAGTTGCTATGGCAACACGACAACTATAGTAATCAATCTGTTGTGGTGATTCTACTGTTGCTATGGTAACACGACAACTATAGTAATCAATCTGTTGTGGTGATTCTACTGTTGCTATGGTAACACGACAACTATAGTAATCGATCTGTTGTGGTGATTCTAAAGTTGCTATGGTTACGCTACAACTTACTTGAGTGTGTGTGTGTTTCTTCAGTCAGTAAACACCATTAATATGAGTTTCCTGAAGCTTTTCCGGGCAGCAAGACTGATCAAGCTATTGAGACAAGGCTACACGATACGCATTCTGCTCTGGACGTTTGTTCAGTCTTTCAAGGTAAACTTATATTCAGGATTGCATAAATGCTCTGCGGAGTGATGAACCTGGCTGGAATATCAATGTAAAATTCTGATGTCTGTTTTTCCAGGCTCTTCCATATGTTTGTCTTCTTATTGCCATGCTTTTCTTCATTTATGCCATTATCGGCATGCAGGTAAGATTTCTAAACTAGTATTTCTACACTAGTGTTCATAGTATTTACTTAAACAATGCATTTGTTAGTGGTAATATAGTCATTTAAAGGTATTTAGCTGAAGACCTCAGAATATACACTACCTGACGAAAGTGCAACAATAATAACTTGACTTCAAGTTGATCACTTGGAAAAGTGTCAGAAGGTGGATCATCTGTTGATCTGCATCCCAATCATCACCAATATTGCAGAAGACCTACTGGAACCAGCATGAAGCCAAGATTCTCATAGAAATCAGTCAAGTTTGGTGAAGGAGAAATCATGGTTTGGGGTTCATTCAGTATGGAGAGATCTGCAGAGTGGATGATCAACATCAACAGCCTGAGGGATCAAGACATCTGTGCTGCCCATTACATTACAAACCACAGGAGAGGGACAATTCTCCAGCAGGATAGCGCTCCTTCACATACTTCAGCCTCCACATCAAATCTCCTGAAAGCTAAGGTGCTCCAGGATTGGCCAGCCCAGTCACCAGACATGAACATTATTGAGCATGTCTGGGGTAAGATGGAGCAGGAGGTGTTGAAGATGAACACAAAGACTTGTGATGAACTCTGGGAGTCCTGCATGACTTTATTAATCAGTGATGTGAGTCATGTCAGAGATGTATGGATGCAGTCCTCCAAGCTCATGATGGAGTCAGACACAATCTTCATTCTGTCTCCACTGCAGCAGGACTTTATATTCTATACTGGACATTATTTCTGTTCAGTGATGACACTTTAGTCTGAGCAGAGTCAGAGCGCACTGTCCTCATCAAATCAGTCAACATCAAGACATGATCAGATTTATTGAGCTCAAATAAGCAAAATCTAGAGGCCTTCACCTTTCATAGAGACACTTCTGACACCAAATCATCAACTAGAAGTCCAGTTATTATTTGCTGTTCCTAAAACTTGGATAGGAGACAAGACTATTGTCAGGTAGTGTATTTATATTTTGGCAGCTCATTCTTAACACATGATCAAATCTGTTTGTTAATATTTTTCCACACTGTAATAACATCCATAAATTTGTATGTTTTTATTTTTCCTCATTTATTTCTGCTTTTGAATTGCATTATGGGATGTTGATCTCTCTTTTAACAACTTTTAACCTTGAAAAGTATGAAAAAGTGGCCTTTATTGTCATGTGTAATAGTCTGCAGTGGTCTATTGTCTCGGTTGGTGTTGTATATTACTGTTCGAAAGCCTTGTAATTGTTATTGATTTCTCTTGATATTATTTCTTATCCATTCTGTTACTTCAAACGACTAAAATGTCAATTAAAGTCACTTTGTTCTGTCACCCCTGTTGCAGTGCCCTAGTTTGGACACTTGAGGGCACTAGTTTGTTTTGTAGTTTCACTTCATTTGAGCGGGGGAATGAACACAAAAATGCAAAAAAATCCAAGTGCAGCAATTTATTATAACAAGACTAAGGTTTCCAAAAGACAAGGTTTCCAAACTTGAACAGAACTAAAGCAGGATGCAAATCTAGTCCAAACAAGAGAACAGGCAAAAATCCAAAAACGAGTAAATACAAAAAAACAGGGTAGGAGTGCTAAAGAGTGCTAACGAAAGCAAACACAAACCAGGAATCCAAGAATTATCAAAATACAAAAACTAGATGACCAGACAAACATACAAAACGTGAGGCGCTAACAAAATCCTAAGGCAACTAAAACAGAGGACAAGAGGGTTTATAAAGACAGGATTAAATTAACAAACACAAAACAGCTGTAACATAACACAATCAGTAATACAAAGGATTATGGGAAATGAAGTGAAACTACAAAACAAACTAGTGCCCTCAAGTGTCCAAACTAGGGCACTGCAACAGGTGTGACATGTTCAACTGTAGAGTTGAATTTTCAACATCAAAGCTCAAATTATTTCATTATGTTTGATGATGTTTGCTAGAGATTTTGAAGAATCAATAATCTTGGTCTGTTTTTTTGAGGAGTGATGTGAAACACATTGTGTAGCGTAAACAATCATATCATATCTCATTCTGCAGGTGTTTGGAAATATTAAACTGAATGATGAAAGCCATATTAATCAGCACAACAACTTCAAGACCTTCTTTGGTGCCCTGATGCTGCTGTTCAGGTAAGATCACCAAACACTCAGAAAATAAATGGATTATTACATATATATATAAATCTTATTTATTCTGTGCTGTTCAGAAGCGCCACAGGAGAGTCGTGGCAGGAGATCATGCTGTCGTGTCTGGAGGGTAAAGAGTGTGAGCCGGACCCTTCAATAACACCACCTTTCACCTCTCCAGACCACGAGGGCGGCTGCGGCACCGACTTCGCCTATTTCTATTTCGTTTCCTTCATCTTCTTCAGCTCATTTCTGGTAAGGTTCTGTCAATATTTTGTTCACAATTCTGAAATGCATAGGAGAGAGTGAGGTAAACTGTACCACTGTAATAAAAACTGAATTAAAACTACTCTAAAAAGTGATTAGTTGACTTTATAAAGTGAGTAAATCTGTTGCTTTTAAACACATTAGTTGACTTAACTCAAGAAAATTAAGTAAACCTGTTGCTTTTAAATAAATTAGTTGACTTTGCTCAAGAAAATTAAGTAAACATGTTGCTTTTAAACACATTAGTTGACTTAACTCAAGAAAATTAAGTAAAACTGTTGTTTTTAAACACATTAGTTGACTTTATTCTAGAAAATTAAGTAAAACTGTTGCTTTTAAACACATTAGTTGACTTTACTCAAGAAAATTAAGTAAACATGTTGCTTTTAAACACATTAGTTGACTTTATTCTAGAAAATTAAGTAAACATGTTGCTTTTAAACACATTATTTGACTTTATTCTAGAAAATTAAGTAAACCTCTTGTTTTTAAACACATTAGTTGACTTTACTCAAGAAAATTAAGTAAACATGTTGCTTTTAAATACATTAGTTGACTTAACTCAAGAAAATTAAGTAAACCTGTTGCTTTTAAATAAATTAGTTGACTTTACTCAAGAAAATTAAGTAAACATGTTGCTTTTAAACACATTAGTTGACTTAACTCAAGAAAATTAAGTAAAACTGTTGCTTTTAAACACATTAGTTGACTTTATTCTAGAAAATTAAGTAAACATGTTGCTTTTAAACACATTAGTTGACTTTATTCTAGAAAATTAAGTAAACCTTTTGCTTTTAAACACATTAGTTGACTTTATTCTAGAAAATTAAGTAAACATGTTGCTTTTAAACACATTAGTTGACTTTATTCTAGAAAATTAAGTAAACATGTTGCTTTTAAACACATTAGTTGACTTTACTCAAGAAAATTAAGTAAACATGTTGCTTTTAAACACATTAGTTGACTTTATTCTAGAAAATTAAGTAAACATGTTGCTTTTAAACACATTAGTTGACTTTATTCTAGAAAATTAAGTAAACATGTTGCTTTTAAACACATTATTTGACTTTATTCTAGAAAATTAAGTAAACCTCTTGTTTTTAAACACATTAGTTGACTTTACTCTAGAAAATTAAGTAAACATGTTGCTTTTAAATACATTAGTTGACTTAACTCAAGAAAATTAAGTAAACCTGTTGCTTTTAAATAAATTAGTTGACTTTACTCAAGAAAATTAAGTAAACATGTTGCTTTTAAACACATTAGTTGACTTAACTCAAGAAAATTAAGTAAAACTGTTGCTTTTAAACACATTAGTTGACTTTATTCTAGAAAATTAAGTAAACCTTTTGCTTTTAAACACATTAGTTGACTTTATTCTAGAAAATTAAGTAAACATGTTGCTTTTAAACACATTAGTTGACTTTATTCTAGAAAATTAAGTAAACATGTTGCTTTTAAACACATTAGTTGACTTTACTCAAGAAAATTAAGTAAACATGTTGCTTTTAAACACATTAGTTGACTTTATTCTAGAAAATTAAGTAAACATGTTGCTTTTAAACACATTAGTTGACTTTATTCTAGAAAATTAAGTAAACATGTTGCTTTTAAACACATTATTTGACTTTATTCTAGAAAATTAAGTAAACCTGTTGCTTTTAAACACATTATTTGACTTTATTCTAGAAAATTAAGTAAACATGTTGCTTTTAAACACATTAGTTGACTTTATTCTAGAAAATTAAGTAAACATGTTGCTTTTAAACACATTAGTTGACTTTATTCTAGAAAATTAAGTAAACATGTTGCTTTTAAACACATTATTTGACTTTATTCTAGAAAATTAAGTAAAACTGTTGCTTTTAAACACATTATTTGACTTTATTCTAGAAAATTAAGTAAACCTCTTGTTTTTAAACACATTAGTTGACTTTACTCTAGAAAATTAAGTAAACATGTTGCTTTTAAACACATTAGTTGACTTAACTCAAGAAAATTAAGTAAAACTGTTGCTTTTAAACACATTAGTTGACTTTATTCTAGAAAATTAAGTAAACATGTTGCTTTTAAACACATTATTTGACTTTACTCAAGAAAATTAAGTAAACATGTTGCTTTTAAATACATTAGTTGACTTTACTCAAGAAAATTAAGTAAACCTGTTGCTTTTAAACACATTAGTTGACTTTACTCAAGAAAATTAAGTAAACCTGTTGCTTTTAAACACATTAGTTGACTTTACTCAAGAAAATTAAGTAAACCTGTTGCTTTTAAACACATTAGTTGACTTTACTCAAGAAAATTAAGTTAACCTGCTGCTTTTAAAGCGATTATTGAACTTCACATAAGTTAACTCCTTGTTTTTTAAAATAATTTGTTGACTTTACTTGCATTGATGCGCATAATTTAACACTATTATAAAACTTTGAAGAGAGAATTCAGGAAATGTGCAGCATCCACTTTGTCTAATATCCAGCTTTTTGCACTTTTATTTTTCCCAAGATGCTGAATCTGTTCGTGGCTGTCATCATGGACAACTTTGAGTATTTGACACGAGATTCGTCAATTCTTGGACCTCACCATCTAGATGAGTTTGTGCGCATCTGGGGGGAATATGACCGCGCAGCATGGTAAACACACACACCCACAGAGAGACAAACACACACATAATCAAGTGTAACTACTGGAATTTGAGCATAATTAGTATAACTATGTAGTGCTCAGCATAAATGAACATTTAGCCCTTATATGTCTTTAATAGGCTTTTAAAAAGTCTTAGGGTCCTATCATACACCCGGTGCAATAAGGCGCAAGACGTGTTTGGTGCAATTTGTTGCTATTTTCTGACCAGCGCAACCCTAATTTTCACGTTTTGCATCACGTTGTTTAAATAGTAAATCTATTTTAAAAAGACCAAAAATCTTTTAAATCCTTCTTCACCTCGGGGGGCTTCTTCAGTTTATTGAATACGATATGCATCTGTATGATGTGATTATTATCAGCAGTATTATTGATTATCTGCAGATTTATAATAAACACAAGTGTAGATGTGTCCAGCTGTGGGGTTTTGGAGACGTCTGCATCAGCATATGTGGATAAGAACAGGACGTGTGTTTGATATAACTCGGTTTTCTGAGCACACTTCATTATTATTGTTCATTTATTCCTCTGCTAGAGATTAGAGCTGAATTTCGGAACAGTTTAGACACAAATCTTTGTGCTTATCAAAGGAGATTAAATATGTGGGCTGATGGATGTGTTCAGTGGAGTGAGTTTCCACCGTTTCCTCACTCCACCAAAGTAAAGGAGTAAAGTAAAGGAGTAAAGTAAAGAGGCTGAATGGTGGAGGCTCGTTCTTTATCCTCGCGCTGCAGATGCTCTGTTCAACTGTTTCTCTAGTGAAGCGTTCAGTTTTTACACTTACAGAGTCGCCATGTAAATAGCAAATGCACCATGGAGCGACACAACTGACTCTTAAAGGGAATGAGAGACGAGACTCTGATTGGTTTAATGCATGTTATGCTCAAAACACAACCAGAACTCAATAATAAGCACAGCCCTGTTAGACCATGCGCTGGGCGCAGAGCGTATATATTCATCCTTAAAATAGCAAAAGTGGATTCAGACACGCTCTTAATGCTTTTGCATCATGCGCATTAGATTTAGTGTCTTGATCCTTAAAATAAAGCCTTAAATCTGACTCGGTTAAGCCTGCAGAAACCCTGATAAATTATATTAACTCACTAGCATGATTTTTGTTCCTCAATTAATAATTTTTTTTTTAGCAAATAAGATAAACAAGTTTTCCCAGAGATGGGTTGTGGCTGGAAGGGCATCCGCTGCGTAAAAACTTGCTGGATAAGTTGGCGGTTCATTCCGCTGTGGCGACCCCGGATTAATAAAGGGACTAAGCTGACAAGAAAATGAATGAATGAATGAATGAAGATAAACAAGTATATCAAATACTTGTAAATATATTCAAATATATTGTTTTTCCCCCCTGCCAGTGGCCGGATTCACTATAATGCCATGTATGAGATGCTGACCCACATGTCTCCACCTCTTGGGTTGGGAAAGAAATGTCCTGCAAAAATTGCCTACAAGGTAAAAAGTTTTTATCATGGCAAATGTTAACGCAAATAATTCTAACATTTTAGATCTCCAGTTCCTGGAGGGCCGCAGCTCTGCACAGTTTAGCTTTAACCCTAATTAAACACACCTGATCAAACTAATTGAGTCCTTCAGGCTTGTTTAAAACCTTCAGGTAAGTGTGTTGAAGCAGGGTTGGAACTAAACTGTGCAGAGCTGCAGCCCTGCAGGAACTGAGTTTAACACCTGTCATATTCTAAATATTTACAGCCGTGTTTTGTTGCTGTTCGCAGAGACTGGTGCTGATGAACATGCCAGTCGACGAGGACATGACGGTTCACTTCACATCCACACTGATGTCTCTGATCCGCACCGCACTGGAGATCAAGATCGCTAGAGGTCAGAACTGACGATCGGTGCTCACAAGTACATACATTTCACATATACAGTATACAGATGAAGTCAGGATTATTCTGAATATTTTCCCCACAATTTCTGTTTAACAGAGAGAATATTTTCTTCAGCACATTTCTAAACATAATAGTTTTAATAACTCATTTCTAATAACTAATTTATTTTCTCTTTGCCATGATGACAGCACAGACTATATTTGACTAGTGTTCAGCTTAAAGTGACATGCAAAGGCTTCACTAGGTTATTCAGGGTAAAGTTAGGGTTATTAGGCCAGTTATTGTATAACAGTGGTTTGTTCTGGAGACAATCCAACACTAATATTGCTTAATATTGACCTTAAACTTATTGTAATTCAACTAAAAACTGCTTTTATTCTAGCCAAAATTAAACAAATTTGGATCCTAAAAAAAAAAAAAAAAAGATCCTACGTTCTGTTGTGGTGTTACTCCTCGTCGTTACACATTAACTAATGAACCTTATTGTAAAGTGTGATCCAGTTGGGTTCATGGTAACTGAACCTTTCCTTACCCTAACCACAGTTTACAGTATTTGTCGTTTTTACTTTGTAATATTTCTATAATTTGATCCATTTTGTTAAATGACAGCAATAAAATATTGTTTATTTGTAAGTCTTGGTGATTTTCTTAAGATTTATCTGTCACTACTTGTTTATGTTAACAAATGAATACAAATTATTTATAATTCCTAAAATTATATTATAGTTCTTAAAAATTTGGGTCGTGGCTTGATGACCATGTAAAAAATATATTCTTAAATATGTTGCATATATATATATATATATATATATATATATGCAACATATTTAAGAAATGGGCACTATACCATGAGGAATGGAATGTTTCACTGACTATACAGTTGAAGTCAGAATTATTTGCCCCCTGTTTATTTTTTCCCCAATTTCTGTTTAATGGAGGGAAGTTTTTTTCAGCTCATTTTTAAGCATAATAGTTTTAAAAACCTTTCTCTAATAACTGATTTATTTTATCTTTATCTTTTCAAGACACTTGCTTAAAGTGACATTTAAAGGCTTATCTGGGTTAATAAGGTGAACTAGGCAGGTTAGGGTAATTAGGCAAGTTATTGTATAGCGATGGTTTGTTCTGTAGACTATCGGAAAAAAAATAGCTTAAAGGGGCTAATAATTTTGGCCCAAAAATGGTTTTTAAAAAATTAAAAACAGCTTTTATTCTAGCCAAAATAAAACAAATAAGACTTTCTCCAGAAGAAAAAATATTATCAGACATACTGTGAACATTTCCTTGCAAAAGGGGGCTAATAATTCTGACTTCAACTGTATATAAATAATTTTTTCCCCATCCATGTTAAGCTGCTTTGACACAAGTTACATTGGAAAAGTGCTAAAGAAATAAACAATGAATAAATGAATGAATGAATGAATGAATGAATGAATAAATGAATGAATGAATGAATGAATGAATGAATGACCAAGCAACATCTCCAGGTACTCCTTTGAGAACCAGACCAAATAAAAATAAGAGTTTGCCCCTGGATGAATGCATGTCTTTTTTTTGAGTATCTATTGAATTCCATTAGTTGCCCTATGGAAAAGGGTGAAGTCAGATGGAGATATTCACTTGCAGAGCTGTTTACTGAAGCACAAAGCAAAGCAAAAGAAGAGTGTATAGCTACTGATCGCCTGCCAAAGCCCCAGTTCAGGGCCAGGCAGAGCTTGAAAATAAGGCCAACAGTGTAAACCAGCAGGCGAGTCCATGGAGAATGAGAGATTTGGGTAATCCTTCAGCGGTGATATGTGCATTACACTGAACTGAACTTCAACCGCTTTAACTGACTAGAACGTCATGTGTGTTTAGCTGCTTGCACATGATATGCATTGCAAAAAGCGCTATAGGAATAAAGATGAACTGGATGAAACAGTTCAATACTGAAGAGTAAACATCTGAATGAACAGACAGCGGCAGGAATGAAAGGAAAACACAACAGGACCGGAGGGCTTTCGTGCAGATATCAAGGCTGAGACGACAGTCTGTCACTAGACGGCTAAATAAAGAAGAATAAATACAGGAGAATATGACAGACTCCTATGAAGTCACGAGTAGCTCTGTTTTTACCCAGAGATGTGAATTAGATTCATGTGCAAAACTGGAATATTGTGGGCTGCACGGTGGATCAGTGGTTAGCACTGTGGCCTCGCAGCAAGAAGGTCGCTAGTTCGAGTCCCAGCTTGTCCAGTGGGTTTCCTCTGGGTGCTCCGGTTTCCCCCACAGTCCAAACACATGCGCTATAGGGGAATTGATGAGCTAAATTGGCCATAGTGTATGAATGTGTGTGTATGGGTGTTTCCCAGTACTGGGTTGCATCTGGAAGGGCATCTGCTGTGTAAAATATATGCTGGAATAGCTGGCGGTTAATGTGCTTGTCCACAATTTGAGCATCCTGGCATTTCCATTAAGTACCTGATATGCAATTTTCCCAAATGCAAATGAAAATGTGTGGATGGAAACGTGGCTATGACGGAAAGATGGATGCCGTGCTTGTGTGATTTTAGAAGTGTTGCATTGATTTCTATGTGTAATCTCTTATTTGCTTCCTATCAGGGGGTGAGGATCGGCTACAGCTGGACATGGAGTTACAGAAAGAGATCAGTTTCATCTGGCCACATCTGTCCCAGAAGACTCTGGACCTGCTGGTGCCGATAAACAAAGGTGAGGCTAAAAGAGCCTTTACAACAACACACAGTTAAACTTTTAATTTCAAAGCACACGCATTTGATGCTTATCATTTATGCGGAAATGTCATGTGAAAACATATTGGGCTCTATCGTAATGATCTAGACGCAAAGTCTGAAGCTCACAGCGCAAAAGCATTAAGATCGTATCTGAATCTACTTTTGCTATTTTAAGGATGGATAAAATAGGATGGATCTGGGTGTGTTTTGAGCATAGCGTGCATTAAACCAATCAGAGTCTCGTCTCTCATTCCCTTTAAGAGTCAGTTGTGTCACTCCATGGTGCATTTGCTATTTACATGGCGACTTTGTAAGTGTAAAAACTGAACGCTTCACTAGAGAAAACAGTTAAACAGAGCATCTGCAGCGCGAGGATAAAGAACGAGCCTCCTCCATTCAGCCTCTTTACTTTCTCTTTACTTTGGTGGAGTGAGGAAACGGTGGAAACTCACTCCACTGAACACATCCATCAGCCCACATATTTAATCTCCTTTGTTAAGCACAAAGATTTGTGTCTAAACTATTTCTAAATTCAGTTCTGATCTCCAGCAAAGGAATAAATGAACAATAATAATGAAGTGTGCTCAGAAAACTGAGTTATATCAAACACACGTCCTGTTCTTATCCACATATGCTGATGCAGACGTCTCCAAAACCCCACAGCTGGACACATCTACACTTGTGTTTATTATAAATCTGCAGATAATCAATAATACTGCTGATAATAAGCGTTTAGGGTGAATAACTAACATGCTCTGCTGGACTTTAGAGCAGCTTTTAGTTGGTCAATGGACAACCTTTATAGACCAGCACACACATGAGTCCACAAAGAGGCGCAAATGGATTTACTATTTAAACAACGTGAAAATTCCTGCTGCGCTGGTCTGAAAATAGCAACAAATCACGCCGAACACATCCTGCGCCTTATTACACCGTGTGTATGATAGAGCCCATTATGTGCATGAGTCTGTGGACGTGCATGAGTATTTTCTGCTCTTCACTATTTCGTAGTTAGTTGAGATCAATTAAAATGGACATTTCAAACGGTGGAAATGCACAAAATGATACACTACAGACAAATGCTTTATTACTCAGAGTTTTTGTCTTGTTTCTAGTCCAAATATCTGAATATTTTTGAATCAAGAAGCATTTTCTAGACAAGCACAAACTATTGCCTTGTTTTAAAAATGAGTCAAATTTAAGTGAGTAAAGCAGGCACAGTAATCAAACTTGAGGATTTGTTTGAAACTGGCCGTGGTTTGTGTAATTAAACTGTGCATAATGACAACCATGAGGTGTGTGTGTGTGTGTGTATTTTCAGACACTGACATGACCGTTGGAAAGATCTATGCTTCGAGGATGATCATGGATTTCTTTAAACAGAGCAAAGCCAAGAAGCTGAGGCTGCAAGTGGAGGCGCAGGTATTAATCATAATGTGCAACTCATAGTATCATGCGTAAGATATCTTGTTTTCAAACTATGGCATATGTTTTGAATAGTTTTGTCTAGATCTCAAAATAAAAAAAGATTTTCTAACTTAAAGTTTTTGTCTAATTTCTAGTCCGAATATCTAAAAATTCTAAAATCAAGAAGCATTTTGTCTTGTTTTTAGAAATAATATGTTAAAATTAGGTGAGTTTTTCCTTAAAAGAGGTAAAGTAAAGCCAATAGGGTAAACACTTTTGACATAAGATTATTTAGTTCATGCTATTAGCAGATTATTTGGCTTGTTTTAAGGAAAACCTCACTTAAATTCAACATATTATTTCTGAAAACAAAACAATAGTTTTTGCTTGTGTAGAAAATTCTTCTTGGTTTAAGGATTTTTCGATATTTGGACTAGAAACAGGATGAAAACTCGAAGTAAGAGAAGTATTTTTGCATTGTACTAAACTGAAACTACTACTACAACTATTTTCTTTACAGAGAGCTGCTGCACTCCCTCTGATATCTCACAGTGCTGGATCTGCCCTGTAAGTTGTGTTCAAAATAAATGAATGTGTGTGTGCACATATATATACTGTCAAAAATCATATGATCAATAAGTCCTGACAGCATATGTTTTAGGTCTTTGTAACTTATTAACTATGTTAATCATGTTGTAGCATAATTTTAGTTTACTTCTGTTTTTTATTGAAAGATAATAGTCAGAGAGCCACAGCAAATACATAGAATCATTAAATATCAACGGCTCCAATGTAGCTGTCACGTTCACCAGCGATCTAACCATCAGAGATTGCTGGAAAACATTCACACTCATATAGGACTACAAATCTGCTGGTAAATGGACTACAAGACCAGTCATGCACCACACACACACACACCAGCTCCTGATCACGACTGATTGCGTACACACAGCTGATGCTGCTCAAGTACTGATTACACACACACATATGTTGCTCGCTTTGAGTCTTGTTATCTGTTTAGTGACATCACAATGCGTTTGCCTTGCCTTCCGTGTTTTGAACCTTTGCTTTGTTTTGTTTGATCATTCCTGTTTGCTGCCTGCCTTCTGACTATTTGCCTGCTGTTTTTCAAATACGACTCTGGATTGCCCTTATACATCTGTTTGTTCCTGTGTTGATCATTGCTGGCCTGACCATCCTCGCTAATAAAACCCTGCATTTGGATCCTCACCCCTGTTAGTCACCCCTGTTAGTGTCACCCCCCCTGGTTACAGTAGCAGCAGAACACAATTTGCTCACATGTACTTTCTCTGAATAAAGTAATACAATTACATATTTTTGCATTAAGAAAAATTAAACAAAAAACACAAAACAAATAAAACATATTAATATATATATATATATATATATATATATATATATATATATATATATATATATATATATATATATATATATATATATATATACATACACATTTATATATATATATAAATGTATATACACATTTATAAATAAATAAATATATATATATATATATATATACTGCTAAACCCAGCAGGGACACCGGACCTCCAGGGCCGAGATTTTAAAAAGCTACAAACGTACAGTATTGTTTACATGCGTTGAATGAAAGATGTGTGTTTGTGCTGTAGGACCAGCGGAGGGTTTGTGGCTTTAAGCCCAATTTCACCACAGGAGCTGTTATTGCAGCCCATAACCCAGCGTACAGACAGCAGTGAAGACTACGACGCCTCACAGGTATTATACATCTTATTCCTGTTAAACCTAATGATAATAAAGCATATGAAATGTGTACCAACAGATCAACACAAAAGTGACATCAATATGTTGTAAATTAGCATTGCAAAAGCAAAATTAAATGTTTCTTGCACTACACTGCAGACAATAACCAATTATGTGTTTCAATATATATATATATATATATATATATATATATATATATATATATATATATATATATACATATACATATATATGTCTGTCAGATTTGTCACCAAAATGCATTCCAAAATTAAGACTAAAAGTTAGCCCAGAGTGGATGTAAATTACCCAACAGCACACAAGGGTTTAAGGAGATCAATAAGATGTTATTGGCTGGATATAAGAGTGTAACTCTTGACTAGATCGCAGCGTAGACTTCCTCTGCCTTAAATGATCACGGACAGTAAAAGTGTATGTGATGTGATTGTGATGCACAGGTTGATGAATCAGGGTTGAATGGCGTGTGGGGGGAAGACCGCCCACCTGAACATGCATTCAGAGCCAGACACAAGAGCTACAAAGCTGCAGGTTGGTTTATTGCATTTCATTTTATAGAGGGTGAAGACGCAACTCCAGAATAAATACACAAATACAGCAGCCAACGCTGTTCAGTGAGTCACCGGCCAACACATAGGGCCTATAAAATGCATGCGTGCACGTCAGGAACACTCTCTAGGGGACTTGAAGGAAGTTCTGAAAGTCACTTCAAGTACATTTGAAAAGCATTACAACATTTAATCTTTCCCTATGTAACCCTGCCGGTCCTACACCACCCTGCTGGTATCGAACCGGCGACCTTCCGCATAGGAGTCGGTTGCTCTACCAAGGAGGCTAAAGACCTCTAGCGTCTGTCGCTTGAGCACGCTTAGAGGTCAGAGGAGTGAGGTTTACCTGCACAGCACTTACTAGCTGGCCTGTGCTACACTCACCCCCCTAAATCTCACTCCCATCCGGGTCACGGCACCAATGTTACCCCACCGGTTCTACACCAGCCAAGCCACTCCGAGCTGGTATCGAACCGGCGACCTTCCGCATGGGAGTAGGTTGCTCTGCCAAGGAGGCTAAAGACCATGGCCTCCAGTGTCTGTCACTAGAGCACCTGTAGAGGTCAGAGGAGTGAGGTTTACCTGCACAGCACACACTAGCTGGCCTCCGTTACATACACCCTCACTGGCCACTTTATTAGGTACACTGCACTGCAAAAAAAGCTGTTACACACAGTTCCTTTATGTTGTCCTAACGCAAGTGGATTAAGTTACCATAATTGTTTTCACAAGTTGAAGTGGATTGAACCTAAAACAATTAAGTTACCCCAAAAAACCCTCAATAATTTTGTATTTTCAGCTCATTTTAAATAAGTAGTTTGTAACAAGCAGCAAAATATAACTTCTATCGACTTCTGTTGTGTTGTTCTGCCATTTCTAGTGTCCCACTCAGAGCAGACACAGTACATGGAAAAGGTGCGAGGACGACCAAAGGAACAACGGCTCTTACTGTCCCCGAAAAACTCCAACTCAAAGTCTCGTTCCCGCTCTCCCAGCGAGGAGCGCGTACATGGGGTCACAAGACAGGTACTACTCAAAATCATCTTACGCCAGATCATTTTTGTTTACAAACCAAGAATCATACTGTTTTTTTAGTTTTTTTTTGTTGTTGTTGTGGTACAACCTCAAATATGAAAAAGTTGGGACGTGAGAAAATGATTGAAATGTTCCTCAGAGAAAGAGAGGAGGACATTTGGATGTTTCACCTTCAACAGTGCAGAACATCATTAAAAGATTAAAGGAATCTGGAGGAGTTTCAGTGTGTAAAGGACAAGGGCGCAAGCCTAAGCTGAACAGCCGTGACCTCTGATCCCTCAGGGGGCACTGCATCAAGAATAATGAATCTATAAGCCAGATCAGCACATGGGCTCAGGACTACCGCGACAAACCTTTGCCAAGTACCACAATACGTAGTTACATGCACAAATGCCAGTGAAAACTGCACTCTGCTGAAAGGAAGCCCTATGTTAACAGTGTCCAGAAGCCCCCTCGACTTCTGGGCTCTGAGGGATCTGGGATGACCATCACACAGTGGAAATGTCAACTGTGTGTTCAGGTGTTTTTGAGGTCTGTCATGGTATGCAGTGGCGGATTTAACGAATTGGGGGCCCTAGGCAACTCTAGTTATGCGGCCCAAGCTCTGATGCACCCTTTCTACTTTTATTTAATTTATTATTGATTTTTGATTTAGGTGTTTTTTTATATTACCCAATCTTCTTTTCTATGTTTTATCTTAACCTCTAAAGGTCCAAGGTGTTTTTTACATGCATTTTTAATTACTTTTTGCTATTTGGGCTTATTGGAACCTAATTAGAAACAAACCTAAGTATCATCATTCTGTATGATGTACTTTTAGAGAAGAATTATGTCCATATATGTGGACTTGTGGTCTGAATTTACATAAAACTATTTTTATGAAACTGTTTTTAATGCATATATAACAGAGACATTTTTTGGAAAATGTTTTGACTCTCAGAGAGTAAAAACTAAAAAACCTTCCCATTTTGGACAGTTAAATTAGTGTTTGGGACATTTCATGTGGTGCAAAACAGTTGCAGGATGACACTGTATGTCTGTAACAAAATATAAAACATTCAAAGTATTTTAAATGAACACTTAAGATCTCAAATGTGCTGCCCACGTATGTGGCCACTAAGCCCTAGGAGGTCAATGCAGTCTTTACATTTTCAATGATTAGTTTTCTTAAAATGAATTTAAAATAAAAAATAGTGTGTTTGTGTATGTGTGTGTGTATATATATATATATATATATATATATATATATATATATATATATATATATATATATATATATATATATATATAACATAATTTTCTCTCATATTTTGTGTATTGAGATTTTTTAAATTGAAATTTTTGACATAATATTATTTAATATAATACAATATTATTATTGTAATGTTATGTAATAATAATATTATTAAAAAAAAAATATCTGATCACGGAGCAGTCCAGCAGTCATATATATATATATATATATATATATATATATATATATACACACACACACACACACACACACACAGTTAAAGTCAGAATTATTTGACCATGGCCTCTAGTGTCTGTCACTAGAGCCCCTGTAGAGGTCAGAGGAGTGAGGTTTACCTGCACAGCACCTACAAGCTGGCCTCCGTTACATACACCCTCACTGGCCACTTTATTAGGTACACTGCACTGCAAAAAAAGCTGTTACACACAGTTCCTTTATGTTGTCCTAACACAAGTGGATTAAGTTACCATAATTGTTTTCACAAGTTGAAGTTTTTGGATTGAACCTAAAACAATTAAGTTACCGCAAAAAAGAGTGAAGATGGGGAAAAAAATAAATAAATAAACAAGGGGCTAATAATTCAGGGGGGCTAATAATTCTGACTTCAACTGTATGTGTATATATATATATATATATATATATATATATATATATATATATATATATATATGTGTATATGTGTGTGTGTGTGTGTGTGTGTGTGTGTGTGTGTGTGTGTATATATATATATATATATATATATATATCTGCTGGACTGCTCCATTATCGGGGTGGTGGATATTTTATTTTTATAATATTATTATTACATAACAAAACATTACATAATAATAATAACATTATAATGTATTAAATAATATTTAATTGTGCAAAAAAATCTCTCACTACAAAAATATGAGAGAAGATGATGTTATATATTAGTTTATAGGTATAATTTATGCTTCTAGATATTTATTGGGGGCCTCCAGATTTCCTGCATGGGGCCCTAATCGACTGCTTACCTTGCTTATTGGTTAAATCCGCCCCTGATGATATTCAATTCAGTTCAATTCACTTTTATTTGTATAGCGCTTTTACATGCTAGATTGTGTCAAAGCAGCTTCACATAAAAGATGCTAGTAAATTGAAACAGTGCAGTATTTAGTGTTTAAGTTCAGTTCAGTTTAGCTCAGTTCAGTGTGGTTTAATAATCATATATATGGGGTTGCGTCAGTGCCCTTGGCAAAGGTAACTTGCACTTCTGTGATGCTCCATTAGACCTAAACTGCATTTCGTTGCCTTGTACTTGAACATGTGTAATGACAATAAAGTTGAATTTGACTGGCCTGCCTGCAGTCCTGACCTGTCTCCAATAGAGAATCTGTGGCTCATTTCAGAGCATGAAATGTGATAACGAAGAACCAGTACTGTTGTCCACTTTAGGACTTGTTTGCAGGAAGAATGGGACAAAATGACACCTGAAACTTTTCATCACTTGGTGTCTTCAGTCCTGAAACGTCTTTTAAGTGTTGTGTAAAGGAACGGCAACATTTTAAAGTGCTAAATGCAATAGTAAATGCATTGTCTGTAATGAAATACAGGTCAAAGTACATTTAGAAATCACTTTATTCTTTTTTTATTTGTGTTTTCCAAACTGTCCCAACTGTATGTTCTGATTTGGGGTTGTACACGCATATTTATATACTAATATCTGATCTCTCTTCAGGGAAACAGCTCCGAAAGCCCCGTTCCTTCCACCTCAGAGTCCAGCACCCCGAGTGGAAAACGCAGATTATCCCAAACCTCCACCTGCTCTCGGCCTCACATCTCCTACTCGCCTCTAGTGTCCCACACGCAGTCTTCATCGCAGCCCACTAATAATAATGAGGAGGATGAGGAGGATGATCCAGCGGTTCAGCAGATGTTAGGCTGCTGCAGTACTGCTTTATGGGATGACAGCGCTGAAGACCAGGATGCGAGAGCGAGACAACAAGAAAAATCCCATTTCGAAGTGGATGAATTTTTGGGTTCGTCCGTCCGCCGTTATCCATCTGAATCATTCCTCGCTCTCCAAGAGGAAGAGCACAGCCCGGATTCTGCCACAGCAATGGAAACTCTCACTTTTGAGGCGGCGGTGGCCACCAGCTTAGGCCGCGCAAATACGGTCAGCGCCTCAATGCGCACTAGATCACGAATAGGCTGGCAGGTGCCCAATGGACACTTCCGGAAGAGGTTGGCGCAGAGTGTTTCTCTTGCTGGGGGCGAAACTCTGAGCGATGTAGAGGACGACAAATACTAGATTTGGTCAGGGGTGTAGAATTAGCATGGACACCAGTTGAAATGTCCCCATCAATAATTTAATTCACTTACAAAAACAGGCCTGGACATACAGAAGGGGTTACATCACAGTCTCAAGTTGTACCGCCCCCGAAACACATATGAACATTGTGATTGGCTGTGCCTTTCCTTGCTGTCATGTTTCATTCAGATGTAATCAGCGGGGGAGTTTTCCTGTGCAAGAATAAGCTGTGTGACACACGCATGGCAAAGCAAAACATGGAAGATGGACATGAGGAGCTTTTTTCAAGGAAAAGAGTCACATAAACTCAAGACCGCTGCAGGAAGAGTCCATCATGATAATGGTCATGTTAATGCTAGTGTTTTTTTTTTAATTCCCGCTTTGGCGCACAGTCTAATGTTACAGCAGGCTGATATAGTCTGTGAATAATATGGTCTGAAAACTAACAGCAGAATAAACAGCTACATGTAAAGCTATTATTATCATCCCGATCGGGGCGATTCGTAAGCCCCCACCAATGTCAAGAGCAGATCTGGGATCTTGGATTTGGCTAAAGACACAACAGGATAGAAACATTTGGAGGACACTGAAGAGGACGCCAGTCTCCAGTATTCAAGCAAGAGCTGTTTCATAGATAGACCAATTACATGTTCAATGGAGCCTTTTCACATTTCCAGGGTTCTCAGGGGTCGTGATACTTGGTAAACTTGGAGCGCGGTGAATGACAACAAATCATTTTCTACAATCCTATTTGCTGAAATGAGAAAAGAAAAACAGTGTGATGGGGTTGACTGCCACAAAACGGAAAATAAATAGATAATGGTAGGCAGGAGAGAGAATAATGATAAATTTAGTGTCCCACCTCCACAGACGATGCTTTTTTAATGCCTCAAATATTTAAACGGTAATTCGTTTTTTTTGTAATTAGATGCAAAGATGATACACTTTACGAAACTGCTGTCAAATTTACAGATTTACTGCCAATTTTGGTGAATTTACACGTTCATTGAAATCAACAATAACGTGCTGTAAAACTACGGTGCACTTGTAAATTTTACAGTATTACTGGCATTTTTTACAAGCGCACTGTAAATTAACACTTACAACTGTGCTGTAAAACTACAGTAAAACTACCTTGCAACTACAGTGCGCGTGTACATTTTACAGTATTACTGGCAATTTTTACAAGCGCACTGTATATTTACAATTACAACTGTGCTTTAAAACTACAGTAAAACTACAATAAAACTACAGTGTGCTTGTACATTTTACAGTATTACTTTCCATTTTTAAAAACACACTGCAAATTAACAATTACAACTGTGCTGTAAAACTAAAGTAAAACTATAGTGTAACTAAAGTGCGCTTGTAAATTTTACATTATTACAGGCAATTTTACAAACGCACTGTAAATTAGCAATTACAAATGTGCAGGAAAACTAGTGTAACTACAGTGCGCTTGTAAATTTTACAGTATTACTGGTCATTTTTTTACAAGCACACTGTAAATTAACGATTAAAACTGCTGTAAAACTACTGTGCGCTTGTAAATGTTACAGTATCACTGCCAGTTTTTACAAATGCACTGTAAATTAACAAATACAACTATGCTGTAAAACTACAGTACACTTGTAAATATTACAGTATCACATGTGATTTTTGCAACTGCACTGTAAATTAACAATTAAAACTGCTGTCAAGCTACAGCGCGCTTGTAAATATTAAAGTATTACTGGCAATTTTTACAAGCACACTGTGAATTAACAATTACAGCTGTGCTGTAAAACTGCAGTAAAACTACAGTGCAACTACAGTGCGTGTGTGAATTTTACTGTATTACTGGCATTTTTTACAAATACACTGTATATTTACAATTACAACGTGCTGTAAAGCTACAGTAAAACTACAATAAAACTACAGTGCGCTTGTATATTTTACAGTATTACTGGTCATTTTTAAAAACACACTGCAAATTAACAATTACAACTGTGCTGTAAAACTTAAGTAAAACTATAGTGTAACTACAGTGCGCTTGTAAATTTTAATTATAAATTAACAATCAAAACTGCTGTAAAACTACAATGCGCTTGTAAAATTGCAGTATTACTGGCAATTTTTCCAAGCACACTGTAAATTAACAATTAAAACTTCTTTCGAACTACAGTAAAACTACGGTGCGCTTGTAAATTTTACAGTATTACTGGTCATTTTTTACAAGCGCACTGTAAATTAACAATTAAAACTGCTGTAAAACTACAGTATGCCTGTACATGTTACAGTATCACTAGTCATTTTTGCAACTGCACTATAAATTAACAATTAAAACTGCTGTGAAACTACAATGCTCTTGCAAAATTGCAGTATTACTGCCAATTTTTCCAAGCACACTGTAAATTAACAATTAAAACTTCTTTCGAATTACAGTAAAACTACAGTGCGCTTGTAAATATTACAGTATTACTGCCCATTTTTACAAGCACACTGTAAATTAACAATTACAACTGTGCTGTAAAACTACAGTGCGCTTGTGCATGTTAGAGTATCACTGGTAATTTTTGCAACTGCACTGTAAATTAACAATTAATACTGTGCTATAAAATTACAGTAAATCTACAGTAAAAACACAGTGCACTTGTAAATTATATAGTATTACTGCCAATTTTATGAGCAAACTGTGAATTAGCAATTACAACTGTGCTGTAAAACTACAGTGTGCTTGTAAATATTACAGTATCACTGGTCATTTTTGCAACTGCACTGTAAATTAACAATTAAAACTGCTGTTAAACTACAGTAAAACTACAATAAAACTACAGCGCGCTTGTAAATATTAAAGTATTACTGGCAATTTTTACAAGCACACTGTAAATTAACAATTACAGCTGTGCTGTAAAACTGCAGTAAGACTACAGTGCAACTACAGTGCGTGTGTAAATTTTACTGTATTTCTGGCATTTTTTACAAATACACTGTATATTTACAATTACAACTGTGCTGTAAAGCTACAATAAAACTACATTAAAACTACAGTGCACTTGTAAATTTTACAGTATTACTGGTCATTTTTCCAAGTACACTGTAAATTTACAATCACGACTGTGCTGTAAAACTGCAGTAAAACTACAGTGCACTTGTAAATTTTACAGCATTACTGGCAACCAAAATTGCCAGTAATACTGTAAATTTTACAGTGATTTTTTACAGTGTATAATACATACATAAATACAGATAAATGTCCATAAGTTTAAAAAAAAAATCTAACTATTAAAAACTTTCAAGGATTTGAGCTGCTTTTGAGCTTTAAACGCGTCTTGTGAAAAGGGTCCATTGAGGAATAAAAGACTTATCGTTTATATGCTGTAATTTCTCACCAGAAATAGCAAGCTGAAAAACAACCCATGAGTTTGACAAATGCAAATGCTGGTTTAAAATGCTTCATCCTTTCACCGATGTTAGTTTCTTACCTTTTAAGTAGTGCTGGGCAAAGATTAATCATGTATATTTAATACATACACTGTTAAGCATTTCATGTAGAATCTACAATAACGTACTGGCAGCAGTTTTCTAGTAACCTACAGTAAATCAATAACAGCAGCAATACTGTTTACATTTACAGCACCATTTCTCTTGCTGTATATGTATGTTAAGATATGTATTTTATCTTTATCTTAAATAAACATGTTCTTAAATATACGCATACGTGTGTATTTATATACACATAATCAATATACACAGTACATCCATATATATTATGTCAAAACGAACGTTTATTGTGGATGCGATCAATTCATTTTGCCCAGCACTACTTTTAATGGTCATTTTTATTTGTTTGTTTGTATGGAGGACGAAACATGCTAAAACAATAAATAAATGAATAAAGAAAGAAAGAAAAGCCCTATTAATTATTTATATATTTATTTTTACAGGATTTTCTGTAGATGTATGTTAAATTATTTGCATATTTATTTATTTATTGTTTTGTTTATGCAGGAATTTGTGGATTTTTATTTATTTATTTGTATATTTATTTATTTTTTGACATATATTTATTTTTTATTTACATATTTATTCATTTATGCAGGACATTGTGGATTTTTATTTATTTCTGTATTTATTTGTTTTATTTATGCAGGAATTTGTGGATTTTTATTTATTTATTGATTTATTTATTTGCATTTGTGTATTTATTTGTTTTATTTATGCAGGAATTTGTGGATTTTTATTTATTTATTTATTTGCATATGTGTATTTATTTGTTTTATTTATGCAGGAATTTGTGGATTTTTATTTATTTATTGATTTATTTATTTGCGTTTGTGTATTTATTTGTTTTATTTATGCAGGAATTTGTGTATTTTTATTTATTTGTATATTTATTTATTTGTGCATAATTATTTATTTGTGTATTTATTTATTTATTTTTTACTTATGCAGGAATTCGAGGATTTTTATTTATTTACTTATTTGCGTATTATTATTTATTTGTGTATTTATTTATTTATTGTTTTATTTATGCAGGATTTTTATTTTTTTGCGTATATTTATTTAGTTGTGTATTTATTTATTGTGTTATTCATGCAGGAATTTGAGGATTTTTATTTATTTATTTATTTGCGTATAATTATTTATTTGTGTATTTATTTATGTAATATTTTATTTATGGAGGAATCTGTGGATTGATTCATTGTTTTTGCAGGTTTCGTCATCCATATGTTTGTTTGTTTGTTCTACTAATTGTCCATTTGTTTGTACTTCGTCTCTGCGCCACATGAATGAAATCTGCTCATTTTGGAAATACTTTGTTTGACGTTTTAACTCAATTCTGAATATTAAATAGGCCAATTTTAACGGAATAAAACTTGATTCCATAAAACAATTTAAGTACTTTATTTGTCTAAATAAAATTGATTCATTTCCATAATAAGGGAAAATAATTTTTACAGCCGAGGCGATATTTTGAACTGAACGTCTTGATAAGGGGTTTGCGAATGTAAATTCTGAGAAACAGGAAAGGTGTCATGATCAAATCTGATGTCACGGTTAATTCAGGAAATGTTTTTAAAAACTACATTTCTTCTCTGAAAATATGTAATATTTAATATTTCGGGCTATTTCCAGTTTAGATATTTGTTACTGAATTTGAATGGATACGCATCCTGCTGACTTTTTGTTGAAACAAATAAAATACTGTCTTTTTACCCTGTTTTAGTTTCTGCTGTTTCTGTCTGTTTGAGTTTTCTACAAAGATATTACATGTTTCCAAAACAAGGCAGGTTTATTCATATAGCACATTTCATACACAGCGGAAATTGAGACAAGAACAAAAGAGACAAGAACATAACAATGATTAAAAGAATAAGAAATGATTAAAGCAGATAAAATCCGATTAAAACGTGTTAAAAACAGGTCATAAAAGAATGAAAAAGAAAGACATAGTGTGATCTGTCGGACGTAGCACAGTGCTCATTCAGTAAAGGCACAGCTAAACAGATGTGTGTTCAGTCTTGATGTGAATGTGCCTAATGTTGGAGCACATCTGATCATTTCTGGAAGCTGATTCCAGCAGTGGGGGCGCTGTTAGTAGCTGAAGGCCGATATATGCTGAAGTATGCTAAAGCAGTGGTTCTCAAAGTGGGGGTCGGGGGACAATGAAGGGGGGTCACCTGGTGATTTCCAAAAACTATTTATTTATATTAAACCATAAAAATTATCATATTTTATCAATAAACTACTGAAGAGAAAAATTGTTGTTTATAGTTAATATATACTATATAGTTACTACAGTAGCTTATAGTTACTAGTTCTATTGGATTGCGACCCCTGGGGTAATTACATAATTTTAAAGACACACCAACTGGCGTCAGATGCAGCAGATTGATTTTATAACATCAGGTTAAACTTTCTGGCACATTTACAGCTCTGATTTACATTTTAAAAAAATAAACTAAGAATAAACTTGGGTCTATTGGTGTGTGTGCGCTATTGCATGCAAGGTTTCTGTATATATAACCACCTCAGAGAATATTGGGGGTCGCGAGTCACTAGCATTGTTATTTTGGGGGTCGCAAGCTAAAAAGTTTGGGAACCCCTGTGCTAAAGGACCTTTAATTTGCCAGTAACCTGGGTTAAGCCAAAACCAGCTTGACTGGTCAAGCCAGGCTGGGAGCCCAGCCAAAACCAGCTATGCCAAGCTTAAACCAGGCTGGTCAAGCTGGATTTAACTGGTCATTTTCTAGCCTGACCAGCTAACACCAGGTTGGAAATGGCTGGAAACCAGCCTGGAAGTGGCCAAAACTCAAAACTTCTGGTTTAAGCTGGGTTTTTTTTCAGTAGGGATATGTGTGATGTGCTTGTAAGTATCAGAGACTCTAAACAAGAAAGCCCTGCGAACGTTACAAATATGTGAACTATAATGTGTTTATTTAACTATGAACATTTTGTATATTTGTATTTTGTTTATATTTACCCCCAGTGGGTGGCGCTGTCCCCTCACAGCAAGAAGATCGCTGTTCGAGCCTCGGCTGGGTCAGTTGACATTTCTGTGCGGAGTTTGGCGTGTGTTTCCTCCAGGTGCTCCGGAGGTGCAAACACATGGGCTATAGGAGAACTGATGAACTAAACTGGCCGTATGTGTGTGAATGGGTGTTTCCCAGTAATGATTTGCAGTTGTAAGGGCATCCGCTGCGTAAAACATATGCTGGATAAGTTGGCGGTTCATTCCGCTGTGACGACCCCTGATAAATAAAGGGATTAAGCCGAATAGAAAACGAATGAATGAATGAAATGTAGTACACAAGATGGCGCTGTGTGTGAATCCTCTCATGCTTCTCCACTGTAGTAGACCAGCACCGGAAGTAGAATGTGTTTTCGTTCAGACTGCGCGCACTGGAGTTATGCGGCTGTATGAAGCGAATAAACCGTGTATTTACAGTCTGTAGTTTGATTATATGAATCTTGTGATGGCGGCGGCAGGAGCAACGCAAGTGGGAGATGTGGAGGAGGACGCGTCCCAGCTCATGTTTCCTAAAGGTGAGGGGTTTATTCACATTACAAACAAACAACACGCGCCGTTATGCTACACACATGATTCTGTTTGATTCGGTGTATATCGTACACCCATAATTTCTTCTCCGAATTAAAATTACAGTGATATATGATCATAGTTCGTTGTGTTTTGTTGGCAAAACTGTCAGCATTACAAAAATAACACAATAGAAACCATCACAGAAGTTCTATTGATGTAAAGTTGACTTTATATATATATATATATATATATATATATATATATATATATATGTAACAATATAGATACCGTGCTCATAATAGTGCAACATAAAAATTTATCTGCAGTAGCCTTTTTAATTTCTGATTTGGCATTTTATTAAATACCGAAGTCCGAATGTGTAAATATATAACACCAACTTTACCTCATTGTTACATGTGATTATGTTTGATTTATGTACAGTACATCATACACTCCTCATTTCATCTCCGAGTTAAAATTACAGTGATATATGATCATAGTTCCATATATATATATATATATATATATATATATATATATATATATATATATATATATTAGCAATTCCATGAAAATGTCAACCTTGCCATGAAAAGAAAAATGTTTTCACCAAAATAGCGAAACCGTTTCTACATTTTTTGTGCAGGCAAGTGTTTTACAGTACTTTAAAAATACTTAAAAATGTGTCTGTCAATGTTTTCAAACTATTATATTTGATTTACCAAAGTCACACAAATGGCAATTTCACATCAGTCACATCCATAACGAAAAAGTGTCACATCCATAACAAAGCTTTTCCCTCAAAAATGCAAAAATGTCAAAATAAAATAAAATCAATCAGTTTTGTTCTATAAAGAGCCAACTCTTATCCTTTTGTTGAGCATTATTTATTTAGGGTTGTGCAGTTTAATTCACAGAATTTCTACGAAATATGTTGTATACTGTAAACTCGCAGACTTTTTTTGTCACATCCATAATTATTTTCCTCATTTAAAGTATAAAAATGTTCACAGATTGAATTTTTTTGATCCCATAACTCTGTTGGTAGTTGTTTTGGAAAATATAAACAGATGATTCAATATAATGTTAACGTATACTTTCACTGCGAATTTATGTTTTCAATTTTTACTGCAAATGTCACATCCATAACGCTGGAATCAGCCATATATATATATATATATATATATATATATATACAACAGTTCTGTCTGGTTCTTGAATCTGATTGGCTGATAGCCGTGAAATATTTAAGTAATATCAGCACCCGTACAGCCTCTTTACGCTTTGTGTATTACTCCGCCCACATATAGCCAGCAGAAAGCAGACACTACAGATCTAAAGTGTAAAAGATGCTTGCTCAGCTGTTTAACTGTCAGCTTATGATTTGAATCCAACGCGGACGAAAGTAGTTCCTTATACAAAAGGGTTTTTGAGACTCTCCATGTTTGATTTTGTTTTTATATACACAATTATGCATATATATATATATATATATATATATATATATATATATATATATATCGGTTGGCACATATCTGTATATCTCATATTTTTGTTTTCCAGCTGGGAGATTGAGCGTGTTTCTGAGATTTATTATTGTCAGAGATTAACATTAAATACTAGTATCTTGAAAAATATCTGGTAAAATATTATGTACTGTCATCAAGGCAAAGATATTAGAAATGAGTTATTAAAACTTGGGGAACAAATAAAAATAATTACAATTTAAGAGGAGGGCTAATAATTCTGATCTCAACTGTATCTTTTTGAACACGCTCATTGGAGATATGTGCCCATGGCTACAATCTCTGAGAACCAAGAAATATGTACCCGGGACTACTTTTTTTTTTGCAGTTTTTGTTTTCACAATTCCACTAAAGTACAGTTTTGACAACCTCAAATATGTTACTGAGGCATGTTTCATATGTGTCATTATAGACAAAAGGCACTGTGACTATTACTGCCCATCATTTTTTGATTTTCAGATGTGAGTTTGAGTGTGTTTCTGTGCTTTAATAATTATTGTTTGACCCTTGTTTAATGTGTTCAGAGTTTGAGAACGCAGAGACGCTGCTGAACTCGGAGGTGCACATGTTGCTGGAGCACCGAAAGCAGCAGAACGAGAGCGCGGAGGACGAGCAGGAGCTGTCCGAGGTCTTCATGAAGACCCTCAACTACACAGCCAGATTCAGCCGCTTCAAGAACCGGGAGACCATTGCTAGTGTGCGCAGGTCAGCAAAGTTTTGTCTTGTTTCTAGTCTAAATATCTACAAATTCCTAAATCAAGAAGCATTTTCTCAACAAGCAAAAATATATTGTTTTGTTTTCAGAAATAACGAGTCAAAATTAAGGCAGTTTTTCCATTAACAAGCGAAATAGTCTTGATTTTGGTTTGAAATATGATTATTTTTCTAACCCTATTATTAATCCGTTTTAAAGCTTTATAATCCAGTGAAAAATAAATGTTTGGGTTCAATCAAAGCCACAGTATTCTTAGCCACGCCCCTCTTACTGATCATTTGCATTGAGAGAATGTTGTGCAAAGAAGCCCCTCCCCCTACTCAATATTCAGTTTAAGTTGGAGGTACGTCAACATACTGAAATAAAAGTCTCTGCAACTTTGGTTCTTGTGGACTTTAAGGAGAAAGGGAAATATTTTAAGCAACCTAATAATTCACATTTACCCCAAAATTCACTCCCCCCAAGCCATCCACTTTTTTTTCTTTCAGACGAACACAGTCGGAGTTAGGGGTGTAATGGGTCACAGTTGATCCATTATTCGTACAAATCACAATCCACGGTTCGGAAGTCATGTATCCGCGGATTAATATACATATATTTTTTTACTTCTAGATTAATCCTAAATTTGTAACGATCGCAGAGAGATCGCCTCTCGCATCATTCAAATCACATTCTATTGTTCCTTCATTTGCTTGTTCAATTGTTTGTTCATTCGTTTTTGTTTGTTCGTTCAATCGTTCATTCTTTCGTTCAATCCTTTTTTTTGTTCGTTCATTTGTTCATTCATTCATTCGTTTATTTTCGTTTGTTCATTCAAATGCTCGTTCAATTGTTTGTTTGTTCATTTTCGTTCAATTGTTTATTCTGTCGTTCATTTTATCCTTTGTTCATTTGTTTGTTCATGTGTTCAATCGTTCGTTTATTTGTTTGTTCATGTTTAATCGTTCGTTCAACTGTTTGTTTGTTCTTTCGTTCGTTCATTCATTAATTAATTCGTTTATTTAAATGTTCACCCAATTGTTCGATCAATCGTTTGCTCAATCATTCTTTTGTTCCTTCGTTTGTTCATTCATTCGTTCAAATGCTTGTTTAATTGTTTGTTAGTTCGTTTTTGTTAGTTTGTTCTATTGTTTGTTCATTCAATCGTTTTTGTTCATTTGTTGATTTGTTTGTCCATTTTTGTTCATTCGTTCAATCGTTTGTTCATTCGTTCATTTGTTTGTTTGTTTATTCATTTCCATCCATTTGTTCATTCAATCACTCGTTCTATCATTCATTCTATTGTTTGTTCTGTTGTTCATTCGTATGTTCAATCGTTCATTCAATTGTTTATTTGTTCGTTCATTCATTCAATTGTTTATTTAAATGTTCGCCCAATTGTTCGATCAATCGTTCGCTCAATCATTCTTTTGTTCCTTCGTTTGTTCATTCATTCGTTTGCTTGTTCAAATGCTCATTTAATTGTTTGTTAGTTTGTTTTTGTTAGTTTGTTCTATAGTTTGTTCAATCAACCGTTTGTTTGTTCATTTGTTTTTTAGTTTTGTTCATTTCCGTTCGTTTGTTTATTCAATCGCTCGTTTTTCTTGCCACACTTTGGGCCCATTAGCACCAATTGAGCATCGTGTCAACGCCACAGCCTACCTGAGTATTGTTGCTGACCATGTCCATCCCTTTATGAGCACAGTGTCTCCATCTTCTGATGGCTACTTCCAGCAGGATAACGCAGCATGTCATAAAGCTCAATCATCTCAGACTATTTTCTTGAACATGACAATGAGTTCACTGTACTCAAATGGCCTCCCCAGTCACCAGCCCTCAATCCAATAGAGCACCGTTGAAATGTACTAGGGCATTAGGACTCACACAAACCACAGGTTGAGCACCCCCTGCTGGCCTTACTAAAACCACTTCCAACAGCAAGATACTGACCTGAATCAGCCGTGCTTAGCTTCAGTGAGTAACCAGTCTTGGACTGCAGGGTGATGTGGCTGTTGGCAATAACTAATGTAATCAAGCATTGCATTTGTATTTTAATAATGCATTAATGAATGTTGAACTATGATTAATAAATGCTGTACATGTATTGCTCAATGTTTCTTCATGTTATACATTAACTAATGAAACCCTAATGTAACCTGTGCCCCTGATGTTTATCCTAATGTTTTATTTTTCAGTTTGCTGCTGCAGAAGAAACTCCACAAGTTTGAGTTGGCCAGTTTAGCCAATCTGTGTCCTGAAGCAGCCGAGGAAGCCAAAGCCCTCATTCCCAGGTCAGTAGAAAATACAAATAGTTCCTCTTCCCAACAATCATTATTGCATGATCATATGCTGCCAAGGCTCTAGAATCAATAATTATGATTATAATGTAAGTCAATGGGGCAAAAACAGCCCCCAGCATAACTAAAGGGGAGTCAATTTGAACAATACACAAGGCTTAAAGCTGTTATGTTTAAAAATGTTCTTCAGAAGCACTCAGAGAAGCTACATGTGATAATAAGATGCTGTAACAGGAGTTAGCAGAGCAAATAAATATTGCTGGGCCATCAGAAGAAGTCATTAAGGACGTTTGGCTGAATGTGCATTGTGTTATTGTTGTATTTTTCCCTATTTTTATTCTGTATTTATTGCTTTTGTGTAGTTTGGAAGGGCGGTTCGAGGATGAGGAGTTACAGCAAATCCTGGATGACATTCAGACCAAACGCAGCTTCCAGTACTGAGCCTCCATCTCTCGCTGTTCTTTTCTATGTGTTTCTGTGTCCTGTAGTTGTTTAATGTGCTCTTATTTTGAACATTAAAGTGTGTTTTTATTAAAAAATACATTTGTGTGTCTCCTTTTTTATGTAGCCCATTAATAGACATCTGCAGAGGTTTAATAAACGCAGCAATAATGCAGCATCTGAATCATGGGAAAAGCAATATTTTGAACATGTTCAAGATGACGACTCATGATCAAATGAGAATCACACTGACTACGTTTACATGGACATCATTTGCCTTAATCTGAATAAGACAATAATATGATGGCGTTTACATGTTTGAATGTTCCATTCATGATGCCGTTTTACATGTTATAGTATCGTTTTATATTAGAAACTACATTTATAGTTATTTAAAACATTTTAAATTCCATTAGTTGGTTGATTATGTCTGAAGTTTGCTGTGTGACGAGTATTTTCATAAGTATGTTGTAAAGTTGACATTACAGAATGGTCTGAAAATATGAATGTTTTATGAAAACAATTGCTCATATACATGTTATTTAAGGCTAAAATGTGAAAAATTACATGTGTTTTTCTGAATATATAATATTTTCCAAACTAAATTTACGTCAAACCTATATTTTACAGTATATGCGTCGAACATATCGTCGTTGTTGCTAGAAGGGATACAGCTGCGTACGAAAGTCAACGATAATTATATTTAATAAATGACCAATTAATTGTAATTTATTAACGTTACTGTTTTATAACAGTAATTAAACGATAATTATTTGTTAAATTACCCCATAAATTGTATTTCTTTCACGTCTAACCTTCCCCTAACCCTCGCAGTAATGTAATTAAACAGTAATTATAGCGATAATTATTTATTAAATTACCCATGAAATTGTATTTTTATTAACATCTACACTTATTCTCACAGTACTGTGAAATTATTAAGAATAGATGCACAGTGCTTTCTTGATTTGAGTATCCTCAGCTGTATCCCATCCTTACTTTACATTCGTTAACATGTGATACATGTTACATTTCTCAGCGCTTGTCAGGATGAACCAATCTCATTTACAGTGAATTCTGATAAATCCGCACACGGTAATTACTTACATGAGATTGGAGATGGAAGTACAGTTTGACGGATACACCATCTAGCGCATAGCGTCTTCCAAAAGTCAATCATCATTCAGAGAGCGCTCTCTGCAGGAATACACGAGTATTACCTGACTTTATGCTCCGCTTTTCGTTCATGCGGCGCTCGTCCACGTGTTATTGCCGCGCCGCTGCGCATGCGCACAGTGTCCGGCCCGGTGTGTGTATGATGGCGGCGTATGTGGAGATTCTGAAGAACGAGTTTCCACAGATCGACTCTGAACTCTTCGAATATATCACCGGTACTGTACATATTCATGACATTACCATACATTTCTCATATGTCTTATGCCCGGTTGGTCTCAGCTCCCGCGTTAACGACAGGAGTTCATTCATTGTATAAAATAGTGCTGATGAGGAGATCGTGCTAAGAGACAGTGTCAGATTAAACTGACGACTTAAAGTCAGTTTAAAACATTTAATGGAGTTTGGAGTTATTAATTCAGTGAAATTATAAGATAACCACACGATAATATTTGTGAAATAAGACGGCTGACGGGAAGTTTGACAGTCAGTGACGCTGGTCTCGTGTTTCCAGGCAGACGAATGATTTATTGTGCTCTCATTAATCTCATATAATATATTTAAACATACTAACTATGACATACTGTAATATTAAGGCATTTTACTGAGTAATAAGACAACCGTCTGTGTTACGTAGTAAATCACGTGATTAATGAAGGTTTCCCAAGGGTCAAGGAATTACTGTAAAATATTTTCTATTTTATTTATTGATTTGCTTAAGCCATTGAATATCAGCGAGACAATGGGTATTTTGTTGTTTGTCGTTTTACGTTTAAATTTCTGTATAGTCAAAGTAAAAACATATACCATAAAACTATACCTTTTTTAAATACGTTTTGTACATGTTTTGCATGCATGTGTATGTGCACTGTACAAAATAATGCTAATAGAAACAATATATATATATATATATATATATATATATATATATATATATATATATATGTATATATGTATATGTATATA